ACCTACAAACTAGGGGTGTCCAAAACCTATATTGATTTCAGATATTAGGGGTTATATTATTAGGGGTGGGAGAAAAAATTGATACAGAATAGTATCCTGATATTTTGTCTGGTGATATATCATATTGTCTCATCCACCAAATTAATTGCTAATATGAAGTCAAATCTATGATAAAGGAAAAACAAAATCAACTGTTTTTCCAGTGAGGTTGGCAGAGGTGACATTATAGAGCAGGAGAAAGTTAGTGCAACAAACAGCACATGGGGAAGGACATTAAGAATGCAAGCAGGGCACAAATGAGATGGACATGACAGATGAGGTTTGCAATTAGTGCTACATGAAAATGAAATATTGCATTAGTAAGACAAACATTAGAGAAAGACAAACGCTAAATCAGCTAAGCAGTTACAAAAAAGTATCGCAATACTCACAAAATGTTTAAAATCGCAATAATATCAAAATATGGTCCAAGTATTGTGATAATATCGTATCATGGGGCCACTAGTAATTTCCACCCCTATCAGATATCGGTCCGATATCAGCAAAAAAATGTACATCAGATTTTATTGGCCTGCATCTAAAATCTCCAATACCAGCATTCTGATACAAGCAGTCCATTCCTGACTCTGCCCCTGCACCTTTATCTGGGTGTAGCATGCAGAGACTACGTAATCACAACAACAGTGTGTACCAAGGTACTAGCAAAGTAGCAAGAAGTAGGAGTGATGTTGGCTGTGTGGGACACCCCTACTGCACAGTCTATCTATGTCAGTTCCCTGGTTGTGCCAACCTCATACAAAAAGTCTAGACACACCCCTGCATAGTAGCACAGCGGAAACAGTGGGACCTGACTGTTTTCAGTCTGTCAACTTTGTACCATCAAATCTGCAGGTTTTTTTTTCCACGAATGACAGAAAACAGGACTAAAAATGAAAATACTGAAAAAAAATTTAAGAATTCATCCTGACCCACAGGATATGATATGAGCAATTTAATACCAAGTGAAACATACGATGAAATGTTTAGACCCTATGTGTCTACAAACTGATAAAAGGTTATATTAACCGCGGTCTCTTTTAAATTAACTACTTCAGATATTTTATTTAATTTGTTGGAGTTTTCTTGTGGTCAATGGAGCTTAGTAGGCAGGTAAGGCTATCCAGAGCTTATGAATTCAATGCAGAGTACACAAAGACACAGTACACACTTGTGCAGTCTGGACTTAACAAAGCCTCGAGGCAAACACAGACAGCAGAGGCAGCCATGCAAAGTTGCAATCTGCCCATCAAAGTCTTGTATAAGCCATCCAAACACCATCGGTAATGCCTCAGTGGCTGTTTGAGGTTCAGTGTCTTGTTTTACAGTACTGCAGTTCTTGATATGGATCAGGAGATCAGAGCCCAGATCTTCTGATTTGTAGAGGATCCACTCTACCTCTCTGTCACACCAGCTTTCTTCACCAAATCACAGTTACCCTCACATTCGGTTGCTTTAAACCGCCCACTCAGTTTTTATTTTACTCAACATGAAAAATAGTTTCATCTAGGTTTCCACAGTCATCACACACCAAGATTGGATTTTTTGATACAGGGTAAAAGATGGTCAGGGAACCGCACAAATCTGCAGGTTCAGGTTTTATTAGCCCTGATCTTGTGCTGTTCAGACAGATACACCTGAATCAGGTTCAGTCAGTAACTGCTGTTATCTAATGTGGCACAAATTCAATACGGTGACTGACAGAGTAACACTGTTAAGTCATTTTCATAAAGAACCAAGATGGTGGTGGGTGTTGTGGAAAATCCTGAACCATTTCAAACTATAATCAGCAAAATGAATGGTGGTATAGCTAGATTCAAATGGTAGTTCACTGAATGCAAACAGGTAAGTGTTGGCTTTGAAAAATGGCATGCCATCATCTGTATTACACTGAACTCGACGTACCACAGGTGTCCTTGCTCTAACTGAAAAGTGCCCAGAGAAATTTTTGTCAGGGTTTTCAGAAGTGCAAGGCTCAATGTGCTGCACTTACAGACTAGCATGGCTTTACAAAATGGAGTGGCTCCTCAGGACTGATCAAACTTTAAGTCCCACTCAGATCATTTTTTTTTTTCACTACTCAAAGTGTTCTCAGTGGTCTTTAAATTGCGATCATGAAGTTTTTAGCCCAAATCAAGTTACCTGTGTCATTTTTAAGGGCTTTTATTCTGCAGAGCTAGCTTGTAGCCTAACATTGCCATGTAGTAGAAGTAGCAGGTAACATAGGAGCTATCCAGCCCTTGGACACTAATGTCTTTGGGGGCATCATGAAAGCTAATATCATATCTAGCTCTCTTACAAGTATTGCAATCTTGGTACACACTTGTTCTGTGATCGTCCTTCCTACTTTTCCAAGTCTGGCCTGCAGAGCATGGCTTCCGGGCCGGAGCTTGAAGTTGTGACGTTGAAAATCTCTTTTTTGCTCTAGCACCAGAAAAATGCCATATGAACATATGGACAACAAACAAAAATGTGATTTTCATCGAAGTGGGTCTTTAAGTTGATATGCAATTGTGTTACACGCTTGATTCTGATTGGGTATTGCTAAAAAAAATGAAGTTATCAAGCAAAATAATTAGTATCAGGAATTATCAGATCGTCACATACATCATATTTTATCAGTTTAAACCATCGTGCTCACCCCATCCTGCACAAAACATGCTGCACTGTGTTCTGTAAGGTTGTTTTTAATATGTGAAAAGGCAGTGTCAAAGGTGAACTTCTGTTTTTCTTCAGAACAGACAATAAAGTTAAAATTCTATCAATCTATCTATCCTGATTCTAATTTGCATTACCACCTGTTCACTATACAGGGTCCCTAACTTGTCTGTTTTTGCTAAAGACAGAATTACAAACTAACAAAAAAAAAGTAATGGCTGCATTGGGTGATAATATGTGGAGATGTAACTAGCATTGATAGCATTAAACAGATATGATTATTGATTAATATCACCAGCATTAACAAGATAACTCATAAAACATCAAATTACTCTTACAGAAAAGAAGGGTAGTTGCATTTGGACACAAAACTAGCTAATGAGGCTAATAAACACTTTTTTTATCGTGTTTTCTGTGCATAAGGCTCTCATTACAGCATCATAATTGCTTTTATGGACTTAGCGTAAAGTGAGACAGTTCAGGTGAGAGTAACGGGCTGATCTGTCTGTGCAGTAAGGAAAACATAATCTTAATGAAGACTGATAGACCGCTGAGAGTTTCATTAGCTTAAACATAATGTATTATTTCACAGTAGGCAGCTACTATCAAACATGAGGAGAGACGAATTTTAAAGACACGTGAAAGGGAATAAAAGATGTACTTGATGCCCCCAACCCCGACAACTCGTACGTGCAAAGCAATGACGTGCGCCACAGCAATTGTGTGATAGCATGTGCTGTGTTCAGTGAGGATCAAAGCGTTAGCTAACCTTTTATTCTGAATTCACGGTAAGTGCTAGTGTGCTTCAGGAGCTCAAATGTGTTAGTGCTTGCTTAGAGCGGTTGGCATAGTTATCAAAGAGCTGCATGTGTGTGTGTGCGTATGTGTGTGTGTCAGAGTGAGACTAGACCCCTCATTTGTCATCCACTACATTAGAGCTCCAGATTTACCATGGCAGCATGGAGGTGACTACCAAACTGAGTCACATACAATCACAGTTAACAGTGCTCACAATTTAGGGGGGATTTCTATTGTATTAATCACAATGAAAGTGAGACACTGATATGAGTGAGGAGACAACGGAAACAGGGAGAGAGGCGCAAAAAAAGAAATCAGGGGATCCCACGCACTGGGAATAACCCAACAACTTTATATACGCATTCATATCACACACACACAGACGGAGTTCGCAGGGGTTCTGGGGGGTTGGCTGTTGGGCAGACCACAACACAAGCACTGTGCAGAGGAGTAGGAGGAGGCCGACGTAACTTGAAAGGGTCCTCTAATGTGGCCCTGGCACGACACACACACACACACACACAAACACACACACACACACACACAAATATGCATTAACTCTATTGAGACAACTCTTGTTGTTAGAACACATGACAAACTCACTCTATAACCACTTTAACTCTCCGTACTCTATATCACAATTGACTCGAGGCATCAGGGGAATTTTCTGACTTTAATCCGTCCCGCCTCCAGGAATATATTCCTTGTTATCCAAGAACCAAAACTGATTTATACAACCACAATGATTTTATATGACTGGAGTAATGATATATCTTACAAATAAGGATGAAGCAATCCTAAAATACATAAAATGTGATATGATATGCCTGCAGCAAATTCGCCTCGCCGCAGACGTTATTATATTTGGAACTAATTTATCAAAAAGATACACAAAAGCCTGAATCATGAGATAAGTTTTATGTGACATAATTTTGTGTAAAAGAAAAACAATAAAAACCAGCTCTGGTTCTTGTCAGTACACAGAAGTTGTAACAAAACTGGGATTAAAAACATGAGTCTTTTTCTTTTACTTATTAAAAGCCTGATTACTGTGCTGTTCCTAAGCCATGTGCCCATGTAGAGGCATCTCTGTGAACTCTCTCTGCATCCCGAGGCAGATTACTGTTTTTTTTTGTTAACACACTGATAAAAACTCTCTCTGAACACTGAGAAAAACTGCTGCACATTTTAGGGATTCTGTTAGCCAGACTGGACAGTAAATTGATGGGTGAGAGCCAGCCGTGCAGTAAAGTCAAACAGATCTTTTGCTGAGGGGCGAGAGGGCAGCCCAACCTGCTGGAGAAATAATCCCACTGATGTGTAGATGTTCGAGACAAAGAGGACAGACTGTAGAGAAAAGTGAACTCGGTGTGTGAGTCCATGATTGCAACTTTGTCTATTTCAGGCGGTGAAATGTTGAGAGCATGTAAAATATTTGTAGAAAGACAGATAGCATTAAATTATCAGGATCTAATATTTCACTATGAAAAGTGGAACAAACTATCAATACAGTCAATGTTGTTGTCTTGAGTCATGCTAATGCCAAATAAACACAAATTTTTACCAGTTAGAGGAACTTTGTTTCTAGAGCGAGACATCAAAATCACTGTAGATACTGCTTTGATATGATTGTAACTGTGTGCTGTATTGTGAGGAGTTCCTGGTTAAGTGCAGACAACAAAACTATTACATATTATCAACCTTGCAGGGCACTACGGTTACTTTCAGGTTAAAGAAGTTATTAGTCATGTCTTTGTTACTGTTGGTCCAAAATGTCTCATAATGTTTTGATCATATTAAGTCATGTCTAAACTAAACTGTAGCCCAGTCATCCAGCTGGGGCAAAAGCTCCAGTTAACAGTGATTGTCTCAGTGCTTTACTGCACTACTACCTTAATATTAACAAGCACAGATGAGGTTTTCTTAATTTAGACTACTCTTTGTCAGTCAAATTCAAGTTTTCCAACTAGATGGAAAAAAATAGTTACTTTGAAACATTCCTAAACCAAAGTTATTTTGACCTTCATTTGAATGTGACAGCTTGGGCACTTAAACCGCAAAGGCTATCGACGCCCCATTTGGATTATTTTTAACCTTGTTGCTTTTTCCATAACTTTAACTGTTAACTGCTTCGTTATTTAGATTACTGGATTTAAAATGTTAGCTCTTCATAACTTGTTTTGGAAAAGTGCAACATAAATAAAATTGATATTATTTTATTGTTGGTTCATAATTGCCACATAAGAGGTAAAATGATTCACCCTGTTCTTGCAGTTTAGCAGCAGGACATGGAATTAAACTACCAGACTCCAACCTGAAGGATTAATCCCTCTCTCTTATCAAACTTTGTGAGTCTGCGTTTGTGTGTGTGTATGAGATTAAGTTTTAGTTCGTCCATGTCTGCACCAAACTGTAAGCACACACATGCATGCCCACACATAATCAGCCCTCGTTAATGCAGCCATGGCAAGCTTTGAAGGTCTAAGGTCATCTCTGCTGTGTGCTTTGGGTTCAGCCTGTGTAAATTCTCTTCTCATCTCTTTCTCTTCTCCTTCTTGGTCTCACCCCCCCACCCCCACCCCCCTCACTTTCAAGCAGTGCCACCCAAGCTTGGCCCTGACCCAGACCCACATCTTTGAACTGAGCCATCATGCCACGCCACGCCATGCTCGAAGCCTAGCCGCAAGGCCCTGATTAAAAACCATGACTTCAAACTTTCCAAACTGTCAAAAAGCCATTCAGAGAGACAGGCAGAGAGCGAGAAAGAGAGAGAGAGACAGACAGACAGAGAGAGGGAGAGAGACAGACAGAGAGAGAGAGAGGCAGACAGACAGAAAACATCTTACATAAAATCACTGCTGAGGCATCCACTAACTTTTCAATGCGTCATCTGAGCAGGGATCTGTGTTACTCAGTAACAGGCCTGTGTGCATCTCTGTGTGTTTGTGAGTGCGTGTGGCTCAGATGGAGAAGGGGAGTCTGTGTTTACCTCTTGGAGGGCGATGGTGTTTCTTTAAGTTTTAATGAGGGATGGATGGATTTGGACAAAGAGGAAAAACAATGTTTGGCCGAGTAAACATTGATGTTCGAGGTTGAATCCTTCTAGATTGAACTAAAATAAACAAAAGTGGGCACAACACCTCTGCAATACTGTCAAATAAACACGCAACCCCATACAAGGGCAACTGCCTGGAGCGCTTTTCCTCTTAACTACGCTTTGAATTATCACACGTTTGAGCTTAATTGAAAAAGGTTTGATTCCATCATGCCATAATTTTATTTAATCTGATACTTATTTGATGGAAATTTGCACTTTTGGATGGCAATACTTTGAGAAGGGCTAAAGTCTGTGTGCTAAGAGTGCTCCCTGCTGGAGAGTCAGAGAATAGCATGCAAATACCCAGCAACAGCAGCAAAAAGCTCCATATTTCACTTCAAATCAACTTTTAAATAATAAACTGCAATAATGAGGTAAAACTTTGGAGGGAAATTAAAAAAGATGAGCCGTTTGAAAAGAGAACAAAGAATCAATAACTGTGCTGGTTTCATTTTGAAAACTAAAAGATTGGGGGGATTTTTCCTATGTTTGTCAACCTGTGTTGCGAAGTTTAGTTTGTCAAAAAGAGACAGAGTTTGAACCACAAGTGAATGAATTAACAGAGGCACAAACAACACAACACGAAGGGTTAACAAACATCAAACTGAAACAACTAAAGCCAAACAGGCCTTTGAGCTGCAAGCGAACTGTGGCAATGAACCGCTACCCTCTCAAATGAAAATCCCTGGAGAGTCAGAGTAATCTCAGAGTACAAGTGAGACCACCCAGGCAAACGTTGAAGAACCTACTGTTGTTTTACACACGTTGAAAAACTCAACAAGGAGGGGGAAGGGTGGGGCACGTGTGTCAAGAAGTCAAGTTCAACTAACTGGAGTGAAAAAGGAGAACGCAGAAAAAAGCTGAAAAGAGAAAGAGGGACACATGAAACTGTAATCCTGCCCATCTGCAGCACTCGTCAAATGGCAAATATTATTTTAGATGACAGCTGTTTTGCAAAAGAAGGAGAGAGAGAGAGAAAGCAGGAGGGAGGCAGATAAAGAAGGGGTTCATGTACCTTATTATACAGTGGTCATGGGGAAAATTGCAATCATCTGTGACTTTTCTGGGATACCTACGCTCTGCGAAAGACATTATTTTCCTCTGATATCAAGAGTTTTTGAAAGATTTGACTGTCACAGCCATTTTGGTTGAAACCACTTGGGACCCTGCATCAAATTTCGGAGAACAGGAGTGAGGGCTGAGGTCTTTTGAAGGCAGCAGCAATGAGAGAAAAACTTAAAATTTGTTTTATGAAAGGAGAAAAGTACGAAGCAAGATGTGCAACAGATAAACCTGAGACTAGTCTAAAGGAGGAGTCTAAATATGCGAATATAGGGGTGAATGCTGTGCACTCATATATATTATTTCATTAAATACATATGTAATATTTTCAGTAAATGTATTTTGCTCTTACTGCTACTTCTACCTTTAATTTGAATTTGCCTGTTGTGGGAATACTAAAGGATGATCTTACCTGGTCTCATGACTCAGCCTGTATAAATCTATGTTGACGTTAAATTTGCCAGTGCACATTTTCTCAACATATGTTTATATTCCAAAATCATATACAGGACTGTTGTGTCTTTAAAGCACTTAAATGATCATTTTCAAAGTAAATAGTGAAAACAGAAAGGGGAAATGCTAACAACCTCAACAAAAACTGCAAGAAAACACAAATAGCTCTGTTTATTTTCAGGATGAAGGAAAACATAGTCAAACTTTGATTTCCATCCAAGAAAGACAGAAAAAAGGTGACTCTTGCACTGGCGAGAGACAGAGCAATGGCCAGAGCTCAGTATGCATGAGTGAATAGGCAAACTGGCATTTTAGCCTCTCGAGGATTAACCAGGATAAGATCTAGAGAAATTTAAACCATTAAGAGTGATAGGAGGGATCGGAGGATCGTTAAGTGTGCTGGCTTTATAAGGAAATGAACGCTGAAACAACAAAAACATACATCTTTCCTCCACCATACATGGGATTTTATTCAGCATATAGAAATATTACAACAACTAATCAAAAACAGAGTGCTCTCCCACTCTCGCTCATGGATTAGCACTGACACTTTGCTTCATGGTTTCAATGTGAATCACAAAATTTATTCATTTCTAAAGGTAGCTTAATTTAATTCTATTGTTCTAGTGTTGTACTGCTGGCAAAAGTAGGTTAGATATGTGAGGCTGTACAGACCTTATGTCTGATGGTTGTTACGGTGCTCATCAAAATAAAGTGAGCTGTAAAGATTTTAATAAAGGCTCATGATTTATTCAAGGAACCCTTTCAGCCACAGTCTGTACAGTCATCAACATAAAAAAAGACAAACAACAGTACATTGTGTTCAGAGTCCTCTGGGTACACTCTCTCCAGTAATTCTCTATTTGCCTTGAATTTGGCCTTTGGAGGACACACACACACACACCCACACACACACACACACACACTCACATACCCTCTTGGTCTGTTCAGTCTGTTGTAGCCGCCTGGCTGAAACAACAACATTGTTTGAGACAAGCACTTCCATATGTGGCTGCACACACATTTACAGTATATGCGCACATACACCGGCACATAGAGAGAGAGAGAGAGACATATAAGAACGAAAACGTGCAAAACACACACCCATGCAACCACATTCCTACTTCCAAGACCTTGAAAACCGCCCGCAAAACCCCTCAGTCATCTCGGCTTTCTTATAAACTGGGAGTGTGTTACAGTCACTGTTTTTATTTGAATGCATCGTTTCTTTACTGGATTGTAGGCGCTGCCAGAGACAGACACATGATGAACTGACTGAGGGAACTCAAAGGACCTCAATCTCAGGAGTTGTGAGCTTTTGGTTTGAGCCTCAGCCCACTGTAAAGCACAGCAGTACTTTCCCTTCTGATGATTGCACTTATTAACCTGACAGAAAGAAAACATGGTCAGTGAGCTGTTCACATAACTCATTATCTAACCTTACTTACTGTATTGTTGACTTTAACAATCACAGCTGGATCGTGACTCACTACTCTCACAGGTTTTCAACTCACTTCTACAAATCCCGAGCTTTGTCATCAGTTCACTGTGATACATGATAAGGGGTGTTCGGATGTGATTCTGATATTGGATATCGGTCCGATATCAGCAAAAAAACGAATATCGGATTAGATCGGCCTGCATCTAAAATCTCCGATAACAGCACTCAAATACAAGCAGTCTATTCCAGACTCCACTCCTGCACCTCTATCTAGCAGCGCCCTGATCCAGCATGCAGAGCCCACGTGATAACAACAACAGTGTGTACTAAGATACTAACAAAATAGCAAGGAGTAGGAGTGATGTCGGCTGTGTGGCAGTATTTTTCACAAGTTTGTGCTAATATGGGATAAATATCAGTATTGGCCAGTGCTAACGGCTACAATATTGGTATCGTATTGAAAGTAGAAAAGTTGTAACAGGACACCCCTTTATGTGATAACAGCATACTGGTACTGGTACTTTTGGAGTTTCCTTTTTTGTTTTTTTTTGTTTTACACAATTGTTGATCAGTATCTACCTGGTCTTGTCATGGTGAACGCTAGCTTTGAGTTTGTGAAGAAGTTAGCTGTCTACATACACCAATACGCTCTCAACAATCGGGCCCATTTTATAAATTTGCAGTTTGGTCACTTAACTGCCCCATTATGGGATTATGTAGCAAGCTCAGGTGAATTATGGGAATTTGTGTGTGGTCCCTTTGTTAGAGTGTGCGAGAGAGCATGCGTGTTTATTATTCCCATGTATGTCAGTCTGCGTTTGTATGTTTACATGTACAAATTGGAGCGCGTGTGTGTAAGTATGCTCTCAAAAATGTGTGCCTTTCCGATTAGCACTTGGAAGCTGGTTTTCTTGTGCAATTACAGGCCATTACCAGTCCACCACATGTCAAAAGAAAGCCACTTGTTGCTGTACATATACTTAAGGAGCGAATTACTGACCATACTCAAGTTGTACAGATCTTGAAAACTAATGGGCCAGAAAATACTAGAGGAGGGAGAGAGAGAGAGAGAGACGCACATGTAATACTCGTGCACACAGATGCTCAATCGTTAATACATACAGTTGACCCCATGATCGTTTAATTCCCAAAGCAGTTTTCTTTTCAAAGTTGCAACATTAAACTGTATACAAACACATGAAGTTGTATAACTAAAGGCTGGAGGAATTGTGGTTCACCAGGAACAATTACTGCTGCAATATCAAATCTAATGTAACACTGTTGACTGCTTCTCCTCTATTCTACTGCGTATTCTGACCAAAGCTTTTGCCTTAACTTTTAAATTAATTCTTATCCTCTTATCCTTTCATTTTCAGTTGTTTTTCTTCAGTTACCTTTCCACTGTGGCAAACTGTGGAGCTTTCAAGTCTTCACCAAGGGAAACTATTTCACTTCAAACTGAGTTCAAACTCACAACACAGCCATGCCAACCAGAAAACGACCACGTGCACAAGATGCCTTTAGTCCAACTTCTTAGAGACACACACCTCCACACCTACTCATGTGATTGGGGGGAAGAAAAGTTTTCATTTAACCCATCCATGACATGCAGGTTTTAAACACATTCTTCCTTTTTTAAACCATCTATGGTCGATAAAGTAGCATCCCAGAGGCAAATACTGGTGCATGAAAGTGATCAGGGTGCAGGAAAAGAAACATTTACAGCTGTACATTTTCTGAGAAAGTCCCTATAACATCCTGATGGTGCAAATGATCTTTCTTTCTTTCTTTCTTTTATATATCTCAAACTTTAAGAACAGAAAAAGAGGTACAAAAAACAACAAAGCAAAATAATACATGTGTACACTGAAGAACTGTACATGTCAAAGATAAATTTATACCAACATGTATGTCAAAACTAACAGTTTGAGAAGGAACTGCATGAAGCAAAGAGCTCATGAAGCAAACTATTCAACCTCAAGTGTATAAGCCAACATGTTTGGGCTTTAAAAATGGTTTAAATGAATTCAAGCGGTAAACTATATGTATTTCTTTTTGTGCTTTTATTGTAGAGGGTAGCACAGTGGACAGTGCAGGGAAACAGGCAGAAAGGGTGGGGAGTGAAATGCAGGAAAGGAGCAGTAAAACTAGGGGGCAGCATGAGGCATGACCCCCATACATGGTGTGAACCAGTGACTCTTCTATGTATGTATATGTATGTGCAAATTTTCTGAATAATAGTTTTCTTTATTTTTTTTAAACAACATTTAATTGAATTTTCAGAATACAAATACGCAGAAGAAAAAAGAAGAGACACATGACAGCCCAAATGTTATGAGCTGCACAGACCTCATGAGAAGAATAAACGAACAAAAGTAATTAAATCAACAGCAACAGAGAAACGATAGAGCTGTATACATACACAATGCAGCACTACATGATGGGGCTGTAAATTAACTTTTCAAAATGAGTCAGCTTAGGTACATAGATGAGAGACTGCATGGTCAGGGCAATGTTGAGAGTGACAGGGGAGGGGATTTACAAAAGTCCAGGAGGGACACCAGTTCACACCACAACGCCCTCTGTGTACCAGGTCTGCTGCTCCGTGCGGAAGGTGGTTTAGAAAAGGCACCCACAACTTGTCAAAAGTCTTCTCAAGCGCTCTATCTGTAATACTTTAAAGATCCATCCATACCACTGGTTAACTGTTAGAGGTCTGGGCCTCCTTCCTAAGACAAGAAGCTTGTGCAATGGTCTTTGCTGGACATGTTTTTGGGAGATTCATTTGGGAGATTTAACAGAAAAAAAACAGGATCCATTTGTTTTTTCTCCGTCATACTAGGGTCAAGTTCCTGTGAGACTTTCTCTCAAAATGTAAATATCAGAGGGAATTTCATTATTTTTTTAAATACTAAATTCTTTTTTGGGAAAATAAACCTATTTCTGAATTGACTTCAGTGTAACTCGTCTCTTACGAAGCTGTTAGGCACGACGCAGAGGCACAAAACACTACGACTTTACACACACTCAGTTTGACCTCAGTGGCTTAGGTTACTATCACACATCCCATTAGACCCTACTTTATTTCACTGCTATGTCATCAGACAAAGCATGCATCCTTACAACAAGTATGTCCATTCATACTCATTGAGATAGCAGTAAATAGCTGGAGCCAACCGTGACTGGGGCTAATCCGATTGCCTGACACAATGGACACTCGGGACAGACGGATCAGTGAGCAGCCAATGGGAAGAGGGACACACATAGACAGCTACACATCACCATTGGGGAAGGGCAATTGGTTACGGAAATGAAAAGCCATATCATTAACTGGTTTAAATGAGAGTCACACACAATCACACACAAACTCCATGGGAGTTTTAAAACACAAACTCTTGTGTTGAAAATGAACACACACAAAGTGGGATCAAATCCAATTTGATCAAGCTCTGTCCCTAACATGCGCTCCTATCAAGTACACTGACGTCACACGTATGAAACCAGCCACTCCAGCATGAAGGCGTTCACAAGAAGATGAGAGGTCAGAAGTTCATGAGGACAAGACGCCGTGACAGAAGTCCTGAATCATCCAACATTGAAATAAAGTCATTACTATGAGAAAATACTTCTCCTCTGACCACACGCATTTGAGAATGACAGCATTTGATAAAGACAACAAAGAAATCGGGTTATACACATTATATCAGTAATTAAAAGGAAATCAGTTAATCGCACATGACCACAAAATGTCTTCATAATTGAAAGCACACAGAAAGCTAAAACTCTGGGAATTTATCTTCTTTATTTGACGGACTGAGTTCAAGGTTCACGAGGCTCAAGCTTGAGCCGGTGGAAAAACTGAGACAGGCTTTGGATCATCTCAAAATATACTGAAACACAACAAACTAATATCATTTTCATACACACTCATACTATAATAAAATAAAATGTGTGTAAAAATACAAAAGCTACGGGTCTCTTCCCAGTGCTTTATATGGCCTACAGACCCACCACCATTATTAAGACAACAGATTCACTTATTCCTCCAGAGCAGACAGATTCACTCACCCTCTAAATGTCAGTCTTTCTTCCTACTTTGTGTTAATGTATATTTAAGTCTATCGCAAACGTAGGATTAGTGACTCTCTACAGAGGTGACTGACCTCAGGGCAGAAACATGTGCAGTTAAGACAGACAATGAATGAAGAGATAGAGAAAAGACAGAATCAAAATGGAAAAGACAGTAATGATGACAACATTAAGCGTGACTGCATTTAGCCTTGTAAGGGTCTTAATTTATTGATTCAATGTAGACTAAGGATCTGTCAGCAAGACTAAGACAGGGAAATTTCAAACAAGGTCAAGATGAAAAGGAAATTCTTTCTTTTCAAACATGGCTGTACATCAGTGCTGGCTGACACAGACACTGTTAACAGACAACAGTGCTTTGATATCAATGTCAACAGTTCAATTTATAAATCAGGATGACTTTCATCAAAAGAATGAATCACTTTTATATAATATAGTTATATTTTCTGCTGGTATCTGTTCTAACTATTTCACCCGCTACTGTGGATACCCAAGCTAAGGCAAGAGGAGCATAAGCAAAACCCCTGAAAAGAATGAGTCAATCACCGAGTGTAGTGGATCATTTCCTTAAGGTAATAATCATCATAATAATCATTTTGCACTGCAGACACCGTAGTTCTTCTGCCTTAGCGTCTCGGTCTGTTTGAATTTCCATGAAGAAATGATCATAAATGTTCTTCCTTGAGCTGCCAAACTCCACTGCACTCGGTGATCGACTCATCAGGGCTCCCCCACAAACAAGTGGCTGCTGGAGGAGAGTGGGTGAGTTGTATTTAGTCTCTTTACTAAAGAAACCAGGCAAAGCTGAAAAGATGTTTGGTGGCTAGTACTATGGCTGGGAGCCTATATGTACTGTTGATGAAGTTAGGTGCTGTTCTGAGCATTATTTGTGGCTATAGAGTGGCATTTTGGTTAAGGGTTGCACGTGGATCCGTAGACCTCTGTGTATTGCTATTGTGCGGTCGTTACTAAAGTTGTTATAACTAGAGAAGCAAGCAGTCGGCAACATTCATCTCTCAGGGGGGTGTCTAACTCGGTGTTACCATGTGTTTGACCCTAATTTAATTTTACGCCGGAATATCCCTTTAAGGCCTTGGGAATCATGCACACAACCTGTTCTTGCAACCTGAAAGTGATCTGCATGCTGTGTGCATGTTAAGTCTCAGTAATCAACAAAAGGAACTGGCCTGAACAAACATACAGCCGGCAGTGCGGGCAGGTGCTACCATCAGGCCCTTTTTCTCTTTCCCCAAACACACAACCTTTGTGGTAGCCTGCAAAGGAAGGGTCTCCTGAGGCCAAGGTCAGCTCCCCGCAGACCACCACAGCTCTGCTCTGGCTCCCAGATGTTCTCTCTTACCCATACATACACACACAAACACGCATACACATACGACATAGACACACATGGGAAGAAGGAAAAGGCTTTTGAAAGCTGAAACAAATAAACTTAAATTAACCAGCAAACAGGCTGCAATTTTGTGTGTGAATGTTGTAGCTACTGCACATTACTTTGCTCGGATGTTTAGTCGGGAAACGTATTCACCTGTTTGCCTTGTACAGTTTCCAACAGCTCTGTTTTTTGTTTGTGTTTTCATGGTTTTTTCTCGGTTTATGTGTGCACATGTGTCTGTATGTCCTTTAGCGCACATATGTGAGTTACTGCCTGTGCACTTGTTGAATAAATGATCTATTTCTGGGTCTGTCAAGGAAATGGGGGACGGGAGGGGTGGGGTGGGTGGATGAGGCGGACCGTTTGGATGCTGATCAAGACAGACGTGTGTGTATGTGTGCGGTGGTGGTTGCTGGCGGAGGAGGGCAGAGGAATCCACACCAGACCATCTATTATAATGACAGGAAGCAGGAAGTACAACCCCTTCGCAGTCACATGGCTGCCAGCTGTCTTGGCAGCTAAACAGGGGAAGATGGAAGGGATGATGGGGAGCATGTGTATATATGTACAGTGTATATGTGTGTGCGTTTATCTATGTACACATGTTGGACTTGTCAGATGGGATGGAAAACACGTAGGTGGAGCACTATTCATAAGTCCATCCATTCCTACATGTGAAGATGACATTTTTGCATGGTATATTTTCTTGCACATTGAGGTCAAAGGCTTTAAGTATAATTAAGGAAAGTATTTGCAACTGTCAACAATTCAGACCTCCATCTTCTTTCTCTTCAGACAGAAAAATAATCAACCATATAGTCTTCAGACGCACAAACACTAGTCCTAAGCCAGATCTAGCGCAAGCTTACTCCAGTTTCCAACATATGGATGTGTTTAACAACTGCTGCTCAGTACACATGTGCACGCCCACTTGTAGAGACACATGTATGCACATATAACCTCACATGCATACACATGCACATGCACAGTCAGGGACACACATTTTTTCCTGTGAAACCTTCCCAGGCTAAAGCACGACAGAATTAAAGCTGCAAGCGGCAACAAACTGGCCTTCACATCTTTGAGCACGTTGAGGCGTGAGGTGAGGTGAGGCGAGGAAATGCCGTTGGTTGCACAGCAGCTGCAACTGTGCACCAGGGTCAGTCCTCTCAGCATGAACTTAATACGCATCTTGATGTTCACGGAACAAGACTAACAGCTTATATGTGGGTTTCACCAGAGGGTAAAGGCTACGACTTGGATAAAGTTTTCCTCTGTAGGAACGTTCAATAAAGTGCATTAGTTGATAAGCGAAAGTTCATTTTCATTTGATTATGGCTGTAATACTACTTGATTACACTAGGTGGCATAATAATTGTGACAAAACTTTGTAGATGAGTTCAGGGTGGGGCTACCATCAATTTTGGGAAATTTGGAGCAAATTGGACAATGCATCTTTAGGTTAATCCCATGTATTTCCACAAGGTGGCGCTATGACTGATGGAAAAATGGTGCACAGTTGTATTCAGGGGTGGACTTTGATATGAAATATCAAACAGAATGAACACAGGGGTTACAGTGACTTCCTGTTTTCATCAAAGGTCAATGAACTTGCACGGCCACACCGTCTGACTGACCAAAATCCTTAAACAGCATTTCTTTAACGTGTCTGCCTCACACAGACACTGTCTGACACGGGGGTCGATCAGACAAACTCCTGCCACTAAGTTCATTAAAAACTCGAAAACGTAAAATATCAAATATTTTGAGTTTACTGAGTTGCAGACTAAGCTAAGGCCCTGAAATTTGGGCTCGTTTTAGCAGAGAGAGTGACGAAAGAAAAGAAAAACATAATCTTTACCACTACGACCCTCGTTCTGTTATGGTGTTGGGCCCTAACTAAAGCAGATTTTTCTTTTTACAAGTACTTTCCCTAAAGGTGGGAAACTGAAATAAAAGCCCCAGATAATAACCAAGAATGAAAAAATACATACACAAATATATATGTTTCCCTGCCCTGTGCTGGGTAGATCCCCGTTGTGATGTTGCAACATCCATAAGGAATCATGTTTGGTACCTTTCATCTGTCAGACTTTATATCACTCCAGGTTTGCAGGCTGTGTTCTGGCTAACCATAAGAGTATCAAATTCAACCGCACAACAAGAACAATCATCGCAACTTGAAACCTTCTGTTCCCTCTGGCGACCTTTGCTGCCCTAAAGACCCTGAATAAGAGCCTCAATCATAGACGTTGGATTATGAGGACTGTCAGGAAGCCTACACAAACACTCACCTTCAGACAGGTGGGCGGTGAGTGGTGTCTGTGTCTCTTTACAGTAAGAGACCACCTCTTTGGGAAGGAAGTCCACCTGTGTGATCTTTGAGGCGCCCAGTCTCTGCATCCTGCGCCTGCATGACAGAGGAAATATGTTCTTAATGACAATTTTGTGTTCCTTTAAACCCAGACTGCACTATACAGCACAACACATGTCTTTTTTTATAGTGTGTTCATGGATAGCAAGTATCTCTAGCAACATTTTCTGCACATTTATATCAGCAGCCACTAGATTAGTTTACCCTTTATGTGAACTTTAAACAAGACTTTAATGTAAAGTGACATGCATGCCAAATAAGGTAGCTAGGAGTTTGATTTGTGGAGGAGAGAAGACAGATGTACCCGAGCTCAGAATCAGCCTGCAGCTGCAGCACAGAGGGATCTGTGTCCCACTGCAGCGTCCTGATGTCACCAACAGGGGGAGCAAGAGAGAACATGCAAGTTTACCAGCAGACACATCATAACAAACACTTGCACGCATGTATCAGACACACATTAAAGCATGTATGCGCACACTCCCAAACCCCCAACCCCACTTATCTCCGGATCTGCTTAACAAGGAAATTCCCATCAAATTTGGCGCGGGGCACAGTTAATGGAAAAATGTCTGGATAAGTGGACAAAGCGTGGGAGGGCTATACATTAGGGAGACATTATATTTCATTATACTTTAGTGTACATAATTTATTTAAAGATCTCTGCTCATCTCTTTAAATAGTTTTCTTGGTCGTGTGCCAGAAATCTACAAGTTCAAAAATACCTTTAACATTTATGGACATGAAACATTCCATTGTTGCGAATAGGAGGGTCGAAATGATTGTTTTCAGTGGGAGAACTATTAGACCCGGTGACTCTTGCAGAAATCCTTTATCAGATGTTTTAATCTTAAAACGCACCAAAAGTTGAGCACGTTTACACAGACTGGCCCCTCCATTCTCATGCACCCTTAATTGGAGTTGTGTGACTCTTTGTTTTGATGTTTCATATGCAAACATGAAGCCAACGTTACACAGAAACATGAGTAATGACGCGCAGCACACACTCACATGTTGACAGCATATAAAAATCAAATCAAAAGTGACTCGTAGAGATTTAGCTGGACATACATGACAATGCACTTGCCATGTATGATTAATGAGCTGGACAAACCTCGGTGCATTAGTGTGCTTCCTCAGCTTATACCAAGAGGGGAACAGCTTACCGCAAAACAAATCAGTGTCTGAAAACTAGTTTTAAGGCAACCTGGTTAAAAATCGACCAGCTGTGAAAGTATAACGCTTCCAGCGCCGCTATACTTTCTGATGATACCTTTTAGGGCCAGTGAGCACGCCCATTAAAGCTTCAGTTTGTGCCACGCAGCGCCAGGTGAGAGTGGCAAGGCATTTCTTTAGCCTGACAGAGCGGCTGTTTTACAGTAACAGCGGTGACACTTTAAGCAGCAGATTGTCAACTCTGTGAAGGCTGAAATGACTTCTGTGGCTCAACTCATGCGAGCAGAAATCTTTCGAGGTGGTGTTAAAGGGAGACAGTGGGGCATAAGACGGGGAAGTCACCACAGGAGAGCAGAGGAAAGAAAGAAAGACGAGGGGGGAGCACCGAGCTGTTTTGATCTTTCGAATCGTGATGGTAACACATTGCTAAGACCGCTGACAACACTGTGGGTGCCTCTCTGAGTAAACTCGGCTCAAGAAGGGAGGGAAGGGGTGAGGAGGGTCCTGGGTTTGACAGGAAAATGCTTACCTTGAGGTCTGTACTTGGGACTTGTTTTTAGAGAAACCTGACCTAAGAAGGGACACACACATACACAGCCACAGATGGAAGAAGCTCTGATTGGCATGCTATGATCCAGGGTGGATTTAGGGCGGGTAATAAGAAGGTCAATCCAGGTATGCGACACAACTTAACAATTTGTGATTTTTAAAAGCTATAAAGGAGCTGAAAGTCTAATCTAGGGAGTGTTAAGGTGTGCTGGGAACTCAACTAACGCACAACCCTCATCCCCGAGTCCACCCTGAGCCATACCAGAACAAGACATCACTGATGATCCCTGAGGACATCACCCACACTCCACCTCTACAGTCAGCTGCCAATAGAAAGCAAATGGAAAGCGATTGATGACCACTCTTCTCCTAACTGTGGCTTGAATTCACCGTAGCAGCCATATGCAGAAGTGTTTTAAATGGCAGGAGCATGCATGGCACATGAGCTGGTAAGCACTGTAAATATGAGTACAGAGTGGGGAAAAGCTTACATTTTGTCACTTGTGTTTAAATCAGCTAGTTGTCTTGACAGCAGGTGAATTAGTTTCTTCTCATTTGGCTCAAAGTGAATAACTTAGTCTGTTTACTGTCTCTAAGACTGCTTTGTAAAGCTTATCAAACGCTCTCGTCTTTATCTCCAAGTCAACATTTTAGCACTAAAGCTGAGACTCACCTCCAGCTCTGCCTCTCAGGACTAGTTGTTAGAGATACACAGTGGTCATCAAGACACAGTAATACAGTATGACATGACAACTGACATGTATGACATACAAAACCTAACAGGGCACCACGGCCTCACCATTAGTGACACTGATCCTTACCTAAACCTGTTGTGCCATTGATAGAAGAAGAGACAGAATATACATCAAAAGTATCCAAAGCAACTTCAGCTGGAGTTATATTTGATTTACATCAACACCTGGCATTTTTTTTATTATTTTAAACACAAGGGGTGAAAGATTACTAAGGTATTTTTTCATTAAAGTTCATATCTGAACAAGCACAGTTTAAATATTGGCAGAAATAAAGATGATGAAATATAGTGTGTATATGTCATAGTAAGAGTAACAGGTCAATCTTAAAAATTATGTGTATCAATATCTTTTTCAGCCAAAATGAGTTTAAAAATATCAGCCAATCAGATATCAGCAAAAATCCAAATGCATCCCTATTTTTGCGTGACTTTATCGTAATTTAGGGGATTTGGGGTGTTTACCTGCTCGCTGCTCCTCCATCAGCTGAATCCTGGCTTCCCGTCTCACTGGGCGTACTCACTGATTTGGAGGGGGACACAGGAGTCGGCACTAAGCAATAGAATTAACATAGATCATTAGAGGCTGCAGAGAATGGGACTGGAGAGGAAAGCAACAGAGTAGAATAAGTGACTCTACAAATTAAAAAAAAAACAACATCTAAAAATACTGGGAGGGTTTCAAAAGAATTCAAGCTTTATTTGAAGTTTCCTCGGTGGGTTTTAACAGCGTGATAGTGACCCAATTTAGAGGTGTTGATAGTGTTGTTGCAGTGTCAGACCACTAGAGAACAGTGCTTCCAACAGCTGGGGAAAAGAGGCAGACACCCGAGGGATACAACTCCCAGACATGTGCAGGACTAACAAGGCAGTATTTTTTGGCAGGCCATCCAAAAACCAAGTGAGTTGGTGCTTGAATTGAATTTCAGGAGCATAAAAAGTATGTCTAATAAATAGAAATGATGCATTCAAGGTACACAGAACAATAGGGAAAGATAGTACAAATTGGTGAAGCCAGAACAAAAGTTGGTTCAGTTTAAACACAAAGATGAGTCAGTCTCAGCTGATCTCTAAAAAACGGTTATGAAATAGCTACAGTTACCATCAGGACATTATAAAAAAAAATGTTTATTTTGTTAAATTGTTAAATGAGCTTCACAGTAGGTATTTTTTTGTACATGCTCTATCCCCTGTTAGTGAACAGTATTATCTAACCATTGAAGAGTTTCTGCCCACACTGAATCATGTTTTATGCAAATTGAGAACAATCTAGGTCAGTTTTAGCAGAGGTTTGGCAGTGAATGGCTTAACCTTTACCAACACAACTACAGGAGAACAAAGCAAACAGGATTTTTGCATAGAGGATGAGTAATGTGTACCTAGTGGTGGTTCAGGTGAGATGCCAATACTCTGCAGCAGGGCCTCAGTCTCCCTGCGCTTACGATCTAAGTCTGAATCCTCAGGAGTCATCTCCCTCTTCTGCTGGCTCTCTGACTGCTCAGGATGCAGACAAGAATGTTGGTTTACATGCATAATGAGTTAAAAAACAAGTTCAAACACACAGACAAACATGCACATTTTGATCCAAATTCCAACACAAACCTTCAGGACACAAAAAGATGACTGTATTCACATGTGGACACACACAACCTCAGCCTTCTTATGTGTCACAGCCTGACAAAAAGCAACTGAACACACAAACAAAACACACCAGAGTGCAAAACAGTATGGGTGCCATGTTGTGGACGTTTACTCACTTTCTTCCTTACCTCTTTCTTCTTCCTCTCCTCCTCCTTCCTCTTTTTTTCCTCCCTGATTTGGGCGAGGCGCTGCTTCTTGCGCTCCAGCTCCGCTTTTAGGTCGCTTTTGTCTGACATGGTGTCCTAGGGGGGCTTCAGGGAAGAGGTTTCAGTAGGAATGCGGTACGTATGACAGTGTGACAATCTGCGCTGATTTCACTGTAACATCATACACTGGTGGTGCCTTAAAAAACCCTAAAGGGTGTGGCAGTTACACTCCTAAAAATCGATGACCTCGAAGGATCACGATTATTTAGTCTATGTTTACTGCTGTCAATACCGAGCTAAAACAGTTCTCTATACTTTTGTGACACATGTACCTTCTCTCACTATAACTACGCACTAGTCAATCCCCCTGAATCTTCTCATCAAACCTTAGAGTCTAGTGTCCATTAAAAACCTCTAATTTCATTTCTGTACAGTTAAAGCTTAACATCTGAAAATCCCTGCTCAGGTTTAAAATCCCAGCTTTACTACTTTATAAAGATAGTAGAAAAGACACAACAAGAGCAGCTTAATAGTTGAATCTTGAATTAGGCTAACTAACAATGCAGATAGGCTATCTATTTATAGCAGTCTGCATACAGAGGAGTTATTTGTGGAGCATGAGGCCACAGTCATATCTGAGACAAGGCGCATGAAAAGATGTCACTTGACCCTGGAGGTTCAAAAACGTCTGTCTAACAATGTAGGTTGTTATATAGTAAACAAGAGGACACAAAGGAACTAACAAATACACAATGCAAGCACAATAGAAAACACAAATAACGAGGTTTAAACAGAAAAATAATACAGTTTGTGTTCGTTCAACAGCCAGACGTTAGCAGGGCAAAAGGCAATCATAGCTAGCTAATCACAGATTTAACGCGTTAGTGTGAACGTCAAAGGGCCTTTCAACGACTGCAACAGCAAAATTTGACCACCAAATGTTCATATTTTAGCAGAGAGAATCACATAACGTGCTGTTAACTTCCACTCGTACCTTGTCCACTTGTACTGATAATGATGTGTCACCCGGCAAAGATGCTGTCTCACTGCTGCACCCCGACACAGAAATTCAACACATCCTCACAGCCAACCCGAATCGAGGTCTCCTTCAACCAAACCGACAGGTCGTTTGAGCCTTTAAGCACGGTAATCAATGGCAGTGATTAAAACAGAGCATTTCTGCTGTCTAATGTATCAAATATTGTACAGAACAGGTGCACCACACGCCGATACATCCCTGGGAGGAGTAGATGATGTTGGGGAGGAGAGGAAATCCCTCCTCCTTTGACACGACCTGTCATCGTCTCATGGCCTTTGCAACACCGCCATCTTGTGGCCGTTGGACATACATGCTATGGAAAAAACAAAAACAAAAAAAAGGCTCAATTATGCAAAATTTAAGCATATACATAACTTATTGACGGTTATAATTTTATACATGGGAACGTTAAATTTAAACACTGTGTTCGGTTGGCATCAAAGTGTACACTTTAGGTGCATCACACTGAGGCTGAGTCTGCATGTTGCGCCCTGAAGTGCACACTTCAACGTTTAGGCAACTAAACGATTAAACGCTGACACCTCAGCAAGTTTGGACCATAAGTTAGATGAACTGTTGACATTTCTATTACTGTTGGCCTGAAATACTGGTCATATATTGTGTCTCAGATATTCTGCAGTGTGCAACTGATGTGGCAATTGCACACTCTTAAGTTCACTTGACAGTTTTGAGCGCAAATGACTAAGTTAAAACTTTAACATGCACAGTTTTATGTGTACACTTCCGAGAACACTTTCATCAGTTTTTTTGGTCCACTCTTTTACGCCAGCTTGAAAGTGTACACAGAAAATTACAAACTTTGTAGTGCAATCTAGCAATGCACACTGTGAAGTGCAAGTTAAGGCACACATTTCTAAATGTACACTTTAACTTCGAAAAAAGTGTGCACTTTATGGTACATGAACTGATATGATTGTATGAATAGTAGAGCAAGTATAAATGCAAATATTGGCTTAGTTAAAGTTGCCTCAATTATGCAAGCCTTCAAGTGCACACTTGAAAGTGCACACTTCTCATTGTTGCCAATCTCATTGTTAGTTTAAACTGTAAAGTGAAAAATGACAGTTTTCATTATTTTTAAAGTGCACAATTTTAGTGCATATTTATATGTACACTTATTGAGAATATATAGCATCACACTTGAAACTTAATTTAAAAGTGCACGATTTAAAGTGAACTTTAAAATTAATACTTTTCAGCTGACATGAGAAAGCAAACTTGACATGTTGACTTGTGGGGCAGATTTTTTTTCTTCTATCCTTTTCTTTTTTATCAACTTTATTCTTATTGACTGTTTCAGTTGCAACTATTTTTATATCGCTTTCAAACGTTTCAAATTAGTCCAGGTGGAATATTTATCATTACTACCTTATCTAAGTGTCTCCCAGTTTAAATCCATGCTTTGTATATATCCAGTAGTCAGAATGATACTTTTTACTGGTTAGAAACGTTTAAAGCCACGTTTTTATGATTCAGAAATATTTTGAAGCAGTAATGGCTGAGGATCAAAAACAGACAACAGAGAGAACAAAATTATCCTATCCCCAACCTTTATTTTCCTGTAATAGAGATTTCTTACCGTTCTTTTATGTAACTGCACTATATTTATAAGTTTTCATCTTGCAAATGTTTTTATAACCACTCACAAACGCTGTACTCCCTTATCTACCATGCTGCTCAAACGAGAGGAACAGCTTGGCTCACATTGGTTGGTTTTAATGTCAGTCTTTTCTTCGCCCCGCCCAACAACAACAACACGTCTCTCAGCGCTGGAAGTTGCATTTGAAGGACATTCAACAACTTGTCAAGATGCGGGGGTCCAGCGCAGGAAAAACGAGGACGGGGAACTGATCGTACATCCTGAGAGATATCCCCTCTTTCAACCCGTGGTTTCCTGTAGCTATGGCGTCGAAGCTTTAGCCTTGCTAGCTCAACAATCATCAAGGTGGAGTGTGCAGGGGGAAGAAAGGACAGCCTGTGCCTCTTGTACTCGGACCGTTGGGGTCTCTAACGGGGAGCAAACATGAAGTTCGCCCAGTTTCTGCTGAAAAATGGCTCCGTTGCTGGGATACCGAAACAAGTGGAGAGGTTTGCGAAGTTCTCCCCCTCTCCCTTGTCTATGAAGCAGTTCATTGACTTTGGTAAGTGTTACCCCGCAGTACTAACTTTTTTTGCTGTTGGACATTGAACGTTACTTAATTCTGTCCTCACATGGCAATTCTTTAACTCACGTTATTGTCTTCTTGTACAGTGACAACTTGCTTGTGGTTTACAGATTATGATTGCACAAAAGCAGTTACCATTCCAGAAAACAAAACCTGCAGATGCATACAGATGTTAGCAGAGGCTGCCTCAGATTGAGCATTAGCTAGCATCTTTGCTTTTGCTGACTTAGTCCATGATATCAATTCTTGCAATGACCAATGAGAGATAAAGCCCGTGCACGGACATACACAACCTCTCATGTGACTGCAAACTCAGCATAACTGATGCGTGAAAATGCACGTATTTCAGTCATGGCTTTCCTGTCTGCACAGAAGAAACACCCGTGCATGCCATGTCCTTCATATACTGCCTACAACTCCACATGCAGTTTTTAAAGGTCACTGTTTTTCCTGCTTTTGTCTCTCATGTGACTTCAGGCTCTGCCAATGCATGTGAGAAGACGTCGTTTGTGTTTCTGCGGCAGGAGCTTCCTGTCAGACTTGCCAACATCATGAAAGAAATTGATTACCTCCCAGACAAGCTCCTCGGCACTCCATCCCTAAAGCTGCTAACCAGCTGGTAGGATCCATACACCAAAGTAATACATATTGAACGTTTCTGTTGTTCAGACATGGACACAAATTAAATCCCATTTTAGTTCGCTGTCTGAGAGTCCTACTGTCATTTTTTGTGTGTTCAAGGTAATACAAGGTTGCACAGGGACTAGTTTTTACAGTAACAGTGGAGCATATTGTCAATGTGCTCATACCATTGTATTTTTAGTGGTTGTGTTTTTAAATTGCCTCCTGAATTGCTCTAAAAATAACTGCTTATAGAATTACAAATTGTGATATGATGACAACGCTGCTCCTGAGGTTATGTGAGGTTTCGTCCCTGTCTGCTCCGTTTTAATATGCGCCAGAGCTCCTCCTGTCTCACTCAGCTGTTCTCTGTGCATTCACTGGCTAGATGCCATTGAACTGAGAGCTAACTTAACAGTCTGATCTTTGTTCAAATTAGACAAGATGAGAAAGTCAGGGGAGCCTCATAGTTCCAGTTTTCATGTCAATACATTGTGTTTATGTAACGGGCCCTACCAGATCATATATGTACCATAAAGATGTGGTGTGTTTGTGGTCATAACCTCCAGACAGTGAAGGTTGATACCAGCATGTTTCCATAGCAAAACACTCAAGATATAAAGTTTGCAACATGGTTAACAGCCACATAATCCTGTGTTTCACCACTACTTGTAGCGTAGACAGCAAAGAATAAGTGTGAAAATTACAGGGAGAGCTTGTTCATCATGTTAGGAATACAAGTCATGTTAACATTAAGGTTCTTTACCCCACCCCAACACTTCCACTGTTTTTAGAAGAGCTCCAGTAAGCTCTATATTTGGCAATGCACCTCCGAGGCTGTGACTTTCTCTTTCCGCCACTGCCTTGTTTCAGCAAAACAAAAAAAAAGGTCTATCACCATTCAGTGTCATCGAAAAACAAGAGCCACCTCTTTAGATTTCCTCACAAGGTTGTGAAAACAGCAGCTGCACAATATTTTAGTTCAAGCTGCCCACGTTGGCATGACGAGACACTTCTGGAAGTTGGAGATTAGAAGGTCAGTTGAGGGACAAAAGAAGGCAGGCGTGCAGCAATCAAAGCCACAAACACTGCTGTCACCTTTCACCCAGTTTCTCTGCAGCGGCGCAGCGCGAGGGAGTGTGATTCAATGAGCTCAGCACTCCAGTCTTCACATCCACTGGACTACAGATAAAGTCTGTGATAAAAACAGAAACTCTTATCTAGAGCCAGGACACTGGATTGCAGTCGTGGAAATTCTTTATGATTTATTATGTCTCACATATAAGCTTATGCATAAAACATACTGTAGATAGCACCGAATGCAATGATGAGATAGATGTGTTTATCACTCTGTTGTAAAGTCATATAACTCTATTTGAGATGTGATCTACTCTTTCTTTTGTGTTAAACAGGTATTCACAGAGTTTGTTGGAGCTTGTAGAGTTCCTAGAAAAAGACCCAGATGATCGGGAAGTGCTGACAAGGTAAGTCATACCGTGCACTTTCCATTACACATGGACAGACTGTTTGCCCTGGACTTAAAGACTTAGACTTAAAGTTAGTCTTTTTTATGTTTGTTACCACTCCAGTCTGATAAGTATTTAGTATTTTCCTGCGAAGACTAATCCCCTAGTTCTGTTTTCATTAACAGTTTGTTGCTAACCCCAAACTGCTAACCTAAGACTGCACCACAGTGTGACCAGATTCTCAAGTAAACACCAACAACCTAATGCCTACATTCACCTGCCTTGTTGTCCAGCTTGTCTGAAGAAAAAGAATTGGTCAGTGATTGATCCTAGTGTGTTCCACTTTTATTCAGTGCAGTTTAGTGCTGGCAGATCAGTAATACTGAGAAATTCTGAGAAACGAAGTCTTGTTCCCACAAAATTGTCCACATTTGTAGCCAGAGTGTAAAGTTACAGTATATCTGGTACAAGCTCTTTTTAATGCTCCTGTGTGGAGTTTATGGCAGGTTATGAAACAGTCTTAAAATAAAACTGTTGTCTCTGTATAAACCTAGAAAGTAAGGGAGTCAGTTACAGTTAGCAATTAGACTGACTATATCTTAAGTAATAACTGTGATGTCTTTAATTTGCAGGTTACTGTTTGTTAGCAAGCTCCTTCAGTAGACTTCTGTCAAATTTTGATGGGAAAAAGTAACAGCGAGAGGTGTGTTTGACTCTTTAAAAAGATGGAAGAGTTGTTGCTTTCTCAGAATACACTGCAGGACCAGTTTAGATGCATCGCTTGTCCACAGGGGGCGCCAAAATCCGCACAAAAGATAAGTTCCTCACAGTTGCGTTAAAGCAGTCTGACTCGTTTATTTTTTCTAATTCTTTCCTGTGCACATGAAAGTTTCCCGATGAAGAACCTGCTGTCACTGAGCAAACACTTAAGTCATTTGTTAGCCAAGGCTGTTCTGACAGTGTGCTCTTAACCGCACCGTCTGACACTTAGCCCATTACAGCAGTTACAGACATAAATAATAAGAGCATAGAAATACTCTATTGTCTTCTTGATGTTTTACAATACTTTTGTAGATCATTTAGAGACAGAAGTGTCAACTTTTTATTTGTTTTATAACCAGCAAAAAACTCCTTATGGTAGCTTTAAACATGGTTTCTATAAATCGAAATTTCCCATTAATTACTATTGAGATATACACACTGCAGCCACCATTGGACATGCTAGCACAGTATACACACATTTCTACCTGGGGGAGGTACTCCAAAGCAGGATTTGCTGTTATCAGGTAACTATAGGGTTAACCCTGGGTTTACAGGTTGGACCATTTGATAACTTATGCTGAACTCTTGACCTGCCCCAGCATAGGTTATGTTCAGGATAAGAGATCAGTTTGACCAATCAGCTTGCCTAATTGTGGAGCTCACTTTGTCACCCATATGATTCTGTGTATGAAAGTATGAGTAAAAGTTCCAAGTTGTGTTTTCCTGACATCAATCTTCAACAAAGACTAGATAATCCAACATCAGAAATGTCAGATACTAAATACTGCATTCTTGTCTCTTTTATTTAGGTCTTGTTCATTTCTATCATCTCCATGCCACTCCCTTTGATATCACTGAGGCTGCAGCTTGAATATTGTGACTAAAACTGTCATACAAAAATAAATAGAGCAACAAAAACGTTTCAGGGAGTGAACAAGAGTTATTGACGTCAGATCTTTTGTCCACTGATGACTAGAAAGTGATATTATAAGTCTTAACTTGTGCATTCACTCTTTGTTTCTTATCTGCCAGTTCTTCCATTATTTGCAAATGCAGCTGAATGCAGTCGTTTTTAGTCTGGATGATGTCCTTATGAACTTTATACTTCTTTGAAAACATAGTTATTCTTTGTTAAATAATAGCTTGACCTGCTGATGATAATATGTTGGGTTAGTGAAGCCAGATAACCAAAGGCTACGGGGGGATGTGTTGAACTTTCTTCAGCCCTCCGTTCAGACCCTTAGACGATAAGTCCGTAATAATAAATTATGAGTAATTTACAAGTATAATATATTTAAGTTTTATAGAGGGAGGGGTTGTTTCTTTTTGTAGCCCTGCTGTCATGCAAAAGCAGTCATGTGCTATCATCAGCAGGCATGTGCTCCTGCTGCCACATATGCCGATGCGTACAACATCCCCTCTTACACTCATCACCTCTTCCATAGCTTCACCAAGACTCTGGTGAATGTCCGCAACCGACACAACAACGTGGTACCCACCATGGCCCAGGGCGTGGTGGAGTACAAGGAAGCCTTCGGTGTGGACCCCGTCACCAACCAGAACGTCCAGTACTTCCTGGATCGCTTCTACATGAGCCGCATCTCCACCCGCATGCTCATGAACCAGCACAGTCAGTATAGCACTCTGTGATTGACTGTGAGTTAATCAACACAGTTCCTCATGCACAAAGTTTGTGAGCTCAAAGTGCTGATGAAGCACATTTTTTGTACTTTATCGTCTGAATGTGTCTGTCTTAGTGGAGTGAACTCACTGACTTTGGTATCTCCTTTCTATTTGATTGAATATTAACAAACATGCAGCTTCTTATTATGTCCTCTTGTGTGTATGTTCAAGATAAGATATACACCTTTGTTGTGCACTTTAGCATTAATCTTTGACGGCAGCGTGAACCCAGCCCATCCCAAACACATCGGCAGCATTGACCCCAGCTGTGACGTGGTGGAGGTCGTAAAAGGTAATGACTGATCTTCCCACGCACACACATAAACAAACACTGTCTGTTTGGACAGATTCATGACTGTTTGACCTTTTATAATGTGGTGGTTTTAGAGTCAGCACACAAGAATGGGAAGTAAAAACATTTCATCATGGCTGTTATGGACCTTCCTCATAAACATTGCATAAATGTCAGAAAACACTCTATTTCCCGTGTTGCTCTCCATTCAGCATGTGTGGTATTCTTTTTGGTTAATATTTACCATGCAAAAGAGTAACCACAGATGACCTCCCTTTTTGTTGCACCTTATAGATGCCTATGAGACTTCAAAAATGCTGTGCGAGCAATATTACCTAACCTCTCCTGATATGGAAATCACAGAAGTCAATGGTAAGTCGTGCAAAACAGCTGTAATGTTTCTATTTAGGGAGGTTTTTGATCTTTATGAATTACCCTAATATTACCTATCCATTTGAACCATATATAGAGTCGGAGAATGTGACAAATCAAATAAAACGTTCCAGGAAAAAACAGATTTTCTAAAGACTTGCTCTAATCTTTGAGTTTATGCAACAACTGTTATTGTCCCTCAGAGGAGAGTTGAAAATTGAGTGTTTGTCTAAGATGATTACCTTCATCGATCTAACTTTCAATCAGGGTTTAATGCTCATAGATGTCTTTATTTTCACAGCTAAAACCCCCAACCAACCACTCCATATTGTCTATGTGCCATCTCATCTCTACCATATGCTGTTTGAGCTTTTTAAGGTACGGTACCAAACAGACTGTAAAATTTGATGCACGTGTTATTTCACTTCTTGTCTAAAAATCTGCTGTGCGTTTTCTCTGTCAGAACGCCATGAGAGCGACAGTAGAAACCCATGAGACCAGCCCAACGTTGCCCCCGGTCAAAGTGCGAGTGTCACTAGGCAGTGAGGACCTCACTATCAAAGTATATAAAGAGAGTTAAAGCTGAACTTAGGCCTGTTTACAGAGCAATGAAAGGACGACTGTTAATCTAACATATCTGTCTTTTATTATTATTAGATGTCTGACAGAGGAGGTGGAGTCCCCATGAGGAAGATCGAGCGTCTCTTCAGCTACATGTACTCCACAGCTCCCAGTCCAGTCCATGATAACTCCAGAAATGCGCCGCTGGTGAGACTTAACCTGTTGCACCTCACCCCCTCAGGCCTTTGGTGGTGCTTAGATTTAACATGTTTGCTTTAGTGTTTTAAACATGAGCAGCTGCTCAGTATTATGTCCCTGTGCTGTTACAAACTGAAGTTAAAAGTCAACTAGATAAAAAACTGCCCCGTGTTAAACAGAGACTCACACTGCAGAGCATGGTTGCAAATTATCTTATTACAAAGAGGAATGCAGTCAGCAGCAGGCTGTTGGGTTTAACTGTAACCACATGAGGAACTGAAGCAAATCACGTGTATTTTCCACTTCATGTTGACAGTGTTGTAGCTTATTAGTTACTGGTTTGATGCTATAATCATGTTATTTTCTCCTTTACCCACCCTCTTCCTTCAGGCTGGTTTTGGGTATGGCCTTCCAATTTCCCGTCTCTATGCTAAGTATTTCCAAGGGGACCTGCAGCTCTACTCTATGGAGGGTTATGGCACCTCAGCTGTTATATACTTAAAGGTAAGAACAGCAACTCTGATCATGACAAAAAACGGACTAAAAGACAAATCAAACTCCAAATAAACCAAATGATACAGTATGATAGAATAGAACAGGCTACGATACGATATGCTATTGCACCAAATGATTCCACCATATGAATCTCTCTTCTTTTTTTTCCCTTGAATCACAAAAAAACAATTAAATAAGTGTGAAGTGTCTTGTCTCTACAACTATCGTTGCTGCAGCAACAATCCATTTAACTCATTTACATTAAACTGTCTTGATTTTAATTTTGTTCAGCAATATGCATTTTCTGTTCAGCTGTGTAGCTCTTATAGTATCATCAGGTTTTTGCCATGTCCAGTTTGCAGTCCTATTAGCTACCTGTGCAGTGGTTGAGTTCAGCCCGGGGTAGTGTTGTGGCAGCACTAGCAGTCACAGTACTATGACAAAGCTTTAGCTAATGCTGCGTTCCAGTTACCTCGAAAGTCGGATGTCGGAGCTGGGAATGACGTTACACCCGAATTGATGGCATTCCAGTTAACAAGTCAGAAAACCAAGATGGACGCCCACTGTTAGCCGTTGTTAGCTGTTGTTTACAATTGTCAGCTGTCGCTAGCCGTTGTCGGTTGTTGTTAGCTATACCAGTTGTAAACAATGCCTAACACAGTATTTTACTCTTATAAACACCAAAGCACCGTGTTCACAGTTAGACGTTGGGCAGTACAACATACACCACTTATTTAATTTCACAAAAACAAAACAGCAGTGTGAATAAATAATACATTACGAGAGCTTTCACTGTTACTCTTTACTGTTGATGTACTGCACTGCCATCTTGGATTATGACGTTGTCAATAAGTCGAGGTTGGTGAGGATCATCCGACTTTACGAGTTGTAAACCTGACTTCAGGATGAATTTTCGACTCGAAGCGCAGCATTATACACAGCACTAGCTGAGGTAAAATAGCAAAGCATACTCTGATTCCTCTCTCTGCCTTTTAAACTGGTATACTGGTTTTACTTTAGGATGCAGCCCATATTTAACATCAACTATATGTTCTGGATTTGCTTAAGTATGGCAGACCTGGTGTGTCTCTACCTCAGCAGTGAACAGAGTTTTAATCAAGCTCAGGACTCTGTATGAAATCCCAATAGGAACCAACCTGGATCTAACCAGTTCTCCTCTGTTCTGCATCAAAGGCTTTGTCATCAGAATCAGTGGAGAGACTTCCTGTTTTCAACAAGTCAGCATTACGCCACTACCAGTCGACCACAGAGGCGGACGACTGGTGCATGCCAAGCAGGGATCCAAAGAAGCTGGGCAAGTATGAGAGGTGATGGTGGACTGGGAGAGAAAGCCAGTGAAGAGAAGAACAAAAGGATTGAGAGGAGGAAGATGGTCCAAGCTGGGAGACTTTCAGGAGAAGAGGGCACTTAATGATTTCAGCTCAATGCTGGACATGGACCTATGTATGTCTCATAGATTCCTGCTTTGAAATGACTGATCCGGACCATTACTGCCAGCCTACAGGCCACCTAACCCAGGAAATACTCACCGCTTTAATACCATTTTTCCATGATGATTTCAAGGTGCTAATGCTTATGAAAGGAGTTTTAATCTCTGTCTGCCTCTCTCACTTTACACTCACTCTGGAGCTGCTCAGTTTTGATATCAGGGTTTCACCTAAAGGAGGATGATAACGGTCTGTTTTAGCTGTGTCATGTCCTTTATTTTCTTTTATACTCTTCATTTCACTGTCTCAGTTATAAAACTGGTTAATTATGATACTGGGTTAGGTTTTGTTTTTGCATTTTAGCTTCACAGACAGGGCAGCTAAAGCCAGTCCACAATGTTTGTGTCTACGTTTGAGACCATTGCTTCTCCCTCATTCATACCACTTGCGCATTTCAGTGCAGTTCTTGCAAAGCAGCTGCACCCGAAGGAACAATTCGTGCAGGTTTGCAGTGTTTAATATACAAGTATTTGGATTATGGTGACATGAATGCAAGATCAAATCTGTGTTAAGTCTTTTAACCTCTCTGTTGGGACACATAAACAAACTCTAATGCTTCTGAAAGAGGGTTCTGCATGTCTCCTGTGTGCCTTAACCTTCAACACGTGTAAGGTAAAATCATTTTTAAAATACGATCATTTCAAAACGTGTAGAAAAATATTGGCATGCTGTGGACTTCACTAGATCAAAATGAGACGTGCCTTTCTGAAGAAAGTTAAATATTTAAAACTAGTATTAAAACATATTTGAAGCCATTACATTAATGTATTTTAATTGTAACAACTCCTCAGCTAACCTCAACGTTCCCTATGTTGAAACTGATTTGATTTAAAGAGTAGCAAGAACAATAAAACACTCTTTGTGAGTGTTTTCCAAGAAAAATGTTGGTTTATATTTATGCATGTGTTGTATATCAGGTGTTGAAAAGTGTGAGATGTCACACTGCGATAAAACACCAGAAGCAGACAAAGCCATACGCACGCTGTGTTGATCAATGTTGACTTTTGTGTATCTGAATATTTTATTCATTATGTCATCGGCGTTTGCCTTGTCGATATAAAAAAAATTAACTCCCTCATTTTAGACTTTCATGGTTTGTGAACTGTCTCTAACTTGTTGGCATTTTTTATGTATAAACTCCACTTGCAGTTGTTGAGTGTTATTGTACTAAAGCTGTGGTTCACCACTGAAAAGACCAGGGAATGTAGAAAATAAACACGTCAAAACTTTTCATCCTTTTTTGCTCTGTGTGTGCGTGTGTGTGTGTGTGTGTGTGTGTGTGTGTGTGTGTGTGTGTGTGTGTGTGTGTGTGTGCATATTTGGGTTCAGTAATTGCGTCTGTTTTAGACTCTAGTGTGTGGAGTTGGTCCTCAGTGTGACCCTGCCTCACCCGTCTCCCTCCACAGTTTGTTTTTGGAAACTTTGCTCGTCTGCCTGTCTGTCCCTTAGTGCAGACACAGTCCAGTGGTTGCTCATGGCAGGCATCCAGTACAGGCCTGCCTGCTCTTGTTTTGGCCCTTCATGAACAAGCACAGATCACACACTAAACTGGTTTTCCTACTTTTCTTTTCCCCTTTATTCTTTTCCAAGTTTTCGAGGGATCTTTGGCTCTTCAGCAGCACAAAATCAGCTCAGTCTTGAAGGTAAGTGAACAGTTTGTTGCTGGGACTATTTATTTTATCCATATATTAATACCAGGATACAGAAACTTTATCTTTAGACACAACATCAATCAATTCTGAAAATGAAGATTATCTCTGACTTTTATATGTTAAGGGTTTTGACATATCAAAATGTGTCATTTGACTGCAGAAGGCCCTGACACATGATCACCATTCTCTTTCAAAAGTGACACTGATTAAACATTTTTGTTCAACCTTTAAATAGACAATTTGGAAAGCATTTAAAAGACATTAAAGTGAAATATCTTTTCATAAAGGAGCTTCAGAGAAAAAGCTCCAATTCATTTTCATTATTCATCCTTCTCCAGGCTGTTGTTCAGTATTTCTAAACCAAATAGAGGACAGCTCTATCACGTGGCAGCATGCTCAGTCCACTGGAAAAACAAACACTTGTTGTCAAGTGTTTGTTCAGCCAATACTGGGATTCAAGAGAGCCATAAATGGGCTGTACAATCAATTGTGAGTGTATCTTGACCACAGGTAAAAGGGAAAGAATAGTGGTTTCATGTAGCTCAGCATGATAAAATTCTCATTTCCTATAAGAGATTAATACTTTTTGAATTAGAGCAGCAAATACAAACTGACCTGGTCATCAAAATCCTGCATATTTATAGTCAAATAGACATTGATTCATAGATCCTTAGTAGTTTCAAGCTTTTTTTTCACATCAATCGTGTGATTTAATCTCCACTTTAACACTGACTGCCTGCATGTTGCTTCCTCTGCACTGCTAAACTGATCAGTTCTTATCTCCAGGAAAAAAAAAAGCCTCTGGTGATGAAATGAGTAGAAAAATATAAAAGTGCGTCATTCAGCAGCATTTCTCCTTCATCGCATACAGACAAGTGGTGACTGTTCTTGCAGGCTGCAAATAAAAATCCAACAAAGAAGCAGTTTTGAACCATCAGTACAGTATGCCCTCAGGTTCCAGTAATATATATCTCTTCATGGAAGAAGGCAGAGGCAGCTGTGCTACCCCGCTGTGACAGAGTTCAGCCAGGCGGGCTCTGATGGCGCACCTGGTCAGGTGGAGGAGGCTGCGAGGGGTGTTGGAGCAAACGGCGAACAAAGAGTCGTAGAAATCTTCATGTCTCTGAGGAAGAAAATGTAAAACATGCAGAAAAACTTAGTTGATTTACTTCGTTACATCCATATAAACTGCGTCTTCTTTTCCTACCTTGTAGCACTCATCAGGAATGGCAGCTCTCCACTTGTTTGTGGGCTTTAAGCGTTCATAAGAATTGACCATGATTTCCACAGCTCTGGGGATGTCATGGCAGGACTGCAGCACCTTCACAAAATGACAAACAGAGTCATTCATCAGCACATGGATCTCACACATGCAGGTGTTCTAGTCCATGTGTGTACCTTGTGGAACTGTGGGGGGTAGACCCTGGCTGCGTTGTGGTTGAGCAGCAGCTGGTAGCAGAGCTCAGGTATGGCCATGGGCCTCATGTCGCTCACTTTGAGCAGGTACTGGATAGGGGCGCAGCCGTTGATGTCCATGGCTCGTGAGTCAGCTCCGGCCTCCAGCAGCATCTGCATCAGGATGTGATCACAGTTCCACGCTGCCTTGTGAAGAGCTGTTTTATGGTCTTCTTCTTGAAGGTTTGGATCTGGAGAAATTGAAGTGAAAACTGCTCAGAGCCTCTGAAGTTGAGAGAGATTAGAGAAAAGAAGTGTCAGGACAAACACTCACCAGCCTGGTGGTCCAGCAGGAGGCGACAAACCAGATGGTGGTCCTCTCTGTAGATCTGATCCATGGAGTCGTATGCCCAGAAAGCTGCAGTCATCAGAGGAGTCTCCTGAAGAAAGTTGAGGGCGTTCACAGACGCTCCGTGGGACAGGTAGAGAACCACCAGCTCGGGTACTCCAAACCTGGCTGCTGTGTGTAGAGGAGTCTCCTCATCGTTGTTGTCGCTCCGCATGTTGACATCTGCACCTTCATGAAAACACAAATCATCATTTTCTTCTCTTTATTTGCACATTCATTCACCTCATGGTACCTTTGAGGATGAGCTGTTTGGCGCAGTCCACAGACTCCCGGCTGGTGCAGTGGTGCAGCGGTGTGTGTCCACTTAGAGACATGATGTTGATCTTTGACCTGTGAGCCAAAAGCAGAGCAACAAAGTCGCTGTTGGAGACTTCACAGGCTACGTGCAGCGGTGTCTTCCCATTGGGCATACGGTTGAGGGCGGCACCCTCCTGAATAAGCACCAGAGCTGTTTCCAGAGCGTTGTACATCACAGACACATGAATCCCCATGGCCCAGGACTTTTCCAGTTTGTATTCTGGGAGCCAATAACCTGCAAGGAGAAGAGACAAACAAAAGAAAAAGAGTTTTATATCAAAACCAGGACCTTTGTGATCAGAGGGACTCTATTTTCTTCCAAAATAAATCCAGAGGGGCTTACATTGATTGTTACTCAAGCTGTTTTACATCTGTATGATCTCATATTGGCTAAAGTTTCTATTTTTCACGTTTTAACTGTAGTCTTGGTTTGACTTTTGATGCAGTTCACCTCATCCAGAAGTGTTTGTTGTCAAATTTAGCCACAGGGTTAGGTCCATAAGATTTAGCTCCCTCTAGTGGACAAAACACAAAGTTGATCACATAACTGTCACTCAGCTGGTAATAGAGCATATTTATTTGTTTTCTCCAAAGACAAACTCCCTTTCACTCTTGGTTTTTGCTGTGGTTTCATTGTGGAGTCACATGTTGACTCTTATGTTTATCACTTGATGTAAACACAAAGAGGTTACCTTCATACTTCTGCAGATGAAATGCACATCCATGTCCTCCCCCTCATGAACTTTACCTTGTTTGTATGAGGCCAGTATCATGCCAGGATCTTTCACGTCCAGAACAGTGTTAATGTCCAGCTTCCCATTTTGCAGGATCTGCAGGACCTGCTGAGCATCGTCGGCCTTTATGGCCTCCAGGAACTGTTGCTTCAGCTGTAAGACAGCCAGCTGTCTTGGACTCAACTCCTCCATGAGCTCTTTAAAAGAGGGACCCCGTTCCTTGTATGGTGCTAACGTTCTCCACACTGCATGAAGTAAATAAGAAATGAACCCCCAAAGGAGGGTAATGAAGGTTTTAACCATAACCACAGTGGCAGGTCTCCATGAGGTCAGCGAGCAGATATGGGAGGTGTATGAGGAAGGAGGACGGAAGTGAGGTAGGAGGGCCTGTGTGGTCAGAGGGGAGAAAATAGTCTAGGGGTGAAATTAGACGGGATATAAATAGAGAGGAGAGAGGGAGGGGGTTAGTGGGTTACAACTGAGTGTGGACTACAGGCATGTCTGCTTAGCCTGTGGAGGGCTTAACAAACAATAGGCCGTGTTTACACCACTGTATGTTGATAAAGATTTGATTATATGACAGAATGTAGCAACAAGGACCTCAAAACTCTGCTATATGTTGATATTTGGACGTATAGCCCCTACTTCTTATAGGTTTCCTTTGTGTGGTTGCTCCTATATTTGGTTTGCCTCCACCCCATGGGACAGATGCAATTTATGTTTAGGAGTTTAAGATGAGATAAGATTACTCCTTTATTAGTCACACAAGTGGAAATTCCAATTTATAGTCCATCCTTTCCAAGAAACATACAGTAGACAGATTCACACAGCGGAGGACAGGAACAGGAGAACTGTCGGGTCACCACAGACCGACGCCCCTTTTTCTTAGATGAGAAAAAGGAGAACAGGAGGGAGGAAAGATGGACTATGAATGCAATATTTACGCTACATGGAGGTCCTTTCTGTCTGTGCCTGCATATCTTTTAACACTTTAAGATTTAAGATACAAGACTGAGTTCAACATAAACTTTTACATTAATACTTGGAAATAAAAGGATGATCATAGCTAACCCTGAGTACAGACCTACTGAGTTTCTCCTTTTTTTAATTTACCCTTCAAATGTTTTTGTCGGTCACTTCTTTAGGTCGATTCTAAATTCCTCCAGAAGAATCACAACCCCGCATCAGGTTTTACTGTGACAAATAATATCAATGAGAAATAAAGAATAAAAATGTAAACACATATAAGTCTTGCAGGAAAATGGCTAAAAGAAAAAAAACTACACATAGTCAGATAAATGTTGATAAAAAGAAGAAAAAAACAAACGGAGGACAGTGGCTGCACATTTTATTCAGTGTGACAGGTAGCTGCACTTTCCAATTTTTCAGAATGCGAAAAAGAGAGCAAGATTATGACAACAAAGGAGGAGGATGAGGAGAAAAAGCACAGCTTTTTAAAAGAGAGAAGGCATGGCTAGCAGTTTGTGGTGATTATCTTTTTTTTTGCGCATGAAAGTCGAACCTTCCCAGACAGGACTCCAACACTTGGTGTCCTCGTCTGTCAAGAGCACCAGGGTGTCATCTTTAGCTTGGCTTCATCATGCCTGACAATCACTTAGAAAAGCTTTAAACCTCAGGTGTGACCTTTTTCAGCCTCCTCAGCCCTCAGACAAACTGTGCACACACACACACACACACACGCACACACACTGATACAATAGAAAACAAGGCGTCTTTAGGATTCTTACAGCGTATTGCTCTCAGTGTTTTACTTTACATACAAAAGAGTCAAAAGAGCGCAGTCGATCGACCGGCGCCTCAGGAGAGAAAGGAGGATATTCACAGAGAGGTTCAAGTGTTACAAAATACTTTGTAAGAATACATCATGAGCAGATAATTGGAGTAGCACTGGAGCAGCTCTATGGTTGTATTGAAGTAAAAACTACAAGCACGATGGGAGAGTATTACAGTTTACTTTGCATTTCCAACTTTAAATCCTTCATTTGACAGCAACCATTTGAATCTAAAACACTTTTAATAAACAGGTTTAATTATGTTTTGGCAACAGGAAGTAATCATACAATTCTGGATAAATCATCTAGGTGTTAATAATACTCTTATTTAGCATAAGTTATCATAAACAGTAGTCAGTTTCTTCATTAAATACAGAAATAAATAAATAATATTGACAGATTAGCAGTATCTGTAAGACTGGCATTTCATGGAGGTATCTGTAACTTATATTATTGTTCCAGTTCCTGACAGCGCACCAGGCAGGACCCTTAAGACAAAAGGGAATCAAAAAACAAAGCTGCCTTTGTTTCTCTCACGGTGACACTGGAGTCTCTATATCTAATGTAAACTACAGAATGAATCTCGGGAATGATAAAGAAGTGACACAGGGAGCATGTCTCTCAGTGAGCCTCGTTTTCCTAAAGTAAGAATCTCATGAAGTACACAAGTCAAAATAATTTCAAAGATATAGATATATATATTATGTATCTAAAAAGTAAATCAAAATGGTTTAAGTCTTATCTAACTGTTCTCATAAGAAAATTAACCTATACTGCACCTACCAGTGTAGCATCAGCAGTATCAGGTAACAAATTCTGGACTCACTGCATCTGTCTTCGATCACAGAAAAGACCCCACAATATGGCAGCATTCCTACATATTACTCAGTATATTTCAAAGTGTTTTGCATGGTGACCTGTAAGTTTTACGTACCAATAATCAGAAATGTTTAGTGTACTGTTTGTGTTTCAACACTCACACAGAAGCGGGTAGAGTTCAGAAAAAATTCTACAAGTCTAGAATTTCTAAAGGCAGCGGGCGGCGGGGTATTACTTTGTCGTCGAGAGAGAATAGAAAAAGAGGTCGAAAGCAGGTTACAAGCGGATTCAAAGCAACATTATGCATATAAGCAGAAACTTCCATTGTAACACTTTGTTGTTTTTGTCATACAGATTTGGTAGGTTACAAATTCCATGATTACGTTGTACCTGAATTCTCCATTAGAACCAGTCCAATGAGAACAGTCTGTCCTTGTCTTCTCTTAAACTTAGTGTACTTCTTTTGTATGGTGCGTGTATACTTTGAGGAGAATTGGAAAATCTAGTACAGAGTCTGAATTTACAGTGTTTGCACTTCCAGTGTTCTTGCAAGCGCTCAGAGATTTTTGTCTCTCCCAGTGAAACTTGCTTCAGTTCCAGTGTTCCTTTTCCAGAGGTGAAAGTAAGCAGCATGGAGACACCCAGTGGTGAGAGAGGGGTACTGCTTCATGCAGTCTATTCCACCATCACAAAAGACTATCAAAATGGCACATTATTCATCACTGTACACGTCGTTATCTCTAAAGGTGCAGTGATGGGTAACATTGAAGGCTCTGAGGATGATATTGGATGAGAATAAGGAGAAATCCCGACAGACTGACTCAGGGTATGAATAAATAAACCAAATTTACAGCTAAATAAATAGAACTGAGTAAATACTTTAATGGTGAAAAACTAAATGGGTGTAAAACCAGGCAAATGCATGGGGCAGCATTCATCATCCAACTGCTTGTTTTGGTTTAATTTGCTTGGTGATAAAGTCACCCGACAATCTCAGACAGCTGGATGTAGCTCCACCACTGAGAACTTTTCAACTACTGTAGTAGGCGTTCCTCAGGGTTCGTTCATGGGCCTACTGACGTTCTGTTCCTCCAGTTGCTACGTGGTGTGGGTGCTACGAAAAGCAGGAGGGTTTCTCAATATCACTCTATTGCGCTTTCTTTCTGCTGCTGCTCCTGCTCTTTCTTCCGTAGTTTCTCGCGTTGTTTCTCCAGTTTCTCTCGGTTCCTCTTGGCTTTGTCCATCAGAATTTTGAGATCTTTGATCTTTTTCTTGATCAGGGCGCGATCCTGGGAGGAAGTAACTCCAAGGGCCTGAAGCAAATAATTGAAGAAGACAATGCATCAGTGCAAATATTGATATTAACTCTGATATTTTTCTTTTATTTTATTGAGACTTACTCGCTATTTTATAGGTTAGCAAGATGCAAAATTCTTTCCAGAATCCAAAAACAAATATGATAATACAGTCATTTCCAGCAGCTATTGGCTGACATGGATGTATCATGATGATACATGATGTATCTATGAGCTACATGAGAGCACATTATGAAAATGATCTTTTTTACCTTTAGTTCTGCGCTTTCCAGCTGCAGCAGCTGTTCTCCATCTATGTTTTTGGCAGTGAATTCTGGGATATGGTGTTCTAGGTTTAGGCCTGTGAGCCAGCGGGCCACTTGCTGGGAGGTCCACTCCGTAATGCTGCGGTTCTGCCACTGGTACTGCTTTGGGAGCTGTCCTTCATCCAAGATCTGCAAATGGACAAGAAAGTGAAAGACAGATAGGAGCAGGAAGAGAAAGAGGTGAGTGAGATGTTTGACCCTGCAGTGAATGTCTGTCCTCCAATGAAAACTCAGCCCGAATGCAAACAAATACTAAATGATGTCAAACAGAAAAAAAATGATATCTGTAGGAATATATATCACCTGGTGGAACATGCATAGAAAAATCCTTACATGCAATAAAAATAGGAAACTCTTTCAGAGGGAATGAAACATAGATAAATGACTCAAACTTAACAGACACAGAAACATGCATGAGGTAAAACACAACCATCTCACCTCATCATCTATCATATCCAGACTCTGTCAATTGCAGCGTTGAAACAAAGAGAAGACAACTGATTTGTTAACATAGACAAAAAAACAATGTGGGATCCACTTCAGCAGCTTAGTCCAACATCTGAAAACAATGAGACTTAACTGGCGCATTGATTTTAAGCTTGTTGTTTTCTGTCAGAGGGATGTTAGAGAAGCTGCTCGCTGAAGGGATACTGTGTTTTGCTGTCAGAGACATCTATTAAGATGACAAATAGGGGCACTGGCAACAATAAAAAGGAAAATAGTGGTGCATTTTGAGTGATTTTTTTTGTTTCAGAGATCTGATAAGATGGTAAAGCCTTTCTTTTTAAAAAGCACTGAATCATAAAGGTGATTCTGTTTTAAATTTCCCGACACCCTGGAGTTTACTGCTGAGAAGATATTGACTACTGCTTTTAAGAGTCCATGTTCTTTTCATGTGTTAACTGTATAAGAAGATAATTTATATGAAAACTCAGACAAAGTGAAAGCCAAAATAATTGGCGTGCCTCCTGCTGAGTGGCTTTGTGCCTCTTTCTCCATGTTGACAGATGGGACATGGGTCTAATTTTTTATTAGGGTAATGTTAGAGAAAAACGGAGATTCACACTCAAGCTCTGACTTTGCATAGATAGAGCTTACATTTACAAAGTTGTGATCACCAGATTCTAGTTGTGAATTTATGTGTTTTGTTGTTTTTCTTATTTTACAAAAGTATTAATCAAAGCCTGTAACTGTAAACTACAGATTTTTTTTTGTAAATTTAAGGCTTCTATCTTGTAAAATTTTTAATTCTTGACTTGTATTCTTGTTAGTTTATAACTTATTTCTCGTCAGACTTTTTTCTCACTGTACCACAACTTAATTTTTCAAATCTCTGTTATTCTTTATCCTAAATGTGGCCCTAATGTTACCTCATAAACTATAAAATCAAAATACACGTCAAATACATGTCTACATGTCTGTGTCTTAATGTTTAAGATACTTTCATGGCATAGACAGCCACAGCTGTCGTTATCAAAGCAAATAATCAAAGAAATAAACAACATCAAAATTGTTTAAAATGATAACTTAACAGGTATATACGTATATCATTAGATCCCCATAATAATTTTGTTCTTATACGTTTATACAGACACTAGCTCAAATCCAGTAATTAAAGGAATGAAAAAAACATATTCATATTAAACTGAATTAAAACTCCTGTGAGGAACTCACATTAAGTGATGTATTTAACTGTAAAATCTTTATTATTGGCGCATACAGAACAAGCCATGAGGCGCTACTTTTGTCCACAGGGGGGCGCCACAATCAGCAGACACCAAAAGTTCCTCATAGCAGCTTTAACTGCTGGTCTACTTTAGTGGCAATCAGACTCACTGTTTCCTGTCTTTGTAGGAAGCTTCTTCTCACACTGATTTTTCTCATTGTGTTTATAAGTTTAGTTTGAGCTCACTCATTATTTGATGCTGATTGACAGCTGTGTTCCTAAATGCCACCTCTGTGTGCTGGATTAGCAGTAAGGAGTTCTGGCTCTGCAAGCTCTTGTTGTTCGTCTTGATTTTACAGTGAATAATAGATAAACATCTCATGTGGTGTTTTTTTAACCTCTTGAATTTTGCATCTCATCTCGACAGCTACAATCACTTTGCCTTGAAAGAAAAATCACTCGATGAAAATACAAAAAGCATTGTAAGTTTACCTCGTCTGAGGACAGCACCAGCGTGTGCGAGCGTCCTGATATCTTGGCTTCGCTCAGGCCGCTGATCTCCACAGAGCTGCTGCTGCTGGCACTCAGATCATCATTCAGAACGGGTCCCTGAGAACACATTAGAAACGCAGTAAGACCGGCAGTAAGAGAAAACCAACTCTGAGCTGATTAGATCTCTTAAAAAAAGAGAGACTGGAGGATGAGTTCATAAATCAAGAAGAAGAGAATGATCGATGAGTTTCCTCCTAATATTTTTACAATCACTAAAAAGCACAGTAGACTGCTATAAATGATTTATGCTATTTGATAGACTGCTGGAAGGCAGAACGGTGCACATCCTTCATTTCTAAGTGTCACATAAGAGTGTAATCTGTGGAAATGATTAGTGGTTAGAAATGATGTATCTGGGTGCTATCCAACTCCTAAAACTCCTCCTCTGTGTCCTTGAGAGTGCAGACGAGCAGGGACATTAACAGGATTACAGAACTAACATCCAGATCTGTGATCAAACATACAAAGGCAAGCTGGAGCCAAAAACAGGCGATGCAGCGAGTGATCTGATGAAAAATACAGTTGAGTCTGATCACAGAGAAGCTATCATGTTTTAATGATGAAGCAAGAAATGTCACCAGATTAAGTGTAAACTCTTCACTGTAGAGAAAAATTTAGAAAGTGTAAGAACACATTCATGCCAGAACAAGAGTTTTGGATGTAGAGATTTGTCCTACATGAAGCTTTACACCACAGGAGGAATGATCCCTTTGAACCTCAGGACTCTGAGGTGATCTTACAGCTTCAGACTTTCACCTAAAAGCCCCACATAACTATTACTGGGCACACTTTCTGCAGAGATTTAAATGCGTCTACAAAGAGAGAAAGAGCTGGATAGGTTCAGAACCAGAAATAATCTCCTTTTCAATCCCGAGGTAACATGTTTGATACTACACAGGATTATAAATCATCTCATGTGAGCTTAAACACCGTAACAGATGTCCATACTGAAAAATTCCCTGTATGTTATTGCATCAGAAGGCACATCGATGAAGGATGCATTAAAATCAAGATGATTCGTGTCTCTTTGTTAAAATTAACAATCTAAGAAGAAATTAATAATCAAAAAAGATCACAAGCTATCCCACAAGCACATTTTAGCAGTGTTTCCAAAACCAGAGGTCAGATTATAAACAATCTGCAGAATTAAAAAAGACATAAAAAGTTGATTTGTTTAACATTAAACTAGTACAGTCACAAATTCCTGTAACTGCAGTGAACTTTTTTAACAATTCCTTTACCTCTCAGAGACTCTCATTTCAGCAGATTGTCTTATAATCAATCAAAATAGATGAATAAATTCATATACAATACCAAATAATAGGAATAGGAGAAGAAGTGTGGCCATGTAAGAGAGTTCTGTTTGACAGAAATGAAACAATACATAAAAAAGACACATGGCATTAAACTCTGTACAGAAAGTATTAGAGTGAAGGTCTGGCAGACAGCCTGATCTGACTGTACTCATTATTACATTACAGAGGCAGAAACAAAGTGTCCCCAATGTCCTGACTGTAAATTGTCTGTAAAGTGAATCATTATTTGATCATTGTACAGCTGCCAACACTTGTGTACCTTGGCCTTGAGTTTCTGTGGACTGTCCTCTGCAGACGGCTCTGTGGAGCTGAGAGACAGAGAGAGAGAGAGAGAGAGAGGTAAACGGTGACTGTAACTGTACTTTCCTTTTGACAGTTTGTCGACCTGGATTCATTAAGGGAAGATTTTTTAAATATCAAATATGTAACCTTTGATTTGTAACCTTTTGTCAGTAAATGCCAGCAGGATTGTAACGTGAACTGTCATGCTTCTCCTTTTTACCTGTTTCCTGGCGATGCTCTGGGATCTTTTTCCTTCAGTGTAGTTTTCCTGAGGGGGGACCTGAACAGAGCAGAGACAGAGTGAGAAAATGTGATTTATCTGATATGAACAGAGTAAAGTTCTGCTTGACGGTCTCTTTTTGGTGCTTTGTTAACAAATGATTTATCATTATTTATCGTAGCAGCGTGTGGGCACTCTCCTCTGTCTCATAAATTACTCTTTATGTAATGCTATGGGCCTGATTTACAGAGATTTAGCAAGTACTTAACTGAAAGTAGATTTCCACAAATTGTACATTCATTCGGTGTGTGCTCTGCAGGTGACTAACTAAGAACTGCATAAATGGCATGTGTTGGGTGACCATATTCTGAATCCCCAAAAAGAGAAGACGACTACGCGGGAGGCGGAGTTGTGGAGTCACGCGTAGTTAATTTTGAGTTTTCCGGGTCAGACTGAGTGCTTTTTATGCGCTTCTAACTTCTAAGTCCATATGACACAAACTCAAAACTTTCATTCAAAACCCCAGACCTTTGAAGGAATTTATAAACTCCACTAGACAAAGCCGGACAAGGCCGGATAGCCCCCCAAAAAGAGGACATGTCCGGGTAAAAGAGGACGTATGGTCACCCTAGACTTGTGGCTTATTTGACAAGATTATGGAGGTTTGGGTGGAAATCAGACAAAGTTTACTCCCATGGAATTAAAGGTATGAGTGAAAGTGGAGATAAATACATTTGTGAGCCACAACAAAGATTATAAATAAACAATATTAAAAAAAGAAGAAGATACTGGAGTGTACACATGAGAAAGTCAGCTGAAAGTGCTCAGTTTATGTGGACATTTGATGCAGGCCCTAAAGACAGTCTGCAGCTCTTGAAGATAAAGACTGTTATCTTTGGCACAGGAGGTGTGAGCTGTGTCCTCTGTGGCATGGGCGCTCAGACGGGCCCCCATGGCATGCACAGGGCTGCTGGTCAGCGCTGTGCCTGGCCTTTTTCCCCCCAAAGGTATTATATTCAGACACAATCACAAAGAATATTTTCAGGCTGAGTGAATCACTAACTGTGTGCGACACTAAGATATTTGCATTTTCCTCCACCCTCTATTTTGGACACAAAAGGAGAAGACAATGTGTGTTATCTTGAGCATTTGAAAGACTCAGTCCTTAGTTTGCATGTTTGTAATGTCATTTACCTTCTAATTTTAAATGACTTTTTCTGTTATAGCTTCAAAATATCTTTAATCACATGTATCTTGGGTGAGGCATTGTACAGAGGCCAGTGAAGAGGGCCAGTCTTTCACATTATGCTCATTTTTCTAATCCTGCATGCTTGTTCATTCTTTTTAACCACAAAGTCTACAAAAAAACCCTAAACTTAATTAAAAACCTTTATACTTCAGTGTTAAATCAAAGCAGCATTAAAGTCTGTGTGTTTCATTGTGTTAAAACAAGTTCCAGCATCTGCTTTCTCACCCAGGATCCAGCGCCTGGTTGCGTTCCTCCAGACTGCGAGAGGGGCTCGACTTTGCAGGAGACTGAGAACCTGAGATCAGAAATAGTCCGGTGAGAATACACCGTCATCAAGTGTGAGAAAAACTTGGATTTCATTTGTGCAGTGTCACAGATGTTTGAGAGAAATCTTCATCCTTCAGGTGCAGATGTTGTACTTACCATCCTGGAGGACTCCAGCAGAGGACGGAGTGTGCAGCGATCGTCTGGGCGAGCTTTCTGCGCTGCCGGGAGCCGTGCTTCGAATGGAACCTGAACGGCTGTGGGCTGGACTGCTGTGCCACTCCGAGACCTGAGGAATGAAGCAGATAAGGTAAATGAAAGGTGGCAGGATAGGAGGTAAGATGAAGCCAAGAAATCAAACATCTGACACGGCAGACAGATGTGGACACAAAAAGGAAAGAATGACTGAACTACAACCAGGGAAAAGGGATGTTAACATCCAGGGCTGCAGACTAATCTGAAAGAAGTCACTTGACATACTTCCACCATCCCTAAATCCTCGCCCTCTTTTCGCCTGAGAGCGCCACACTCCCTTCTCCCTGCTCTTCTGCCAATTCTGATCCAGCTCTCTGGTTCTATAACCGATCTGAACTCACTCCTGCTCTGGCTGGGTAAAGTGACAGCATCAGCCAGACAAAAAGCTCTCATCCAGAAAAAAGACCCTGGCTGTTATTATCACACCGGGAGAGACAATAAGTTGTGACAGAGTCGATTAGTGTCGCGGAGCAACACACGGCAATTAATCCATTAAAGAAGTAAAGTGGAATGGACAGGGGTTAAAGACAAAAGCAGGCTGATAGACCCTCACACTGATCTAAAACCCTGTGGCGAATAAAGAGTCGTGTTAAAAGTCATATCTAATGAGAATTAAGGAGCTCAAAACTAAACTTAGTCAACTATTTTAAAGTGTAGTACTGATGTTTGCGTGTTATTTTACTGTACAAACCTCCCCCTCTGTGGAGCTGATGCTGTCTCGGCCGACGACTCTGTAGCTTTTCTTTTTGCTGGGTGAGTGGGCAGAGTCCTCCCTCAGGTCTGGAGGCACACAGACAGAAAAATAACGACAAAAACAGATGAATCTGTATAGTGCAGAGACATTTTTGCATCAATTATGTGTTTTTTTCTTATCTAGGAACTTTCAGTTTCGCCTGCACCTACATTTGCTGCTGTTTGTACAAGTCTATAGAGAAGCAAATTAACTCAAGTTCCCCCAAAAGCGACACGGTTGATAAGACTTGTAATTAGTATGTTTTTTCTGCATATTCCCTGAGTGCACAAGAAGATGCTGTCAGAGCTGACAAAAACTGAAATAATCTACATCTGACAGATCGTTTCAGCTCATTTTGTCTTCTCCTCCTACACACACCCCCTCTCCCCCCTTCCACCTTTGTGGTATTGCTTAATGAGCTGCATCATACACATCATCGCAGATCCAATCACTCTCTTATCTGATCTGAACTCTAACAGTATCAGATATGGCACCTCTCCACGCACACTCGCACACTCCTGACAGCTGAGAAAACAAGCCTGACATAAAGACGGGAGGAGAACAAAAGGCAGACAAGAGGACTTTTAAGAGGATTATATGTTTGTTTTTGTTGGTGGAGGTCTAAAGTGAGGCGGCAGTCAGGGCAGAGAGTGTGTGAAGGTTGAGGCAGTGGAGAAAATCTAGACCTCTATGTTTTTTTTTTAAGTTTGTGTAGCTGCTACAGGACAAACTAATCTATTAAAAGTCCTTCATGGGGATGAGCAAACAACAACAACAACCAGAAAAGAGGCTGAGGCATTAGGCTACAGCATCACTCAGTTGCATGATGGGTTTTAACAAATTTAGACCAGTAAAAGTCTTTCTCTGTCTTACTGAGAGGTAAAATCTACTCTAATCTGTCTGTCTGATTACAGAGTTAGTATGAACTGTCAGCTTGGTTTGACTCGTAACAGGGCAAACAGCTAACCTGGTCCCATCAAAACGAGCTAAAGAGTGCCTCCAAAGCTTGCAGATTACGTTTAATCTACTTTATGAAAATAAAGTATACAAAGGAAACATTATGGCTCCTTTGAAACCCGTTTAACACAGCAAAGAAATATGCATGTTCCTGGTCACCTTTAGAAAAAAACAAGCTGCAACCTCTGGTGTTAAAAAAATTAAACTAAGGTGAAAGCACAAAAATTGCAGTTCCTAAAGTGTCCACTAGAGGGTGGCTGCAAAAAAACAAAAATCCCCGTTTGGACCCGTTTTAAAATCCCCATTTAAGCAGCAAAACTCTTAATATTTACGGTGTAGTTTAAAATAGTGTTAGATTATACAACCACTGAACAGAGTAAAGTTTTATTAGGCATCAAAAATGATCATTTAGAGGGTAAGAGTGATACATAAATGCATATGCATAATTAGAGGCAGACTGATTCTGAGTTATTCAAAGGCTCAGGGCAAATTACTCTAAATCTACAGGACTATACAGCTCACTATATTATGGGATAAGCACTGAATTATAACAACCATCCAACACCGTGTCAACAGCCTTACCAGCCTAACCAGCAACTACCAGCGATACAACAATGAAGCTGAGTCTGGGTCTAACTCCAGTTTAACACTGAACTAATTTGAGAGTGACCTTTTTCTTCCTTCATTTTCCTCCTGAATAAATATGACTCCTGAAGCTCAGTGTGAACTCCACATGACCAAACCTAACTGAAATTATTCTCCAAACAAACCGACCTCTTGCTTGCGCTGCGGCTCTTCTGGGGCTGTTCTGCTGAGCACTCAGCCTCTCAGCACTGTTGCTGTTGTTGTTGTTGACCTGGATGCCGTTCTGCTTCATCAGCTGCATTAGCTCCGACTCTAATGTTGCAATCTGTAAAAAGAGAGAGGAGGGGGAGAGGCAGATCGATGTTAATAACCTGCAGGCGTTTACCTGTCAAAACAGCTGCTTCAAAGTGCTGAAACATGAATGTCTGCGCGATGGAAAGCATGCACGTCATCTGCTGAAAACCCTTTTTATTGCATGCTGCAGAGGTGTAGGGTACATTTGCACCGCGTTTTTTTGGGGTGAGTAAAAGAGTAACACTTCATTCACCGCTTGCAGTGCAGGGCAGTATGAATGAGTGCTCAGAGTGCAGAGTAATAGTAGGGCACAGCTGGGTTGACTGCACATTGGACTGTGGGGCACGGCCTGAGACTTAAGAGAAAACAACATGACTGTCATGTTTTAGGACCAGGAAAGCAGAAAATCAATACAGAGTGTGACAAGAGGAACGTCTCCAGGCCCCGGGACACCAAATCTACCTGCTGTCACCGCCTCAGGAAAAGAGAAGCTTTCCCTGTGTGCCAGGAGTGTCACTGATTGGATCTTGAGGGAAACAGCCGTGACAAGGTGCTGCTACAAGACCAACTGATCTTTATGATCATTTTGATATCTGGGTCTGCTCCTCCGACTCATTGTTAGTCTTTGCAGTGAAAGAAAAAAGCTGCAAATATATGAAATGTGTCAAACCAAACGATCTTGATCATTAAGCAGGAAGATGAACTGCACCGCTCATTAGTTTATTTTCACTACAGGCTGTGCTGTTTTCTTCAGAGGCCATTAAGCTGATTTTTGCAGACATATGCAGAACAAATAAAGCATAGAAAAGTACGCAGAGAAAGATGGAGCTGGAAGAAAAGACACTTCAAAAAAGATCCTAAATTACCCGGATTTGCAGGCCCTGGATCTCAGCCAGATGAGCTTTCTCAGCCTCCTCCAGCCGCCTCCTCTCTGCATCCTCCTTCTGGATAAACTCCACCTCTCTGAGGAGACAAAGAGGGAGGGGAGATGGAGATATGCTGAGTGGATGCGTGTCAGCATGGGAAAACATGATGCGTTTGCGTGTGTGTGCATGTTCTGGAGCGTGGCACTGCCTCGGGAGGTTGTTTAAAATGTTACTGTGACTTATTTCAACTTTTAACCAACAGTTAAAGCAAACATAAACACATATCTCCTGCTAAAAAACATGAATTAATTGACCTCCAAATCATCCCTTCCCTCGAGCCTATTTAGCCCTCGGTTACTCAGCCATCTCTCCTTTGCAGACCGCTGCTTTAAGATCAGCATGAAGTCTTTGTTTCATCGGTGGGCTTCCAGTTGGCCTGCAGGGCCAGAGCCAATTAGAGGCAGTCAGACTGGAGCTGAGCAGGAGAGGTTGTGATGGGACTGACCAAAGAGATCAGCAGACAGAAAAGCAGGAACGCTGCGCTGCATAAGAATGGAAACTCAGCTCCTGCAGCTGAAACGGGAAAAGACTTTGGCTGCACAAAGAGCTGCTGGGTGCATCCGATATTCTCTGTTCTGGTAAAATGAAGAGAGCAGGGTATCTGAAATAATGAATTTTTTAAGGCAGAGTTTGCCTCTTTGAACATGCCTGATGTGTAGGAGTTGTAATCTTTCATTTCAAGCTTTTAAGTGCCTCTATGAGCGAGTCATGCAGACAGAGCTGGAGAAAAATAAGTCTTCAGAGAGCATTAAATGATTTTAAAATGTGACGGCTGACAGGTCTGATCTGAATGTCACAAGAGAAAGAAGAAGAGAGAAGACAGAGGTGTCAACAAGCTGACAGAGATCAAATCATGATCAAGGTGGGTTTTCACATTTTAACCACCTGTTTTTACCTGAACAAAGTCTGAAACTGACAACTGAGACACCTGAGTGTGAAATAACAGGCTTCATGAGTGACTGGAAAGTCTTCAAAAGCTTGTGTGTGTGAGGGCTTTTGTCACTTAAAAATGAGCTTAAAATCAACATATCCTCTGCAGAAAACATCACTGAATTATCTTATTCTCTTGAATTAGGTGCCATGAGAATAAAACGAATGCTGTAAATAAACAGATTTAATATTTTTACCAAGTTATTCCAGGTTTACGTTTACATCTCTGCTGTTAAAAATAACAGCCCTTAAATATTCCCTTTACTCCTCTGTCAGAGGGTGTTGAAAGTCCGGCTGTCTTACTTCTGCTGGAAGTCCTTGATGAGCTTCTTGGCCTTGTTGTACTTCTTCTCCAGAGTTTGGTACTGTGCCTGGGCCTCCTTCAGGTGCTCGTTGACCGTGTGGCAGAGGGTCTGTGCTTCGATCCAGTAGCTCTCCAGCTTCAGCATCCTCTCCTTGTTCTCCTCGATGCTGGCCTTCAGCTGGCTCTTCTCCTTCTCCCAGCGCTGCTTCTCTCTCTCCACGGACGCCAACTGGAAACACAAAGAAAGTAAATATACATTTGTTCTGCATATATACAGGAGATGTATACATGTATAATTTTTGGGATAAAGCTTTTGAATTCAAGCAAGTCATGAGAGGACTAACTGACTCATTCCTGCTTAAATTACAACGACAGACTTTTGTTTTGGGTACAAACGATAACAGAACAGCATGCAACCTCTTCTTGAACAAAAACTGACCCCTTCAAAAGCTCGGTCTCAATAAAATAAACGTATAATGACAAGATTCGTCTCTAAAGCTCCTGCGCTTCTTCTCCAGTCCAAATCTATTTACCAACATTTTGAACTCTGACTTTTGTCATTTACTCCCACATCGACACGGCCCACACACACACCAACAGTTTGAAGCTCTTACCTTGTTTTTGAGCTTCTGGATCTCGGCCTCGGTCACTGTGTGTTTGATCTGGAGCTGTAAGGAGCAGAGGCGAGAAGAAGAAGAAGAAGAAGAAGAGAGGAGAGAGGGCGGTCAGATAATCAGATGCATGGCTGCGCAGGCTCTCTCCACTGTCGATACAGCGTGACGGACAGAGGCAGCCGACCCTGTCCTTCCCCTGACAGCGTCCCGGCTCCAGCACTGACACACACTCCCAGAGGGAAGCTGAGGAAAAGCTCAGGATGGACGGAGAAGTATTAAATGAAATTTAACCCAACTCTATGAGAAATCAGTACGAACAAAAATGTAAAAAACCAAGACAAAGTGGATGAAACATTTTCAAAAGTGTTGAATTTTAGATTGATGAGGTTTGATATGAAGAAAGGGCAACAAAGAGTTATGAAAGTTGAGATAAACAGCTGTTTAGAGGCAGATGCAGAGAGGAAGAAAGCTGACGCTAAGAACAGAAAAGAAAGAGAAAGAGGAGTGGATGAGGAACAACAGATGTGGAAATGAGAGCAAATGAGGACTTTAGTAAATGAGGCGGAAATAAAGGAAAAGGGGATGAAGGGATACACAACTTTGGGGAACATTTGTAACAAAAATGAGCAAACATCCTTTTGTGGATTTAACTTTATCGTAAAAAATGGCTGCTGTTTTCCTCACTTCGCTTTCATGATATTGTTGTGATTCAGTCAGACGCTTGGAAAAACTTTAAAAAGCAAACTAAGTTTTCTGCATGTCATGATTATAAAGCTTGTGACTTTTATTCTATATTCCTACATGAGAAGATTATCAGTCAATCCCGCTTCTGTCTAGACTTCTCCATTAATAATTTCTCCGAGACGTCTCGAGACACCATCAAAAAGTAAATGGACTTGAACAGCAGCCTGTTGGGGAATAATACTTTTACGAAAACACATTAGGAGGACAAAAAAAGAAAGAGCTTGTAATTCTGCTGCATGGCTTTGCATTTCCTTGGGTGTTAGAGTCAGCAGAGAGAGGAGAGGAAGTGGAAAACAGGGAGCGTTTTAAACCTGGGAGAGTAAATAAAAGCTGTTAGGTAGAGGGAAAGGTCAAGGTCCAGAGGAAATGAGAAAAACTGATCAAATATATATGTCCTGTGAGCAGAGATTACATTATAGTTTTCCAGAGATCTCCTGCGGTGCCTGCAGTGCAGCTGAGCACATTTGTTAAAAGTGTCAAACAGGTATTGTACCAGAAGAGCCAAATAACGGCGCTGTAAGTTTCAGTCAATAACATAAGCTTCCCAGCGGCCTGAAAACAATAAAGATGGCGGCTGTAGTCAATGAATTAATTTCGCTTTAAAGCTGTTTTCAACAAAGCTCTTTGTTCGTGCACGTAGCAAAAGTTCAACCAAATGATTTTCTACTCTCAGAGGCCGGCTGTGTGAAGAGATGCCAAAATCGGGATACAAATCCATTCAAATTTAGGTTTCAAGTGTAAGTGGGTTCTCCTCATCTGAAGGTTTTAACCAAATATGGGTAATTAGAGGAGAAATGAGCAGGAGGCTTTTGTATTCGTGCCTCTAATCATCCAGATTAGGATTTAAGGAGAGTAAGCGGATCTCAGATCTTTACTAAAGAATGAAACTCTGCAGAGTAAAGTGGGCGTGTGCCAGACTCTATTGTGTTGGCAGCTTTTGTTGATTGATTAAATCACTCGTAGTATCTGTGCCTGTTGTATTCTGTTTCAGAGGGGTGTGTTTATTCTCTTAAGATTACTCTCATCTGATTTGTGATCTTCATTTTAAAAAGTCTGAGTTTACCTCTCTGAATTTCTGGTAGAGTTTTGTGGTGTCTAACTCTGAGGGAGACAAGATGTCCTCCGACTCTGGCAAATCAAACACCTCGATGCTCTTGTCCCCACCGGCCACTGTTGTCCCTCCGTCCTCTTCATCTGTGGCGTACTCGCCTGTCTGCTGTAAGAGGAAACAAAAGGCAAAGTCAGACATGGAGTCGTCTCTGCTGCAGATCGGAGATAGGCAGGAGAGACTACTGTCCTCTACGTAACTTAACTTTTGTGTTTTAACTTTTTTATACAACACAGAGTATCAGTGTACAAAAAACTACGAGATTGTTGAGATTTTGGTATCTGATTTTTATTTGTTGTACAGCAGGAAAACATTATCGTCCACTAGGGATGTGCAATTAACCCCCTTACGATATATCGTCAGAAAAATCCTCCATGATAAATATTTGCCATCTCATGATAAATACGATAAATGCAAGTTGATGACGTAAGCATGAGTGATGGACTCGCAGCCATAGCCCACACAGAGCAGAATAACAAACAAACATGGCTGAAGGTAATAAAGAATGAGGCTACACATGAGGGGTTTCCTTCAGGATTGCCTGACATTGGACAGTCGATCTGCTGCTGTTCACTCTGTGCAATAAGAGTTTTCAACAAATATTGAAAATGTTTTCATATTTGAGACTTGTTTGATGTCGTTAATTTTCTCCTTAACCTACCGCTCAAACTTGTGGTTCAGTATCTTATTTGACTATTCCAACCAGTGTTCTGAAGACAAAATGAGTCAAAAATAGAGATTGGAATTATCGCCCATATTTCTCATACCTATTGTCCACTGGTCTTTCAGTGGAAACTGTGCATGAAAAACAGCTTGTGTGGAAGTGCCAAAATTTGCTACCAGAGGCTCTGGCGTTGTTGTATCACAATCTGTAGGTTCTGGGATCGATTAGCTAGCTATAATCTATAAGACCTGTGCAGGAGGCTTTGCCATGTGTGTAATCTGTGTTTGGGCTTCACTCTGAATCAATGCGATAAAGGTTTCTCCTCTTTTTCTTTATAATCACTGCATTTTTATGGTTCACTTTGGACTTTGTGCCTTTTCTTGACCAAACACCCTAAGAGAGAGAGGAAATGTTGGGTGGACGTGCATCAAAGGGTCATGGCCGGTAGTTGAACCAGCGACCGTGCGACAGTCTGTAGCCTCTGTATATGGGGCACACGCTCTGCCAACTGAGCTAAAGCAGCACCCTCAGGATTATTTTGGGCGAATTCTTCCTGATCTTGGACTAAGGATAGAGGATGTTGCATGCTGTGCAGACTGTAAGCCTCTGAGACAAATTGTGTTTTATGATTCTGGGCAGCATAAATAAACATGGAGGCTGCCAAACAGCCTGAACAGAGGATGTCTGACTGTCACTAGACCGTCTCACATCAAGCTGCATCTGTTTGTCGTTCCTCTCTCTGTCCTGTCTCATCTGTCTCCCTTTAGCGACACCAGTCACGCTGCATCATGTTTCTCTACCTGCTGCACATCGCATGTTAAGCAGAAGCACAAACCCCTCCGTTTTACACATGCAACCTTTTTTTAAACATCACTTTTTACATAAATAATGCTCCTTTCATGCCCCTTGTTATGTAAGACTGAAGGTAACCCACTTAAATGTCTTGGACATAAATAAATCGCTCTGACAGCCTGGTCAGCTGTGAGTGTCGTTTCTATAAAAGATAAGCCAAGAGAAGAAGTTGTACTTGCCAAATCTGAATGTCACTTTGATTTTATTTAAACATTAGTCACCGTCTTGCCTCGAGTGTACAGAGGTTTCACGTCATGTAAAGGGAGGTTTTACCCAGTAAAATAAGCTGGGGATTCAAAATAAAACTTCAACTAATATACGTTAAGTCATTCAAAAAAAAAAAAAAGAAAAAAAGAAAATAATAATTAAATTTTTTTAAATAGATGAACATATAAGTAAATACAATAAATAAAAACTAAATTAAAAAAATAAAAAATTAATAAAAAATTTAAAAAAGTCATTCAAATCTTCCACAGGGTTAAAATATTAAACCTTTTCAGCTCTGACACTAATGTAGGCCATCATCATGCTGTGTGTGTGCTCTGCAGTTTTTCTTTCCTCCGATCTGGAAATACAGTCTAATGATTGTTGGCTTTGGTCATTAGGCGTCGGATAAAAATGGATCGGTTGATTCAGAGTTTGGACGAGGACCAGCAGAGCCTGTGAGAAAACATCTCTGCTTCCCTCTCAACATCACGCAACCATCCATCCTATCCTACTTTCCCTCTTCCGATCAATTAGTCAGAGTTCGTTGAGAGCGAGCCAATCATGGGAATAAGATCCCATTTAATCATCTGCATGTAAATATTAGTTTAAGACAAATAGGATTAAGTGAATTGCACTAACGATAATGAGCATGTGTACATTTTATTAAGCAGATCCCGCTGATCCTAGTGCTGCGATACTTTATCTTCCTTGGTCTTAAATACATCTTCTGCACTTATTTGTCATTCTGTCTTAATTCGTCACACACTCTTGGAGTGCATGCACAGGCACACACTGATACACAATCCCATCTCCTCTCTCATCATCTTGGCTTCTATCTTCCACTCATCTCTTTCCCTTCACTTCCCTCCATCTATCTCTGAACTCAGATAACGGCGCTCAGGCCTGATTTGTTTGCATGCATGGCCAACGCAGAGCTCCATTTCCATTCCATAATAGGCTTGCTTGTTGCCATGGTGCCGGCATCCTACGTTACAGGCCCCGTTTTCTGAAGGTGGAGTTAACAATCGAGCGCATGGGAGGGCAGTCAAACATCAATTTGCATATGATAAATGCATTGCCGCTGACTGCACGCATGAGGAATCAGGAGAGGAAGAGGACGAGTTCGGGTGAAATCTTGTTGTTTAGAGGGCGCTCAGTGTGATGATCAACAAAATGAATGTCTCGTATAAGTATGATGTTGGATGTCAGGCACTGAAGGAAAAGGCTGCTGCTCAGACAGGAGGATGTGATAGGATGTATCAGGATTGAGCTCAGAAGTCAAACACATTCTGGTTCTTCAGAGCAAAGCATCAGGCAACAGGAGCCTCATGTCTTCACTTTAAGATGCATGTTTATCAGCTTTATATTAATACAGATTACCAGCTAGACCGGCAGTACTTTCTTCCTGGTTTTACTTCGATTACATTATTTCTTTTTGACGGTTTTTATCTGTTTGAATTAACAAGTTTCAAAGAGGGCGAGCGTTTAAGCTCCAATGAAGAACTTTTGGTTTGTTTTGGCTCCCCCCTATGGAAAAAGCAGTCCTTGTTTAGCTTGTCCTCTACATACTTGAGTCATGCATTTTGACAAAAATCTCACCCATCTGACTTTTTACCAAGAAATGGCTACTTTTTTTTTTGAATATTTACTGTTAAAATTTTCACCAACCCCCTATTGAATTTCCCTTCCAGGATGAATAAAGTTCTTCTTCTTCTAACACTGGTCTCAGATGTTAAAAATTACAGTTTAAAACTCATCAGTGTTGTCACTCATAGTCTTGTTTGCGTCTGTCTTTCAAAAAAAGGCATCAATATAAATATATATATTTACAATATATAAGAAATAAGTTTTATAACTAAGTTTATAACTCGAAGTTTCTTTATCCTTTAATTTTCTCTTTTTGTATCTGTACTATGCTGCTGTAAATTTGGAATTTACCCCCGTGAGACTATTAAAGGAACATCTTATCTTATCTTAAATAAGTGCTCTGTTGATTTGTAATCCAAAGACACACAAGCTCTAATATTGTTTTTGGATTCAAGGTAAATCTTGAATTTCAGTATGTTTCAGTATTTTATCGTCACTCAGAGCTGCTAAAAACTCTCTCGCTGACACAAAAAAAATTTGACAGCCCTGTTTTGAATGTGAAAAGGTCAGCATGCGTCTTCTTTTCCCACCTGTATTTTTGTGGTTAACTGTGACATAGACACACAAACAGACTGGCGTGTGTGTGTGTGTGTGTGTGTGTTTTGTGTCTTGCTAACTAAAGGAGCATCCCTCCCTCCTGGGACAGCAGCCCCTGTGCCGATAAAGAGCTGTCTGTCACATCCTTGCTGGAAGCCCTGAGAGTGAGAAACAACCTCCCACCCCCGCCCACCTGGTGAGAACTCCTTCTAATATTTATAGAGTTATTAATATTGATGAGCTCCTTTTATTGCCCCATAGATCCCTGTAATGGTTTTGTAACTGTTTACCCTGTTGGCAGTTACGTAGGCAGTTACGGCTGCTTTTGTTCTCCACTGTGGCAGATTTCAAGTGTGTGTTTACAGCTATTTGTTATCTATGTATGGACTGACACTTTCACCACCATCTTCATTCTCCTGTTAGGGTGACCTAGTGGGGATAAGTCGCAGGATGTCTATTCAAACGATGTCCTCCTACGTTTATTTTGATTTTCATTATTCGCACTGAGCAGGAAATCATGGCAGGAAACAGGAAGAAAAATAGACAGGGAGGTTTTTTTGTGTGCTCTGCAGCCCCAACACTGTGTAGGAGCTTTAATATGAGCTGACAGTGTTACACACGTACAGGGATATGATTATGGGCCAACTGGGTTCAGCTTCTAGGGTTTCTTATGCACGATGAAGTCTCTCAATCCATCATCTGCAAGTACATAAAAGACTTTAGACGATACAGAGAGACATCCCAGTGTGTGTCTGTGTGCATGTAAATCCATGCATGAGTGCAGCTATCCCTGTGTGTAGCGGTGAGGACACGTTGCATTAATTTACAGCACCACAGTGTGCAGTTTCATGCCTGTATACAGTGTGCGTGTGTGCGTAGCTTGCACACACGCACACATTTGGGTGGCAGGACTTGCAGGGCCATGAGCTCAGTGTCTGTTGGATTAAACGTGCTGTGAGTAAGCAGCCGAATCAGAGGGGGGGAAACGCTGAGTGATGCTTTCGAGGACTGAAGCTTGCATGGTATTCTGTGTGAGGGAGTGTGTGTTCGGCATGTCAGCATCAAAGCCTCCTGTCAGTCAGTTTTACAGAGTAATAAGCTATAAATTGCAGCCAACTGTCATGAGAAGGAAGCTCATTTACATTGAAGCGACAACCAGCAGCCTTATTTTTGCAATAAAGTGTCATGTCATGTGTGTGAGGCGTGTGTACCAAAGCAAGTCTCATGATCTCTTTTGAGTTAATATGACATTCCTCTAATTAGGCGCAGCGACTTTCTCTAGTCACATTTCAGACATATGAAGGATTTAACTTAATTTCCCACAATTCTCTCTGCACATTTTTTTTTTGCACTGAGATGTAAAGGCTGATGAGTGTGGTCATTACTTCATCATCGTCGGCGTCATAGTGGGCGTACTGTTGCTCCAGCAGCTCCCTCTGTCTCCTCTCCTGCTCCAGGGTCTGCTGGATGAGAGTGGCCACCTCGCTCTGCTGACCTGGACGCTCTCGGCCAATCACAAACCTGCATGGACACACACAATTGTAGCATTACTGCCGGCGCATGCAGCCTGGGACAACATAAAACTTGCAACACATTACATAAGACAAGCATTTGCATCATAAAACCTGAGTGAGAACAGCTGTTCAAATCATCACTTTAAATCGTCAGTGTACTTTGTAGACAGTGAACAGCCTTATGGGAGATGTACTGTAGGCTCTACTTGCAGACATTGCAAAAAGATATCAATGCATTTCAAAGGGTCTTTGTTTTGTTGTTGAAATCACACACATTTCAAATGGTATCAATAATGCATTCAAGTTAAACGTGTACATTCATTTCTCGCTCACACAGATGTGTATTTGGACAGTGAAGTGACCACTGCAGTGACTGTGTGAGACCAGCCCGAGCTGAAGCCACAGATCAGCGACAGTGAGATCTGCTGACGTATCGGGGCAGGGCCCAGAGATGGGACACACATAATAATGTGAGCAGACAGTGGGCTCGCCCAGGCAAGGCTGGTAGGGGAGAAAATGGAGAAAGCTGCAGACTGTGGTTCAGATTTTCAGACTACTGAAGACACACATGGGATCTACAGCCGATCGATATCACATAAAAATAAGGATGAAGACAGAGAGAAAAGGGAAAAAAGGACAAAAGATGATGTAAGAAGTAAATACTTTGAAATCATTCCTCCAAGTTCAGGTTTGCTATTCATATGACCTTCATTCTTGCATTTTTTGAGTATTTAATCTTTATTTTATCCTGAAAACGTACTTTAAAATCATGAGGGAAGAGGTCAAAGAAAATACTCTCTCCACCGCTGTGACTTGACTGCAAATACTCAAAATAAAACTCACAACACCTCATCTTATGACTTCAACAATGCATCCAAACCCAGCAATAACACTGAAGTATTTCTCTGACCTATTCTTCAATCTCAGACTCAGCAGGGGTCCAGAAAGCGAGAGAGCATGCATGTGCATGAGCATGCTAGAGTGAGAGAGCAAGAGTGACAGGAAGAGAGAGAGAGGGAGAATGGAGTGGATTTGAGTTAGGGTCTAATCAAGTGGATTCAGTCCCTGAGAGCACTTTAATTTTATTCTAAAGGCGGAGTAGAAGAGGGCCTTACGCTCCATCAGAGAGCAGTATTTGATCTACATGTGAAGGAACAACTGGAGGGCAGGACAGAGATGGAGGAAAAAAAGGAGGGAAGGCCCTGGCTGAGCTGAGTACTGAAGTGGATCCACTGTTTGGACAGCATGGAGGTCTGAGGAGCAGCTGACCTGGAAACAACCTTGCTCCTCACGCATGGGGACTCAGTCTTGGTTCCTCCTTCACCTCTTGCTGTCCTGAGGCTGCCACACACAGTGCTGCTTGAGTTTAACTGCAGAAACCTGTACTTCTGGTCTTATTTACTTCCATTTATACCAGCAGGACTTCAGATAAATATACAGTATGGTGCTGACTGTACACGTCAACATTCTTAACATTTGCTTGACGCATTAAAAAAAAAAATAAATAAAGCTGAAACACTTGAAGGAAAAGAGAGAATAAAGGTTGAAGGAGGAGTGCTGCAGGACAAATGTCTGCCCAGTTAGGACGCCCTGAGTTGATGGCAATTAAGGATGTCAGCATGAGATCACACATTACAGATTTGACTGGTTAACCGTGGCAGCTTGGCATGCATTTTATTATGGGCCACTTTGTATATACATTTATGCATGTGTGTTTTGACACATGTTCATATTTATTTTGGGCTGGTATACTATACTACAGTATACAGTATACAGTATACTATACTATTTAGCCAAACACCAGTTCATGCTGACATTTTGTCTTTCATGAATAAAAAGCATGAAGGACTCAAACCATGATCAGTGTATACCAAAGTTCTCTATTAAATCATGTTTTATTCAACAAAAACATTATTTAATGATACTACATAACACGATACACAATACTTAACTGTCCTGTTCTGTACCAAACTATATTACACAAAATAATACTTTGATGAAACATCACTCTGCAATACTACAATTTACTTTACCATACTGTACTATGCTGAACTACACTATATTTTCATTAACTATTCTAAACCATAGCGTACAAAAAACAACTGCAGGAATATTCTTCAGTTTGTGGACTATTCTGAACAATACTGTATCTAATACTAAAATATACCACTGTAACTTAAATACTCCATTGTATTGTGTTGTAATACTCTTAACTCAACAATACTTAACTATGCTATACTGAACAAAACAATGCTATACTACTCTACTAAATTTTACCCAAGTACACTATAATAAGCTTTTCTAAACTAAACTATACTATACTATACTATACTACAGTATATTATACTAAACTGTAACAAGAAACATAGCACTATACTATACAATTACTATACAATACAATACAATACTATACTATACTATACTATACTATACTATACTATACTGTAACAGGAAATGTGTCACTATACTATATTATACTTAACCATACTATACTATACTAAAATATACTATACTATGCTACACTATCCTATATTATACTACATTATTCTATGCTATGCTATGATATATCATACCATGTTTTACTATATAAGACTATACAAGACTATACAATGCTACACTACTCTATACTGTGCTATTCCAAGCTATACCAAACTATATTACATGACTATGTTATACTGTACAATTCAATACTAAACTTCATTTTACTATACTGTACAATACTATACTTTATTTTACTATGCTGTACTGTACTATACTATACTTCATTTTACTATACTGTACTATACTTTATTTTACTATGCTGTACTATTCAATACTAAACTTCATTTTACTATACTGTACTATACTTTATTTTACTATGCTGTACTATTCAATACTAAACTTCATTTTACTATACTGTACTATACTATACTATACTTTATTTTACTTTGCTGTACTATACTATACTATACTTCATTTTACTATACCGTACTATACTTTATTTTACTATGCTGTACTGTACTATACTATACTTCATTTTACTATACTGTACTATACTTTATTTTACTATGCTGTACTATTCAATACTAAACTTCATTTTACTATACTGTACTATACTATACTATACTTTATTTTACTTTGCTGTACTATACTATACTATACTTCATTTTACTATACCGTACTATACTATACTATACTTTATTTTACTATGCTGTACTATACTATACTATACTATTCAATGTTATACTTTATTATACTATACTATACTCTACTATACTATACTATACTATACTATACTATACTGTAATACACTGTACAATTCATGACTATGCTATACTGTACAATTCAATACTATACTTCATTTTACTATGCTGTAGTTTACTATACTATACTATACTTCATTTTACTATACTATACTATACTATACTATACTATACTATACTATACTATACTATACTTTAAAATAGTACAAAACCAGGGGGGAACTTTTGACTGAAACCCAGATGGTTTTCTGCTAGGAGTCAGGTTTAAATATAGCTAAAATTGCAAATCTAGGACAGTTGGTCATAAAACCTCTGGTGATCAGACGGGAAGAGGGAAGGATTTACTGAAGAGTGGGAGTAGGAGGAGGAGGAGTGAGTGGGTGAGACATGATGGAGAAAGACTGAAATAGTGTGAGAGTGGAGAGAAAATAGGTCTCCTGAATCCCTACAACCTGCTATGAGAGTGTCACTAAACTAGATTTAAATGTTAAAAGTGTACCCCACATCTTTCACAGACAGATTACACTCCACTCTCTGCACATGCATACTTCCTGACTCACGATTGCTTAATAGATGGACAGGTGACAGATGGATACTATTTAAGGCTGCCTTACCTATAGTTCCACATCCTGGTATGTGGAAAAAAAACTCAATGTCAATATTAGTTCAGCAAACAGCATCTGTCCGGCTGACAGTCTGATACTGCCGGACGTGTTTTTGTTCTGCCACCAGCTTTCCCTGGGCTCTATGCTCTTTACACACACATTTATCTTCACACAGCTGAGTCCCACAGAGGATCCTGTCAGCCAGAAAAAGATGGAGGACAAAAGCCACTCTAAAGACAAGGATTATTAAACTCTGTATCACAGCTGTCCCACCATAGTTTGTCCGGATAGATGGGTTGCTAAAAGAAGCTAAAGTGGGGTGTCTAAAGTGAGGATTCAAAAAGGTATAAACAGTAAATGAGATGGAGGGAAGAAAAAAGGCTGAAAAGGGAGAGTGTTGGAAAAACAGAGAGACGCTGCAGTAAACCAAATCAAGACAAATGGAAGGACAAGAGCAAGTAGCCACAGAAAGCTGAGATAGCAGCCTCACAGTGCTGCCAAGGATAGCGCTGGCTCTCCAAATTAAAGCCCTCCTGCCATGCTGTGTGTGTGTGTGTGTGTGTGTGTGTGTGTGTGTGTGTGTGTGTGTGTGTGTGTGTGTGTGTGTGTGTGTGTGTGTGTGTGTGATATCTGCTTCCCACTGCTCTCAATGGAACTCTGCCAAAAACTGCTCAACTGTCAAACACACGAGACCTTTGTCACATATTGTGCTCTCACGTCTTCGCCTCCTTCAAACAGATACAGTAATAAAGCTGATGGATGTGCCAAACTTAAGCTCAACGCTTCGATAATTTTGAAGTGTTTTTGGCTGCATGAAAGAAAGACCAGCAACATCCAGAAATAAACCACGTATCACTGCAGAGAGAGTAAAGGACAATTTCACTCTTCAGTTTGTCTATAATCACTGTATGTCTGATGTGTTGGTGGTCTGGCTGTTAGGGCTGATAGCTGCTTGACACACTTTGGTACTGTAATCTTATGTTAATCCAAAGATCCTCATCAAAGGGAGGAAGAAAACATACAAACCTTATGTGCATGTTTTGCATGTTTACAAAGAGACTGCATTTATCAGACACTGGAGCGTCATCTGTGTTTATGTCTGCAGTCTTACCTGACCACTCCTGATGTATTCCTGAGGACGGAGGCTGCAAAGCTCTGAGTGACGCCCACCAGACTGGTCCCATCCACCTCCACGATCTGGTCATTCACCTTGATCCTGCAGGCACACAAATACAAGCAGCTTTAACATTTAAGGCAGCAAGTGAGTTGTATCAAGTTGATGTATCAGTTGAACATCTGTATCACCAAATATCTGCCTTGTTGACTGACATGGGCACACCTGCGAATAATGCGCCATGCACTAATCAATCTGATATCCTGACAGCTCCAACCATAACCCTTACTCATATGCACATGTCAGAAAACAAATGTGGTCTGAAAGTGGCTGATACTCGCATGCACATTGTCTCCAAGAGTAAACATCATGATTATATCAAAACTTACGCAGCAAAATTACTTCAGTAGGCAAAAATAAACCATCCAGTTATGCAACGTCATATTATCTTGAAAATTACAACAAAGCCAGACTCTCTTGCTGTCACAAATTCTCACTTCTGCGGCCCCAGACGGTTGCCTAACCAAGAGACAGAAGAGATGAGGCTCAAAACAAACTGCAGGGCTAATGAGGACCACAGCTCCAGACACTCAGAGAGGTCAGCTCAGTTCTTGACCCGAAATGCAACTCCTGATGAAACAGCACTCATGAGTGCAGTTCTGAGTGAGTCTTTACTGAATATTCTGCTGAAACCCTCATAGAAAAATGCAGAAAAAAACAAAGACAGATTTACAAATCTTGTGTTATTATTTTTGGCAATTGCTTTAATTGTTTTTGCAGCATCCACACACATGCTTTTCTGTTATCTCACGACTTACGGTTCCTTCAGTTTATCTCTTATTCATATTATGATAAATCAATAACAACATGCAAGAGTCCTGCAAAAGAAATGACTCGACAATATCTTCAATATTTACAAGCACAAAACTCAGTTACACTTTAATCGCTCTCAATAATCACATTTTACATTAGGTCAAATAGTCCAATTAAAGCAGCAGAACTAATGTAATCAGGAGACGGCAGAGTGATGACGGAGTGGAAAGAGAGAGGAAAATGAGTTTGCCTTTTAGGAGAGCTTTTTGGAAATTGAATTAGCATTTTTTCACTTAACACGCCGCATGATGGCTTTAAATTCTGCTAAACCTTTAAAAAACATGGTCCAACATGGTAATATTTTTATTTCCAAATAATTTGGGATTTGACTCCTAATTATCTGTTGATAATGTCAGTGAATAATAGAATCTGAGTGCCTTGTTTTCACTTACTGAAAAGCCTCTTCAGTCAGTTTTACTTTATTCGCACAGCATTGGAGGGTATGATTTTTATAAAATTAGATTAAAGATAAGGGTGTGGACTGGACTCAGCATATTTTACCCCTGAAAACATTACCACATAGCGCAAACTGACCACTTTTGTTATGTGCTACAGCATCATTTTCCAACTAAGCAGCAATATTAAACAGAACAGCAGCTGTATGAGAGACGCCAACAGCTCCTCCCGCCATGTCTAAAGGGGATTTATCTGGAAGATTTGCTGGTGTGTTCTCTCATGAGCCCACCTGGACTTTACCAGGGGGCTAGCAGAAAGTTAGGGTGAAAAACTTGTCTGTTCGTGTTCACACATGCAGTTCATTTTCTGCACATTTTTCACAAACTTTGTGCACGTGTGAAAGGGACCCATATGTTAACTCTCTTGTAAAATACTAAATAACAATGTGTAAAATTTCACATAAGGATTAAGGATTTAGTTTTTTTTTTTTTTTTAATGGGACAATATGTTTTAATAAACATTTACATGTAAATACATGGGATTATAGCCAAGGGGCTAATTTCCATCCCGGTCGGTGTAAAAACAAACATCAATAACAGGAGTGAAACAAACAAAGCGTATCAGCAACAATATAAACTGCAAAATCTCCTTCAAAAGCACATGTTGCATTGGGAAATATACTCCTAATGGATTCTTACAAAACTGCAGTAAAAATGGTTATTCATGGCAACACATAGCTGCTGATCAGAATCAAATTTGTCCTAAAAACACATCATCCAGAGCTGTCATGCAGATTTAGGGCAACATGTCAACCATAGAGAACAACAAGGAGTGAGCAGGAAGCAGCTGAGATACTTCTGATGTACAATAAAGTAACACTAAATGAAAATAACAGCTGGAACATTACGACATTAAAGCAACATACACTTTCACGTCTCATGTCTTCCCAATAACATCTCATCCCAGCGCACAGACACCTTGGGTCATCTGCTCCAGACAATACAGTGGGCCACAGCCAAGCTCATTTATCTGTCTGCCTGTGAGTCCAAGGCCGTGTGTGTGTGTGTGTGTGTGTGTGTGTGCGTGGATGCACCAGACCATTCAGCTCGACTCAGCAAAAGAGAAAGAAAGGGTAATGATGGAAGAAAATTACATTCTCGCCATCCTGACTCTTCCCCTGAGCGTGTGTGTGAGAGATATTGCTCCAAAAGTAAATGAATCGAGCACGAGTGATCCCGTATCTATTCCTGGAGTCCTGCGTTCATTTCTCTCATGTTGTGATTAAGGCCTGTTGTGAAATCTGTCACAGGGACACAGGCAGGGCTGCAGATTCATAAAAAAAGGATGACCTGTATCCATCATCTGGGGTACTCAAGGCACTTGTTGTGTAATCTAACAGACGACAGCTGCATTTAGCCTAACTGCACCATCAAAACATCTTAAAAAGATGTCAACAGAAGGTCTCTCTCCTCCGTGTCTTGTTCTGTTTAGGAGAGGGAGGTCTGCAGCAAATGGGATCAAGGTTGATACTGAGTGAAATGCTAATGGACTGTTTTCACAGAAAGTCTAAAAGGAGAGGATCTCTAAGATCACTGTTGGGACAAAAACAGGAGTACTGGATAATGATGGTATTTGAGATCACCCTCACAGTCCCTGCAGAAGTTTTCTCACATCAGAGAGTCTTAAAATAACAACTGTTTCCTTTAACAAAGAGTTCATTTGATTTGTATGAAATTTATTGCATCATTACATGAATGAGTTAAAGATTACATGTGTGTTTGTGTGCAAGAGAGACTTTTTACAGTAACTTTTTAGTGAATCTTTTTATCTACTTTTGCCTGTATTTTGAGTAAGAGTTACACACAGGTGTGGCTCACCTGACGAACAGGTGACAGTGTTGTAGATGATCATAAACCAGCAAGGCCACAGCCTCAACTCTGCCTTTTTCTTCTGTCTATTTACCCAGAAATTCACTGGAGTCAGTTAATTTATTTAACTGTATGATTAAATGAACAAAAATTCAAAATTCAGGCTCTGAAATGAACTGAACTTTGGTGTTTGCATAACCTGCCTGTGATCTTTCCAACTTCACATGCTTGTTGAAGAAAGTGACACATTTCAGAGTCTGTGCGACCGTCATCTTCTCTACACTCTGCTCCCCGGCTCTCTGTTCGCTATATTTTCTCTAACTTCTCTCTCATGTGTTTCTACATAAAGAAAAAATAATCCTAGAAGGAAAACGCAACTAATGTAAACAGCCCCAGTGCACCAGAGTATTCATGGAGCTTACAGAACTTGATACAGTCATGCTGCGGTGAATGGAAGTGCCTATCGGTTTTAATCTGTTTATGGAGAACCTGAACCACACACATCCAGTGATAGGAAAAAGCTGGTTTAGAGGCAGAATAACACAGCTCGCCTGCTGGGAGGCTGTCATCTCCTTCTCTACCCCTGACTGAGTGCTTACTCGGCGCTGTTCACGCTTATAATATAATACACAAAGACACACAACGCAAACACAGCTTCTTCATCACAGCAACACACACACACACACACACACACACACACACAGATAAGGGACATGCAGCAGATATAAAGCAGCCTCTTATTTTCTAAAGCCAAACTTTGCAAAGCAATACAGAATACTCAGAGATATAAGGTGCCAATGCAAAATCTCTGTCACACAATACACACACCTACACACTGCATAGTGCTGCGTGAGGCTTCATGTCCCAAACTGCGCCTCTCCCGGCGGGTTTAATCCGAAACCCTGCTGCTAAATCTGACAGGGACAGAGTGTTACTGCGTGGTGTGTGTGAGAGGGAGCGAGAGAGAGAGTGATGTTTGGAAAGTGGAAGCTGAATCGCTGATTAATTGCTGTATGTATTTTGGTACCAAATGTGATCAGTACATCATTTTCCTGCAGCACATGATGAGCTTTCAAAGCGTGTTTCTGATTAACTGCACCAGGTAGGAAACAAAAAACAAAACCCTATCCAACATATTAACACACTTTCTCCTCTTCATACTCAATAAGACAAGTTCAGACTGTTGTGATGTTGAACTGCTGTGTCACTGATTTTCAAACCCTACAGGCATAAAAATCTACAAGTGGTTATTTCACAGCAGGATTGTTTTCTTTAAAGCTCCTCTGAGGAGTTTCTTGACATTTATGAAATATGCTTGAATTCATATTGATGCTTTTGACGATGATGAGCAAAAGTAAACCAGACCATTGGGGAAAGATTGATCATTTTTAATGCCTGGAAATGGTGTGAGGGGGTAGGTGTCAGCGAAACAAAAAACTAAAACTAACTAAAAAAAAAAAAGCCTTGTTTTTGTATTTTCAGCATACAATCTTTCCAATAAATGATTCATTTGACTGTCAAAAGCCAGAAGGATATGAGTTTTTGTTGAAGACACTGCTTACTCATATTACTACATACGCCAATATTCGTTCACTCTAGCAACACATCTGTAAAGCAAGTGAACCCTTCAGTTTTCACTCACAACGACAGTCTTAGAGGGATTAAAGATGGCGAGACACAGTGACTGTCTGGGACAAAGTGGCATACAAGTACAGGCCAGGTTATTCATCAGCTCATAAGATGTAATGATGCCACCTTTAAGATGATGGCTGTAAGTGCAATGGTGTCAATCAAGTAGCTACTTTTACCAGATTAACAGGAGCGTATGAATAAATGACTAAAAATCTGAACAATGGCAGACCAGCTGTCATCTAGCTAAAAGCCATAGAGGCTATGTACACTGTTTAATTTCTTATGTTTTTTTTTTTTTAAGTATTTCTACCTTTATTGGATAGAACAGCTGAGGAGATACAGAAAATGTGGAGACAAACAGAAAGCGGTTGTGGCTGGGAGTCAAACCAGCTACTGGACTAAAGCCTATGTAAATGGGTACGCTCATGAACTGCTACACCAGTGGCACCTCGTATAGTTGTTTTTTTTATTCAGATGAATATAGACTAATAACTGAATAAATAATAACGAATAAACTACACATTATTTTCATTTCTGTGATGTAATGGTGAATACCAGACTCACAAGCGCCTCAGTCACATGTGTCACTATACTTTTACTGTGCATTATGCATTATGCCTTGTCTCTTGGCGTAGCCGATCTTCCTCCATATCTATTATTTTTACATTCATATTTTCTCTTTGATAGTATGTTTCTTGGCTTGTACAACACTCTGGATCAGCTGGGTTGTTTTTGGATGGTTAAATAATTTGAAAATCTAGCAGATATTAAGAGGATTCCATGTGTGTGTATAAGTTTCCCGTCTCTCACCTGCTGTCTCTCTCAGCGGCTCCTCCCTCGATGACAGTCTTCACGAAGATGCCCAGTTTCTCCAGTCCTGCGTCAGCGCCCACACCCATCCCGATGATGCTGATCCCCAGTCCGTCTTCATCTGCAAACAAACAGACACATACAGCATGGGTGGAGTGCCTCAGGACCTCAATTTTTCAACTTTCCAATGCACTTGGATCGAACCCAAAAAAGCTTCCAGTACTGCCTAGTCAGTTTTGCTTAAGGATACATAGAGAAGTAAATGGATGAGCACGCTCAAACAATTGATTTATTAATGATGAAGAGGAAGAGATAATTACTCGAGCATGATGGCCTTCACCAAACTGGGAAATTCCTCCCAGTGTAGCACTCCTCTATCTCCACCAGCATTCATTATTCATGACTGGTTAGGGTTACATAACATGGAGTGGATGATGAAATCCTACCATTGACAGTCATTCTATTTCAGGCCATATTGGATTTCTACACAGGAAAACCTCAAACTGAAAAAGAGACAAGTGAAGGAAATGAAATATAACCTCTTTGTAGCTCCACCTGGGGATACGTACAAACAGTGTACTGCAGAGTCTTTTAATGTGATCTGAGGAGATTTCCTTTGAGATGCTGCATGAAATAGCATGCTTAGAAGTAGAGGGAAACTATTCAAGGTAGAATATTAGACAGCATTATCACTGATGATTGAAAATTCCCAGTTATAATGAGGAGAATGGACATTCTGACAGAGAGGGGGATGAAAAACCTCCATAGAGAGACGAAAAATAGAAATATCACACCTTTAATTAGAAAAAAGTGACATCCCACATGCGGATGCTTCTGTCTGCTGAGTATAACAAGTAACTGACAGGATCCACCTCCATCCTCTGAGAATTTATTTCCCACCTTTCTCCAGCTCCACAGGGAACAGCTCCAGTTTCTCCACCCGCTTCTCCAGCTCATACTCTGCGGAGGAGGCGACTGGATCCACCTCTTCATTACGCCGGTCATAATCCTCGTTGGAGTAGGTGTTGAACACCTAAAGAGGGAGAAGAAATAGTTAACAGAAGCTGAGATTGAAAATCAAATCAAGAAGTCTGTTTTGAAGGGAGACGGTTCGACGATCTCAGCTGCAACTTCTATTAATCTGTATTATATTGTGCTTGCTGGCCTTGATAAAAAACAACACTGTTACAAACAGAGACACACTTTTCAATAATTACTAGCCATACAAATGTGATCAGACACATCTATTCTGTGATGATAACAGTTGTTGATCTGCAGGTGGAGTTATTCCACTTTTGAGGCTTATGAATACAAATGAAAGCTAACCAGAGTCCCTATGTTCCCAACGAATGCATTATTTACGCAGCAAGGCTACCAACCCTGTGGTAAATAAATCCACAACTGTAACTACAAATAAACCAATAAGGAGTCGCCGAGTAGCAACAGGGGGCAAAGAGAGGCCTCTCTCCTCCTCTGAGCTGTGTGGTCCTCGTAGCAGTCTCTCCTCGACCGTCACTTCACATCTCATCCCTGCCAAGCGCTCTTACTGCTGTCTGCACACGAGAGGAAGAGGAGGAGGAGGAGGAGGATGAAGGGGACATAGCTGTGTACAAGTACGCTCGAGCATGCATGCCGTTGTCACGTCTTTGGTGCAGCGCTCTTCTGCAGGAAGAACACTGGCTGCCGCTGAATGAACGGGTGCACAGGTACTCGAAGGGTGAATGTGAAGGGCTAAGGTTGCGTGCAAACACCCAGGCATGCTTGAGTGAGGATATAGGTGACATTGCGGCTGTCTTCTGCAGCGACACCGACTGCAGATGCTGTTATTAAAGTGTGAGTGACATTCTCCATATGGATTTGTCTCCTTGAAGCTCAGATTTTCCTGTCAGAAATCACACCTTTAGATCGATGATGCCAATCATTTAAGTCATCTGCACATGCACGCTGCATACGACTCATTTGTAAACAGAAGGGTTGCGACTGAGGGGACAGAATCTGTACCACACAGCTCAGAGGATGCGAAAGACAACTCATTCCCACAGATTTGTTCATATTAGAGAAGCTTCAACAAGCCTGCTGCAGTTGCTTCCTGAATCCTGACCTCTCTGGATTTGGCACAAAGAGGAAATTTGCTCTACGGAGAGATCAATAGGCGTCATGTCGCATCACATGTATTGATTAAAGCCTGAAGCTAAAATTATGTTTGTCATGTCTGCATGTGTGTGTGCAGACAGGGGACAAGACCTCAGACCAGTGAGGTCACGACAAAAGGGCAAAGGAAGTTCGAAACATTAGAAATAAAGTGAGTCAGGGTTTTTTTTTTTTTTAGGTTATACATTTTTTATGCAGCAGCAAACAAGTCATAGCTTTTCCAAACCTCCTAAACATACTCATAAATAAATAAAGATATAAATGTCTCTGTGCCAGAGACAGAGTGCAGACAGAGCACACGCAGCTTGGGCCCATTGATGTGGCGTGCTGCTGCCAGGGTCACTTTTTATTCATTCCTCTGTAAGCCTGCGTGAGCTTTATCCATGACCTAGCTGTCATCAATCATTCAGAGTGATCAACAGCCCCGCATTAGCAACGCTGACATGCACACAGACACACACACTGGCACTCATGAGCACGCCCACATGCTCTATAAACAACAGCCTAATGTTGTGCACGTCTAAAAACATGGATAAAAAAGGGATTGTATAGAAGGGACGCTAACAGATAGCACTAAAGGACACCCACAAAAATGATAGTAACCTACAGACACACACTGCTGCTGTCCTGGATGTCCTGGATGCGGTGCCACTGTTGGCACTCAGTACCCTCTCTAATGGCCTCTCTCTGTCACTGTGAGCTATCTACAAACACATTAGCATGTGGCCAGTCACTTGAGAGAGGGGGAAAGCGAGAGAGAGGTCATGAGGAAAGATGAGGACAGATGAGGGTGGATCTGTGAGAGAAAGCAAGCGGAGAAGAGGCGGAGGTGGCGCAGTGATGGAGAGAGATAAGAAAAGGGCAGGAGAGGGAGTTCTTAAAAAAATCTGACAGACGCACGAACCGAGAAAAGAAAAGGATGGACAAGAGAGCAACGGTGACCGGGCGAGGGAGTGACAAGATAAATGAAAGAGTGTGCACAGGGGAAATAAGAATAGGGAGGAAGCAGGAGTGTGAAAGAGAAATAGAGACGGACTGCAGCGTCACCGGGAAAGCATTTACCCACAAGATAAAGAAACCTGTCTGGCTGTAAAAAGGGAATTACCCATTTATAACCCCTGATTGTCTGAACATTACCTGGTTTCCCTGGGAGGAACGGCCACATTTAGTCAATTTGAAAGACCCTAAAGAGGTGCACGCTTCAAAATGGCCAATCCTCTGAAAAATAAATAAAAGAGGCGCACGAACATCTAATTCAATCTATTTAAGGACTCCAAACAAAGACTGGAGCACATTTCCACATTAGCCTCCTTAGATAGGATGTGTGATTTTCTTTTGTACTCTGACAATAATTGGATTTTCTTCTGCCAGAAAACTCATAAAAAGGAGAGAAAAGGCAAAAACGACAGGATGGTGGGATGGCACAGTAATGTGTGACTCTGCTTTTAACCTTGGCGGTGTGTTCAGGCTCTGCTGCCTTCTGTGTGTTTATCACAGAGACCCGAGGACAGGACCAGGTCTGCAGCTGCCAACCAACCAACCACTGGTCCTACAGCTGAGGAGCAGATGAAGAGAGGCGCATACACACGCATTACCTGTACTTCATAGGAGTGAACGGTAGGCTGTGTACATACAAAAATACTTACAATATGACAGCCCCCATGACTGAAGTCAAAACATTAAAGCTCCCCATACTCACTTGCCGTAGTACAGGTTAAAAAAACGCCCATATGCATCTATTCACACCAATCTAGACTGATTTGGTCTATAACTGTTGGACTGACAGGAGCAATTTAAGGTCCCCAGAGGATGAACACTGTTCACATTCTTGATTCGCTGACTTTTCTTCAAGAGCCACCAGAAATTCAACTGGAGAGTAATATTGATCTATTGGATCAGGGTTAGAAACTGCAGCACAAGCAACACCGGTCCTCAGAGGATAAACCTTAACGACTATGATTTCATGACCTTTCTTCGAGCATTGTCATCAATTCAAAATTTCAGACACATGCAGCAAAATGAAAAACTCATCGGCCTTTATCGTACTAATTGCTTATGATGATTCACATCCAAAACAAGATGGAAAAAAACAACACTCCAAAACAACAAGCACAACACCAGATTTCTGCAGTCTCACAGGGTTTCTTCTTCTGTTTGTCTGCTTCAGTGTTTATATAATAATTGCATTTGACACCGTAAACAGACCCCCTTAAGTGAGGGTCTCAGAGGCTAGTCATGACTACCATGTTTTTTTTTTTAGCAAACCAGAGTTAACTTGTTTGGTTTGGATGAGCTTTCACACCACTCCAGAAAAAAACCCAAAAAACAAAAAGCAGACTATGAAAGAAAATGGACCAGAATGCGACATTACAAGCACAATGTAAAAACTCAGTGTCTGGGTGTAGAGACTAAAAAAGAGCAAACTGATTCTGGCAGCTGATTCTCCTCACCTGTCTTTCCCCTTTTTGTTATGGATGGGGTGGAGTCACGTTTCTGATGTAGGACAGCCTCTTAGAGGGACATGAGACCATAGCCTACCTACACACATCCAAAACCAACTTTGATTTACTTATTTTTTTGACACCGACTATACTGACATGGGCAAAATGACGTCGGTTATTGTCGTAAAATTCGGGATCTGTAAATCGCTCAACTTCAAAATGCACTGTTGGGATGCTGCTAGCCAAGCTGTCTAAGTTCACCTCATACATGGACGTCATGCCTCTCCTTGTGTCCTATCCACGACAACAAAGCCAGAAAATCTTGAAGAAGACAGAAAACAGCAGAAGTGTTGGAGATTTTCTTTATGAACGTCTGAAACTTAAAATGAAAACAGATGCAAAGCTCTACTCTGATGATGTGTGCTAAATCTGGTCAGCATTCCTGCACATGCAGCGCCTGCAAATGTAATACCATTTTTGCACACAGGGACAACCTCTTAATAGGAGTGGAGTGTTTGGTTCCTCTCTGGAATTGAACTACTAAGTCTTTTGGAGGATTTAACTCGGCACAAACCATTTAAATGTAAAAATATTCCTCTGCTCTGCTCTGCCTCAAGTTGTACAAAATACACTGGATATAAAAAACCTTATACAAACAAAAAGAGAGAGTAATATTTATTTATGAATGTAAAAGCTCCTTTTAAAAGAGGGTTGGACAGTTATTTAAAACTATTATGTAAGGTTTTATGAAGAGCTAATTGTTACTACTCCCTGAGTACATCTTGTTTCCTAGTTTTAATGCAGAAAGTCTAAATGTAAATGATCCATGACTGTTTTACATAATGATAATAACACTGAAAGGAGAATGATAACTTTCACATTTTGATGATGTGGGAGCCTGAAAATTCACTTATTATCTTACAGAAACAGTTTCGGTGTTACATCGCTTCTGATCCACCCACATGCACAAACACACACATTAAGTAAACACCCAGGATCAACTCCTTTTCTCAGATCCAGCACACACACACACACACACACACACACACACACACACACACACACACACACACACACACACACACACACACACACACACACACACACACACACACTCGAATAATGACTTCCTACTCTTTCTCATTGTGTCATTCCTCGCTTTCTCAACCAATATGTCTCCTCTTCCTCCACATATCTTTCTACCATTCAACCCACTGATCAATACCGCTGACACTAAACCCACATAGGCACATACACACATCTTTCTGTGTTTAGACAGTAATCGAAACCCCTTTCAACGGAGTTACTGGAGCTGAAGTGCAGACAGCAGTCCTGCTTGTGCCTCCACAGATTGACACTGTCGTTATCTGATGTCCAGGCCTCGCAGGGTACGCCGCGAGTTTGGTGTGACTCCTCTGAAATGCGGTTTCACTGTCATCTGTGGTTGCCGCAGCAGCTGCTGGCATTGCAGATGCCATCAGGCTGTAACTTCATTAAAGCTGAGCTCCCTCGCTCAGTGTAAGTGCTTCTTGCTTTCTCTGCATATATGGTGCTCCTGTGTGTGTGCTGGAAATGCACTTTTGGTATTTGAGTGGAAACAATAAGCTGGCAGAAAATCTGTACATGAGAATGCAGCTGGGGGAAGTTTAGAGGTCGCAGGAGGGATATGTGTGTTTTTAGGGACACTAAAATTGAACCATGTGTCCATTAATTAATTGCTTGTTGAAACACATTTTTGTTTGATTTTTCCATCAATGTATTGATTATCTTCCATATACTGAGCTGTCAGCATAGTGCTTAGTTGAAAGCATTTTGCAGCAGGTTATTACACTGAAGCACAGGAAAAAGGCAACATGTTCACAAGTTAAATGATGCAAGACAAGCTGAGTAAACTGGGCCTCACGTCAGAAAGTCACGCCTCTGACTTCTTTACGATTCTGCTTTAATCTATCACACCTAGAGTCTTAGCATGAGGATTACCTTCTACTTTTAGCCTTTTTAAATGACGATAAAATTAAGTTATGGTTTGTGGGCTGTTGTGTTTTTTTTCTTTGGTTTTTGGATGGACCTATCAATGATTCCCCAGGGCTGTGGGCGATGTTAAAGCACCTCTCACACCCTAATTTTGGGGTCTCTTAGGCTGACAAATTTGATGCTGAATTGCTCTCGATATTTCCAGGATTCTTTCTACTTCCTGTAACCACCACTTGCGCAGTAGCATTGTACGCATTCGGCAAGAGAGTCGCTGAGAGTCGCTGTGATGACGCTCAGCTCACACAGCGTTTCCCTCCAGGTGAGCTACGCATTCTTTGTATGCCTATAAGTGTCAATCATAGAAAACCTGACCCTCACATTCTGTGTAATGAATTTCTAAAGTTTGTCCACAGCCCCATAGAAATTGCTGGAGGAGGTGAGATTTATGACCTATACTGCAGCCCATCACCAGAGGGTGCTGTTCTCGCGGTGGCTTCACCCAGCGAGGAGGCAGACAGCGTCCATTCTATATACAGTCTATGGTATTAACCTGCAAAGACAGACCAAAGACTGGTGGTGCCAGCTCTGCCAATGTGCCCACAGACTCTGCGATCCTGTTGTTTGGCCGTGTTAAACACACTAAACTGTGCTCAATTTGGATTATTTTTCTGTGTTTTCATACTTTTAAGTTGGAATTTATTTAAGTTCCTGTTTTACAGAAGAAAAAGTTCAAGCTTTAAAATATTCAAATAATAAAGTGGAGCTCTGAAGAACACTTCAGTCGACTCTTCTGTGCAGCGCTAGCAAAACTCACATCACTTGTGGAGGCTGTTCAGCTTAAAACACTCTAACTTCAAACACCCTGAGAAAAATGTAAAATCTAAGAATAATGAGCATTTTCTTCTCTGTAGTCTAAAATCTCAGATGGTTGAGGAATCTCTTGCTGCCCCACCATCATATAATTCACTTTCATCCATGTGGTTCCAGGCAGTAAATATATTGAACCCTTTTAACTTTAACAGATTTTCCTTCTCTCTTTAGATCTGTCGCCGTGTTACATTTGTCACATTTGCAGAGATATAAATACAAAGGAAGAGTCTTAAATGTCATCACAATTTCGGTGCAAGCTTGTCTTGAGGTGTGAGGCCTGTCGTGTAAATATATGGAATTCAAAGTTCAGACGAATGTTTTAAAGTATGAAAGGAAAATAAATAATTTTTTTTTGCCTCTTCAATTCCTCCTGTTGAAGTTTAGTTGGAGCTGCATGTCTTTGCTTGTATGCATGAATAAATGCACATGTCCTGAATCAAAAGTCTTCTTTCTGCCTGTGGTGCAACACAACAAAACATCAGTCAGCCAATGTCTGTCTGTCTGTCTGTCTGTCTGTCTGTCTGTCTGTCTGTCTGCAGAGTTACTGTGTCAGCCTGAAGGCTCTCCTTCAGGACGATCAAAGTGTGTTTTAGCCAAAGACCCACAAACCCTGGGGACAGGAGAGAGGAAGAGGGAGCCAAAAACTAGGAGAGGGGAGAGGGCATTTGGATAGGGGGTGGAAATGATGGACAGGGACAAAAAGAGAGAAATTTGGGGGCAAAATAAGGAGGTAGGAAGCTTTAAAATGATAAGAAGATGGAGGAGAGGTAAATCCAGTGCACAAAGCATGGGATGCACTGTCCATAGAGAGAAACAGGGTGACTCATATGATTCATGGGTGAAAGGAGCAGAAGTAAGAGTGGCTACTGAGGAATGAAACAGGCAATAAGAAAGAAACAAAGAAAAGAAAGTGAAAAAAAGGAGAAATTCTGAGGAGCATTTGAGGCTAGGGGGTAATTTGCTCCAGGGTTGTTTGAGTCCTAGCCTAAGATGTCTCGGCATGGCGCCCATGCCCGGCCAACCGCCTCTGATGGTATTAAACTGGGTCTTTCAGCGTGTCCGTGCCAGCGCCATGCCCGCCCTGTGCCTTCCAGACAGTGGACACTGCCCTGGGCAAAAAAAAGTCAGGAAAACCCAGGAGAAATGTTCCTACTGCTGTGGCACGAGCCCAGAAAAGCCTGCAGTGGATTAACTCCAGCAGCCTGGCACAGAGACACACACATATAGACACACACACACAAATACACATGCGGGTCTGCTGTGCTGCGACAACTCAGCACATTTGCATTCCATTACTTCTACCTGTGGCCGCCCACTCACACATTCATGACACAACACAGAGGGCTGACAGGTGCTGAGGAAAGTGTCTGGATGCTGACGGGACGAGACAGCTGGGGATGATGGAAATGACTTCATGTCCTGCATGAACAGACTGAAACTGACAGGCGTACAGTGGGGAAGATTCTGAAGTGAGAAAAAAGTGCAACAAGGTGAGACAGCCAGTTTGCACTTCTTTATAAAGATAAGCGAGAACGTACAGGATTTTACAGTCCGATCCAGCCTGTTCGACCTTCCTGTCATCTCGGTGCACATCAGCCCTCGTCTGAGGAAGAGACTCTGACTTTTGACATCTTGGGGAGACGCCACAAGCTTGCATGTCAGCATTTCTTTTTATAACTTAAGATGGAGCTTCTGCATACAGAGCAGACGCACTCGCTGTTCAGACAAGTGGATATCCTAGAGAGAAAAATGCTTTCAAGATAATCCAAATTATGTTTTATTCAAACAGAGCAAACATTTTTTCTCTCCTCTGTTTTTGCGTCCTGCTTGTTTTCCCCTCCTAAAAAAATGCACTTCAGGCCGCTGTTTATGCCACAATACCACTGGGTGCCATGACTCCCACCAACAAACCAAGCCACAGGCCAGCAGGACAAGAGACACAGAGAGCGAGGGCAAGCGAGAGAGGGGAGGAGGAGGAGGGAGCAGCTTTTAACAGGGAGCAGAGCGTAGTAAACAACAGCGATGAATGGCTGCAGACAATGCCCAGCTTTATTTCATATCTTGGTCATATACAGTGAGTGGGATCAGGAGTAACACAACAACATGCTGCTTGTTACTGTACTGAAGCTCTAATGCCCGCTTGCAGAGCTGTGCAGCTCATTATGCTGCAACAACAATGACTTGGCAGCCACTGTTCAGATTTCCACACAGCTTAGGAACTACTGTGCACAGATCTTGCACAAATGTGAGAAAGCAGAAGCAGTAGTTGATTTTTAGGATGTTAATCCCTCAAAGGGTTTTATCTAATTTCAAACATTTGGACCAAATCATGTTCCTGACTCACTCCAAACAAGGACATGGTGACTGTGCGGCTCAGCAAACACTGAGAACACTGTGTCACTCTGCAGCTCTTTACGGCAACAACAAACTACGGCAGCACACTGATGATATCATAACTAGGAGGCCAGATTGTGCAGGTAGGGGTCAAACAATGCTCTGCCCAGCCTCGGAAACCACTGGGAACGTCTCACCTTTCCTGAATCATTAAAAATGCATCCCCTAGGGAGGATCTGGTGGCTCCGAAACAAGCAAACAAAAACACCATTGCATTAATAATGGAGTGACTAAGCTCCACACACGCACAGATGTGCACATACCCGACACCAGAGTTTGGAGTCCCGGTAGCTGTCGAGGATAAGAGAGGATGGAAAAATCCTTCGAGTCATGATGACAGTTTGGTTTTCTGTCTAATTTCTGCTGCCAAAATACACTCCTGGATTATCCTGGTGACATTTTATTCAGGTTTCTGCGTCACAGGTGCTACATTTTCTGCAAGTTTACTTGTAAGTCAAGAGTTGAGAGCGACTTTGCCTGAGCTCAGCCTGTGTTTCTTCTGCTTGGACCAAAAATGTCAGATGTTAAATATCTGCTGCAGAAAAAAAGTCTTTGAACTGTCTCCCAACAAGCCCTCTACTCTACCATTATACCCAGCAGCCACAGATTGCATAATTAGCAAGTTGACAGCCGGTTTCTTTCAGCTCTCAGAGGGAAACCACTAAAATTTAGGGCAGAGTAATTCAGTGCTAAGAGATACACAGAGGCTAATGCTAATATTATGGAAAAGTGCCCTTTAGCAGCACTTCCTCTATGTTATGAGCTGTGTCTCATTATGTCTGCATTTGTCTGAGCTGAAAAGACATCCTCTGCCACACTAGACTATCATTAAAGGAGGCTAAGCTGCAGCAATGCTCTAAAGACCTAAATTCTATCTACAGACGACATTGCCAAAATCCATGTCAGTATCGGCTCCAAAATTTAAGGCAATGCAGTTTAACATACATCATCATCCAGGAGGACAGGCGGCCCTAAAGTAGAGCAATCCTGTCTGACAGAAACACGGTCAGGAAGAAAGCAAAGTTCCTGGCTGGAGGCCATCTCATTTGAGTCTGTGGGGTGACACTCCAGATAAGGAGGATGATGTTTACTGTTAATTCACAAGCAGATGTACGGCTGTGTTGGATTTGAACAGCAGGGGGGACAGGCCAGAAGTCACATCCTGACAAAAGGCTCAGAGTCTCTGCTGTCATGCGTGCTGTAAATGAGCTCCCAACTGTTGGAGAGAAATAAGCGTCTCTTAACGCCTGAGCAGAAGCACTTGGAGGCTGCCAGTTGGCACTTTCACTGGTTTTCACTATTTCCTCTTTAAGCATCAGCAACTTTGTCTCTATGTTCTTTCATGCTCCACTACAGAACAAGATAGGTCCCTGAATTGGTCTGAAGTATTGTTGCCTGAAATATAAAGATGGATGCAGCAAAAGGACCAAGATGTGTGTTTGGATGTAAATGCTAAATCAACAACTTCTGATGCAACAAAATCTGATGCAAAATCTAAATCAAAAGAGTATTTTATTTTGTAACTCTGAAGGAGACTGGAGCCGTGCACACTGGTCAGATCACTACCCTTCATTATTCTTCATTATGCTCCCACCAACCACTTCCCAAACTCATCCCCATGTTTCAGATTTTCTCCGGCCAACTTTAGGCAGGCTTTGATGTGCCGCTGTGAGAGCAATGGAGGTTTTCCTTGGACGATGACCATTAAGTGCACCATGATGAAGGGCCCTTATAATAGTCTTCCATTAAATATCAAGTCCAGAAGAAGCCAGTTCAGCAGCAATCATCTCTGCAGAGATCTGGGGATTCTTGATGACATCGCTGAGAATCTTTCTCTCCAAAGTTTTGAAGAAAAAAATAGACTGGACCTCAGACAGTAGATAGTGGAGTCTTTGCCTTTCAGCATGATGATTTCACTTCTTTCGGAGCAACTCCAGAGTAGTCCCTTCCGGTCAGTTGGTCAGGTGACGCTAACCTTGCCTCTTGGAGTCACTTACAAAGGATAAATGGCTGATCAATTGCTCAGGTGTGGTTTGAAACCTCCTTGATGTGTTTTGAAAGCACAAAATCACACGCAGGCTGATCATTTTGACCATCTCATTGTTTACCATATATTTCATTAAGAAAACTTGAGTATTTATTTTACATTCCTAAGTGAACTAAAATTATGGAACCAAATCGTAGATAAATGATGACCTATAAAATTTTATGAACCTTGCAAACCTTGGGCAGTATTTTAAGGAAATAACAATAATTTTGATCTGAACTGAAGAACATCCTGCACTCATTGAATAGACACAAGACATCCAGACTGATATACCATTGTACGTGGTAATTATGCACCTTTATCTGGTTGTTTTTAGTCTCTTTGTGGTAATTTTGTCACATCAACTTAAACTCCCTAACTTCTGCACGAGCCACCTATTCAGACATCCATCCACACTGACAGACAAACTACCCATCAGCTGTCAACCATCTACCTTTTTACAGAGGTGAGGACATAAAAGGTGGCAAAGTGATGCTGCTCTGATCTGCTCCAGGTCACTAATCAAAGAAGAGAAATGTCCTCGACCATCCATCCTCAGTCACCAGTGAAAACTTGGATTAGGGGACCATGTTCAAAATGTCAAAGTCTTTGAGCTACAAAACACTGCTATGGAGAAGAGGAGTGATGAACATCTATCATATTGATCATCGCTCTGAGCTTAAATTTATGCGAGTCATTCAACCAGCAGTGCAGCAGAAGCAGAGTCTAATGGACTAAACGCCAGTCTCCCTGACCCCCTTAGACCGGGCACACGCTGTCACAGGCCTGATTGCAGACCCACTTCAGCGGCCTTTCAACCTGCTCTCCACTCATCACATCTGCTTAATTTCATTAAGATATCACTGTGTCTTCAACAGGGAAAATGTAGTTCCTCTACATAAAAAGTATCATTAAAAAGATGATAAAGATGCTGTACACGTAGAGAGGAAGAGAGGAAAACAAGAGGAGACGGGCACAGCAGACTGCCTGCAGAGGGGGAAGACTTTTTCTGTCAAACTCACGGGGAGCTGCTCAACACAGAGAGGAAAACAAAAACACTGCAAGGAGAAGATTCCTCAACAAGTGCAGGAGGATAAAAGCTTTCGGGTTTTCTTAGTGATCAAGGCAGAATTTTGAAGCCCTGAAGGATCCACAAAGGGGAACTGAATGCTGGCAGGGAGGTGCGTGACGCCTCGGGATCAAACATCTGTTCCTAGTGTCGTATCAGCTGCACAAAACGTACTTTGACAACCAAACATCAAAAGTGCAACAGAAGATTGGATCCACTTTGATTCTAGAAACAGTACTGCTGTCTGAAATACCAGACTAGAAGTACTAATGTCAAGGATGAAACCGGTTGCTTGAATGAACATGAGATCTGATTCTCTTCTGTAGGTCAGTGCCTTCGGGAGGGCAGGCTTGCCTCCGCCTCGTGTGGCTCAGAGCAGTCACTTCTCACTGGGTCAGTCAGGATGTTACAACTGAGGGAAGGGATGTGGAAGTAATTTCTAATAGAGGAGAAAACCTGAATGTATTTGAGAAATGCAGAGAGATTATAGGCATGGAATATGGTATGACTCCAACATACAATCAACTTAAAGTTACTCATAAATTAAAAATAATGTGTAACCAACTCTGTGGTCATGTAATAGTTTTGTAGTTCACATGTGTGTCTGGAAAAAATTGATTGTGTTGAGTGACTGAATATTTGCTGGTTAATAGCCATGCTCCTGTTAAGCCCTCATATTTAGGTTGTGAAGCTGAGCCAGTAGCCTACTTTCCAAGACCACAACAGCCAATCAGAGGAAAGTAAAAACAAAGATTCGAGTCATCAGACTAATCTTTAGCTCACTGATGTTGACAAAAAAGGCAGGCCTACACTATTTACATTAGCCCCTTTCACACATTAATTCCTAATTTATGGAAATTTACAGGACTTTCACAACCTGATATTGTCAGAGATTTAGCTTTCACATGTGAGCTGGTTAGTGTGAGAGGAGGAGGAAGAGGAGGGACAGTGTTTATGTCTATTTCACCACATAATTTATGAAGATGTTGACACAACTCGAAATCAAAAGCTGAAAATAACACAGTGACAAATGAGGTGAGCAGAGAGAGGAGAGGGAATCACTCCACACATAAAAATATCCATGTCCCACTAAAACACGGCTGCAGAGATTTTACCAGTTTACACTGATTTCCTAAATACATTTACTATGAAGCTACCAATAAACAAGACTGGACAAAGAAGGGGTGAAAATTCGGCAGTTTGTGTTTACACATGGAGCAACACAAGGGAATTTCTGCAAGTGTGGTGCATGTGTGAAAAGGGGGTATTAAGACTTCACAGCTTTTTAGTTTTAGATCTAGAGGCTGATTTTTTCTTACATCTGCTTCCACGAACAGTATATCAGGAGACTGATGGAGACTGAGAGAACTAGTCCACTGATCCTTTTGGTGTATTCAACAATCTTAACTATATTCTTTAAAAATTTAGTGTGTGGTGGTTTGAGTTCAGAGAGGAGAATATTTATGAAGTCAGTCTTTAAATCCTTAGTCTCCAAAAGACAATAATTTGCTATATGGTGTTAGCATGGATAAACACTAGATTTATGATCCCAGTGTTTGGGGATGTCAACAAAAAGCATCTTTCAGCAACTGGATCTGACTTCTCAAAAATAAGTCCATGTGCATGTTCACAAAATGTTGCCATAAGCTGCATTCATCTCCTCCATGTGGTTGCCAAGATGATTTCTAAATTAAATAAGCTTTCAAAGCTGGGATGTTGAAATTATTTATCCGCTTTACAAGGCAGGACTAAGAAATATTACATGAAGGGGAGGGAACGTCAGGCATTAGATTATAAAACTGCATTTTTTTCGAGGTCTTCTCTGCCTTCTCCGCCCACAGGGGTCAAGCTGGACTCGTGCAGGGCTGAGAGCTGAGAAAATAGCTTTGTCCCTTTCACTATATGAACGAACAAAAGACAGAAGCCTGTTTGTTCCTCGTGTGCTGAGAGGAGGGGGGTGTATGATGGAGAAGTGGGAGGGGTGCATGTCTAATTATGCTTGTGCTTGTGTGAAAAGGGGAGGGGGGTTCTTTTGAATATTCCATATGATGAGCGAGCGACGGTTTCATTCAAACAAAAAAAACGGGCCTTGAGACAACAGAGGAACATATCCAAAGACTGTGTACCTGAGGGACAACAAGCTTTTTGGCACTTACTTTCACTCTTAACAAAAATTACATTTGCTAAATTCATGTCAAGAGAGCCTTCTTTTAATTTCATGCAAGATCAAATGCTTGTAAAAATACACACTTCGACAGCCAGTGTTTTTTCATGCACGTGTGGTGAGTCCTAAGAGGGATAAAAAGAGAAAGAAGCTAATTGCGGAGACAGTGCCGGGTAATTAGTGAGCCAACATCACGTTTTCTCCTCAGAATAACTGGGCTAATTGTTCTGGTTCATTACAGCATGCTAATAAGATTGTCCCTCAACCTGTAGATTGTTTGTGTTAGCTTAAACCCTCTCAAACACAATCCTCGAATGACCAATAAACACCGTGCTGCTCTTACAGGTTACATAAAAAGACGTGCACACAACTCTTCCAGGCAAACAGGCTGCAAACCTCAAAAAAATGAAACAACATATGATTCAAAAAAGGGAGAAAAAAAGAGAAAATTGTTTACTATGACCGTTAATCTCACTGATTTGGATAAAGACGGACAAAAATTTCTCATAATCTTCCAAATCCATCGTCTAAATTCCACAAACAACACTGGCAGCATTGTTTCCAGCACAGCAGTGTAAACAAAGTATGAATACTTGAAAGAGGATGATGTAACAAATACTACAGTATTGCGATTTAAGTGGATTTGAGAAACAAGGAATTGCTTCCTAACAGGAAATTAACATTATGGCTTCAATTTTATGAAAACAATGATGATATTCTGTGAGTTCAGAGGCATATTTACGTCCCATTTAACCACAGTAAACTTTTATGACATCAATAAATAAGACACATAATCTTTGACAGCTTAGAATAACAGACAGATCAAGCTTATATATTAAACACACAAACTAACACACTCAACACACTCGAAGTCTACGATATTCTCTCTACATATAAAGTCAATTTCATGTTGGTTTTGTCGTTAAAAAGGGTAAATTTCCTTTCACATAGCTCATAAATGGCCTCTTCCTTTACAAGCCTTAAGAGAAAAAATCAGTATCTTGTGTGAAAACTGTGTGGGTGCAGATTCAGAACCAGCATGACTAACACATGCACAGATGTTCTGCTTATGAACACGTCAATGTCCCAGAGGGCCATGTTTTGACCCTCAGAGAGCTCTGCTGCTTAAAGAGGCACCAACCCTTCGAAATCAGAGAGCAACAGCCACAATATACCACACTACGCTGTTTTTTTGTTTTGACCATATAGCGATTCAAATCAAAATAGCTATTAGGCTTTAAAAGTCTTACAAGTCTTCCAAAGATCATTTCATCATGGTTGTAAAAATGAAAGTGAAAACTAAAAAAGCTAACCGCAACTTTCAGTTCAAAAATAAAGCTCTGAATATGATATCAGCTCTCTGTTGTTTTAACCTACTTCTGATAAGAGCAGCACAAGAGCTTTTATGTTGGATTTTGTTCAGTGAGTTTACACACAGGTTTGCTCGGCATTCAACTTACTGTGATGGGAGATGTGCTAAAGCGGATCTTCCTCTTTGGCGGGATGTCCTCTTGTTTTTCCTCTGGTAAACCTGGGATCTCTGTCAGGTCAGAGCCGGGGTCGTAGACTATATCCTCATCATCTCCGTAGAGGTCGTCCTCAGCATCGGTGCAGCTTTCCCCCCAGCCCTGGTAACACGCATCTCCGTCTGCGTTAAAAATCACTCGCTCGTTCCCGGCGTATTCCTCGTCTGGTTCCTCGACTTCATCCTTGGGAGACTCAGATGACTTGTCTTCTCTGGAACCGTCCTCCTGGCTCACCCTGTCTGGTGTAGCTGGGGTTGGCAGTGGCTCAGGGGTTGCATCTTCAAAAGATTTATTGGTAATCGCAGCATTATCTGAGGGTTTTGAAGGTTTGGTTAGCCCTTGATCCCCAGTAGGTTTACTAGTTTCTGATGGTTTCTCGTCTTCTTCACATGAACCATTCACCTGGCTTCCATTGACATGGTGTTTATCCTGGCTTGCAGTCTCAACCTTGTTTGTTTTGTCTTGGGTTTTGTCCTCTTTTGATGCTTTGAGCTCAGACGTCTCCCTGCCTGGACTGGGGCACAGAAGGTCTTCAGCTGAAGAGGACGTTGGAAACTTTCCCCCTACTCTTGTCCGATAGCCACGAACCGGAGACTGCCGTGAGTCATCCTCACTAACGTCGCCTCCATGCCGATGGAAACCATCCGGTGAGTAAAGAGCCCGTCTGCTGACCCCTCTATAGTGAGGACCCTGGTTGTGTTGGTCGGCATTTTCAAAAACAGCACTCAGCTGACTAACAGTTGGCGAGGACGCCTCTGTTCTGGAGCAAAGCGAGTCCAAGGAGTCTGTACTACCTCGATTAGACCTTGCACCCCGCCAGTCATCCAGGTGCTCATGGGAACCGCGTTTATCTCGCCCTAATGGAAAGACCGGCGATTGGGACTGGTCTCGTGAGTGCTGCTCAAACAGCTTCCTGGTCTCAGAGAACTTTGCTCCGGCGCCTGCCACCCTGTCAGATGATGAGGAGTGCTGGAGTTTGATCACCGACCCGTCAGCCTTGTTTACGAAGTTGGTAGGCTTGACAAGTTTCTGTGGCGAGGAATCATCACAAACTTTCGTCTTGGGTGCCGCGTTCTCCGAGCCCATCTGCATAAACATGTCCTTAATGCGGCTGACGTGGCTGCCATACTGGCGGCCCCTCGGTTGCTTGACCCTCTCCAGATCTTTGGGCTTGGAGTCTCCATCGATCCGAGGCTGATCAAAGGCCTTCTTGAGGGCCTGAAACTCGGCCCGGTAGGCATTGCGGTGGGGGGAGGCACTTCGCAGGCAGGTCCTCTCCCCCGAGGCCTCCGTCTTCAGCATGATGTGGTCTTTGGATTCAGAGGGGATGTCAGCATCGCCGTGGCCTCATTAGAAAGTGGGAGCTAAAAATCTAGTTTGACCTACCGCAGCGCTGCCTAATCTGATCCAGCTGATGATAAAGCTCCTGTAGGCTCGTTCACACCTGCAGAGATCAGAAGAGATGCTATGAGAAGACAAAATCATTCTGTAATGCGGATTTGTCAGATGCAAACATGCAGACCAAAAAATATCATACCTCTGTGCTACAAAAGCAGGTGAGTATGGATTATATTGGCCTTCAGCAACAAACATAAACAGAATCATTGAAGCCAAATACTGACAGATGGAAAGATCTTGCTAAAAATGGGACCAGTTTTGAAAGCCTGTTTGACTCCCAAAGCACTCTGATGATGTTGCCTTTTCAGCACTGCTGTACTGTTTTACCCTCTCCAATCAATACTCACTGTGGACATCAGCGTATTTGAGCTCTGTCTGTTTAACTAACTGTGCTAGACTGTAAGGATTATTGTTGTTTTTGTTCCCCCTGTCTTCTTGCCGTTCCCTCTCCCACTCCCTCTGTTTACTATGTTAGCCTCGTACACTGCCACATCCTGCAGCTCTCAAAACCATCAATGACATTATGGAGGTAAATGCCAGCCTTCAGACGAAGCATATCGTGGTGGTTACAACCTTTACAGCACAGAGAAAATGTGATTGAATGCTGAAAATTGACTTGTGTGCAGCTCAGGGGCAAAAATTCAAAGCGTTTCCTCAGCTGGAAGATTTCTTTCTCTTTTATTACAATTTCACTGAGTTAGAGCAGGGAAGTAGTTAAATAATCCACACAGCTGAGCTATGAATGTTTTATCCTGTTTGCAAATGCATTGCATAAAAAGAAGGATGAAGTGCAACACAATAAAGCTGATATGAAAACAACAATCATCTGGGACACACAGAATCCATTAGTCTAAGTTGTGCTGAAGCCCACAGCCTGGATGGTAGCCTATGGATGCAGCAGTAGCAGCAGTGGCTGAAACCTACATGTCCTGCTTCAGTATTCATTATTCACCACGCTGGACACTTGCCGGTCCATAATAACACCAAAGAGAGATCCTTGTGCAAATATTTATTCATTTAAGCTTGAGGAACACCCTTTACTGGATATTACACAAAAGAATAAAGTTAAAGGTTAAAAATGAAATTGAGGATTTAACATTGTGTCAGTGGGGTGAGACAGACAGGCACAGAGCCGCACATCAGCCTCACCGAACACAACATGACAGCTCAGGTTTCCCCTTTTCTGACACTAATACACATGCTTTCATTTACGCCTTACCTCTAATGCGGATTCACAAAGAGGCTTGAATTTAAAGCATCGATTTCCTCTGTGAAGTTAACAGTCAATCACAAACCACAGCGATGTTGCCCCAATGTAACAAAAACAAAAGACTTACATTCATGGCTCCGGCTTGGTTTGACGCGTGAGACAAATAAACAGTAATCCAGAGGGCGAACTCATTGGAAATATGGATGCTCTCGATGCAAAACCTTTCAAAAACAATGCTTATCTCTCCCACGCTCGTGAATAGTCCGGGACCAGGTCGCCACTACAGAAAGGCTTGGACACACTGGAGCCGCTACAACGCCATTGCAGGCAGTGGGTGATGCTGCCAGTCGCACTGTAGGGGTGTCGGTGCGGTTTGGCAGCTCATGTCACCGAGAGCTGCACTGTGGCAGCGTTAGCAGGAAGGCACACTCACATAAGCTGCTGCAGTAAAGCCAAGGGAATGTGCTACACTGGGATGATAGCCGCTGGTTTGCAAATGTAAAGCCTCATGTGACAGGTGCTAAAACCTGAAATGCTGCAATGGTTTGGTCCGATAATCTGCGGGGCGGAGGGGGTTCCAGTGAGCTGCAGTCTGGCATAAATACCAGCACACAGCCACTGTAACTTTACTGGATGCTTATTGTTCATCAATGGGGTTTTGGGTGGGGTGGAAAGGGTCAAGGACCACGGTGGGTATGAAATGGGTGTTTGGATTAGGGTGTCTGAGAGTGTGGTGGAAGGACCACCAGGGGGCCTCAATTCAAGTTTGATATTGCAAATTATCCTTACAAAAAATGATCAAATAGCCATGACGCTTGTCCTGGTGGTGATTAATTCACTATGAAACTGCTAAAAGGAGACTTAATATATAAAAACATAATGAAGAGGGACCCCTGAATCCTAAATATTGATGCTGAACCGGGCAAGACTTAACACGGTGTGCGACTTTCTGCATATTCTTTTAAAGATCATGAAGGGACTAATACACTAATGCACTGGCTTTGTCAAATACAGAATGTGATTATTTTAATAACCAATAGATTTTATTGCGCTCCTATAAATTAGTGGTTAAAATAGACAGCCTACTCATTTTACTAAGCACTAATTCCAAGTCATGAGTTGCATTTTAATGAGGTTTTATCATGATAAGTTGGAAGATGAAGAGAGATTTAGCAATTTAAAGCCTGCATGCTCTGCTTAAATTTGATGTGAATATTAATGATTTGACTTCATTTGTTGCTCTCTCAGATCTCTTGATGTAAATCTCATTTGTATACGCATGCAGTCATTAAATCTGCAAATAATTATATGTTTTATACATCGTTATGTAACCATTTTATTCAATTATGAACTCACTTTTTAGTAGATACAGGTTTTAAATGGATTTCTTTACATTAAGTTATCTACTTTTGCAGTTATTTCTGCAGTGTCTTTAATAGAAGGTACGGTAAATTATTTCAAAGTGTGTTTTATCTGTGAAGTTTCATATATTTTAATCCCCTTTGCGCACCACATGGTTATTGATGCAAGTTATAAACGTTACATCAATAACCATCTTGGTTGAAGAGAGATTTTGCATCTTGCCTGACTGCACAAGTCAGCACATTCAGGACAATTACGGTGTGAATTAAAACTCAGTGTAGTGCTGAAAAAAATTTGGACCCAAATCTCCACAAATTTAGGGTCCTCGGTCTACTCTTGCAGCCCCTTTCTATGTAGGATAATTTGTTTTCTCAGTCTTTGTTACATGCATCACCTAGCTACATATAGTTTACAGTGACTGTTGATGCATTCATACGTCCAAACACTTGCAATGTGAAGATGTTGCTAAGCAACCTAAAAATAATCTTCAGGGGATGAAAGGGAGGGTGAAAGAACAGAACAGCCTCGCACTGCAGAGCACATATAATGGATGGCATCGTGTCTATCAGCAGAGAGGAAACCATGCATCCAGTTTCAAGCATGAATTTATCAAACAAGACCCATGCAGCGAGCTCTGTCAGCATGTGAAGCAGAATTAGGATGCCTTTCTGCATGATCAGAGTGCTCTTTTCAGTGGTGGGTGACTTCAAGGGAGCATGTGGGGGGAATTAAGGGTCCCAGAGCCCTTTAGCAGGCCTGACTTGGAGCCAAGGGGGCCAAAACATGACCATCTGTCTGCTAGGAGTGACTCTGCAGGGGGTGTGGACAGATTGAAGCAGACTCCTCAAACATGTCAGTGCCCTCTAACAGCTGGGCAGAGGAGGTCAGGACTTAGTGAGGTGATGTTTGTGTAGATTAGCTGCGAGTCTGTATGAACTTAAGTCTGCATCTGCCTGGAGTAAATATATAAAGATGATAAAATGACATATGCATGCTTGCCCCCATAGATACACACAGCAGCTCCTTCTCCTGCAGAAAATTACAATCTCTATCTGACTGTTATAACCAACCAACCATGCGCACCAAGGCGTGGTGCTCTTGATCCTCATTTACATCTCGCTTTTTTAGCAAGTTTCAATTTTACGAGACGACCATCTTTTTCCATCCAGATGTGCAGCCAATGAGCAGCCTCCTTCCTCCAGCGAGGGAAGGAGGCGGAGGAAGGAATGCTGCAGGATGCTTATTATCATGGCTGTCAAACCCGGTGGCGATTAGATTAAACCTGCTTTTTCATGTCAGATTTAAGAAGATGAGAAGCACCATGTCCGCAGCAGGTGTCGCGGTGTGGCTCGGCACAGGTACGTGCCGATTAAACTCGGGGATATGGGGGATATTCATGCTTTTTGTCCTCGATGTAGCGTCCATGTTTGTTAGCTCGCTAGTTAGCTTAGCTGCTGCGCTCATATTTTCCAGGAGGCTGAGGGGGGACATGGAAAAACTGGCTAACTATAGACAGCGATACCGTTAGACGGGCTGACAGCCTTAAAATTTAACATTGAAGGGATATCTTTTGTGAAATAACCTTAAAAAGGACAGTATTATCATCAATATCGTACCTTATTCTGCTAGTTTTGCTTTTATTGCCGTTGGTAAGCAGCGTTTGTGCCCTCGCGCAGGCCTGTTTACCTGTGGTCCAGGTGTTTTATGGATGCCCAATTAAAAAGCTAAAACCTCATAAATGATATATGTAGTTGCTCTAGATGGATTCAGAGCTTTGTTAAATGAGGTAGGCAAAGGGACAGCATACGTATTATTCCAGCTGTGTATCACAGGTGCACACATCCCTCATCAGTGAAAATATGTATTCATTATTTACAGTTTAAAACAGTAATTAAGGTCCAACTAAGGCAGTCTAATGCTAACCCATGGTAGTAGCATTGTTTGGTAAAATTGAGGTGCAGATTTAAGTTAAAATTCAGATTTTTATGTTTATGAAGTCAGAGCAGGTAAATAATAAATCAGTATTTGAGTTATTTACCCTTCACCTGCAACAGACTTTCATTCAGGCTTATTCAACTTCTTTTTTTTTACGCAGAAAGGCTGTGACATTTTTTTTTATTGTGCTCTTTAAAAGTTTCTCTGCTTTTACAGTGTGTATATACAGGTTTAAAATAATGCATAAAAAGAAACATCAGTTTACCATCAAATAAAAAAAAAATCTATTTTTATGTCATTATGGTGTATGAAGTTTGCTTTTTCTAGGTCTCAACAATGCCACATACTTTCAATTGAAGCTTAAAAAATCAGCTGCAAAACTTTATAAAAAATGTGTTCTTTGTGGTTCTTGTGTTAGATTTACATTTATTTATGCCTAGTGCTCAATTAACATTCAAAGTGTATCGATCTGAGGCTCTAAAGACACAAATGTTCCATTCATGCTCTCATTCATTGATCCAGTAGTTTACATTGTGCATGCCTATGATGCCAAAGACACAACTTTGCATGAGAGAAATGTCCGTATGGGGAGATCCATGAGCTTGAAGCAGAGAACAGCCCTGCACAGAGATGGTGAGTGGGTGTGTGCAGTGGTGCACTTCACTGTTGACCCGTTGTCCCCTCCCCCCATCATAACACAGTGACACGCTCAACTGGTTCCCCATTAATACTGGCATTATTGTCTTCAGTTATTCGCTGTCCCACTTGGACTTACAATACTTTTGTTGTCGCAGCAGTTTGCTGGATTTAAACTTTGTCTGAACTTCCTCCACAATCATAATCCATAAAACAATAGCCTGTTTCTTCTTTTCAACATGATACTGATCATTTAAAACAATCCTTTATAGAAATGATTGATTTACATACCTTTATAACGCGCTAGAAGACTCAACTGTGTATGTCATGTCCACTCTCCTCTTCAGTCTTCGCCTTCTGCCTCTTGTGACACAAACTACTTTCACTTCCAGGTCTGTGTTTAGAACTACAAGCCTCAAATGCATCACAGCCTCGCTCCAAACAGTAGCGATCCTTGTTGTCTGCATTTCCCCTCAAACACCAAAAAAGGCACATGCGTTCCTCCTGACCCCCGGACGCCGACATGCACACATAACGCTGATTCAACAAAACAGAAGAACATCCCTTTTTGAGCTTTGCCTGAGCTGTCTAATGGCCATGGTTCGTAGGGACGGTGTTGGTTTAACTCTGAGGCATCATTCCTGAGATTTCAGCCAATGCAAGGGCAGCCCAGGGGGGCACATAATCTGGTTAGCCATTTCTGTAACCTTCAAGGCCTGTTAGTGATCAGCTCTTAGAAAAAAACATGAGCAAGACTGTCAGTAGAGTCAAATTCCTGCAATATGTTTCATACTTTTTAACAATTTTTTTTTCATTTTTACTCGTTTAACCAGCAAGATCAAGCTTGTTTTGTGTGTTAGCAGGTATTCTTTTAACCAGAGCATGAGCAGGTTCAGTATTAACCAGTAATTGGTGATGTATTATGTGCAAGTCCATCATCTCAAGAAGGCTTGGCAGGAACTCAGCCTCCTGCAAATAAGCTGATCTGATGCAGCTTAGCTAGTGATCTTAACTCAGACTTTTAGAGGCTGCAGTCAAAGGTGAGGCAGCAGGAACCTGTGAAGCTGACAGAGGGCTGCTGAGAGTGCTGGTTAGGCTTGACTGTTTGTTGTTGCATGGAGGCTTAAATGTTGAGAGGCTGGAGCCCGTTTCAAATCCCACAGGTCATTTTCTATTCCTCAAACGATTAAGTGAGAGCGAGCCATCTGTGCTCTCCTGCCTGTCTCATCTGGGGACGTGTCACAAGTGTTCACAACGCGTCCGGGAGGGTCTCTGAGCGGAGGAGAATAGCCGGTGTTTGACCTTGACCGGGAGCCTTTGACTGTGTGGTCCTTTTGTGCGGTGAAGAATTGATGAGGCCCAATGGGTCCTGGTAATAGAATCCGAGCGTGTGCATTCAGAGGGGGATTTACAGATCGACTGATGCCATCGTTAGACCCTGTATCAAGATTTATTTTTAGTGTCTGGACGACCTGGATGTCTAGGGGTGCAGTGGGTCAGTCATGCTCAGGTGGACTCCTTTATCCGTTCTGGGACAGGACACACCATCTAGTCTAGAAGTCACCCCACATTTAAAGCCTAATAAACACTATTGATTCTACCTAGCTATGAGCCCTTAGGACACACGACATATGGCTGGCTCAGCACCTGTTTTGAGACACAGATGTTGCTCAGTTTAAGACACAGAGGGGACTGGTTTATAACTTTACACTTCTAGTGACACATGATCACACTCACTCAGATTGCAGTTAGGTAGTTTGGTCTTGTAGATATGGCCCTCTTTAATAATCTGCGGCTTACTGTGTCACCTAATCTTCCCTAACCCCTTTGTGCACCCTGGTAATAGATAATGCTTAACAACTGAAGATCACATACTGACTTCCTTTTTCATGACCAGGGATTAAAATGTAAATCCTGCTCTATTACTCTCTTCAGCAGGGACTCTCCTTGGAAATCAGTGTCTGCTCCAGGAAAGGGCTTTCAGTGTGGAACAGGAGCTGAAGCCCACTTTGTTATAGCCCCCTAAAAGAGAAAAACAGCAGAGTCGAGAAAATGATCAAATGCGTACTCCTCATATGGTATGACTCTCTAAGCCTGTTAAAGGTCTAAAAAGTAGGGCTGTAAAGTCCTAGTCGACTGGTCGACTTATTGGTCGATACTGCTGAGTCAACCTAAATTCTGATCGGTCGATTTGATTGTTTTCCACGTCCATTTACAGTCTATGGCTGTGTCCGAAATGGATCCCTAACCCCTATATAGGCGACTATACGGGGGTTAGCGCCATTTTGAGGGGTGTCCAAAACCTGAGTCATCAATTCCAATGCCCCATATAGGCGACCCAAAATTTCCCATAGAGCATTGCAAAATGTAGTGACCATCCGATGGTCACTCACTGGTGGTGGGCATCCTGTCATGCATTGCGTCTTGCCATGTAGTGTCCAAAACCTCCATAGTCAGCTATGTAGTGAAATTCCATATGGGGGTTAGGGATTGAGTGATTCATTTCAGACACAGCCTATGTTAATTTCTTCAGAAGGAACGTACCAAATGCTAAAGGGGCGTTTTCAGAAAACCCCCTAACAGGTAACAGCCTGTCTCAGAACACCCCCCTTGTTTTCACCATTTTGGATTTGTCCAACCCACTGGAGACCAGATGGAGACAGGAAGATTGAAGAGCATCAACGCTAATCGACGAGTGGTGGCTCGCTGTATATGTTTATTTTACCCTTTAGTGTTTAATTGCGTTCTTGTGCCGATATCAGTATATTTTCATCTCACAGAGCCACGCTCCGTGGAGCCGCATCATCCCCCACTGCACAAGGGTTTGCCATCACAGTCTGAACCCCCCTCCCTTCCCGATTAGTCGATTTTTGGTCGAATTTCAGGGTTTTAGTCGACTAAGAATTTCTTTGGTTGATTGCAGCACTACTAAAAAGAGGCCCTGCTAGCTGTGTCTTGGCTCCCTTTTTATGCATTTTCAGCCTCATTATCGCTGAAATTCAACCATTAAATTCCTTATTTTCTTAATTGTATTCTGTCACTCAGTATCCAACCTTCCATCCTACACCGAAACAAGCAAACTAAAACTTCAGCTTCTAAATGTCAGTTATTGGTCTTATGAACTAAGAATAATCAGTATCAGTCCGCCCCCGTTAAAAATAAAGACCAAAGTACAACCTCAGTCCCAAACACACTGGAGCATTGTGTCCAGTTTTTCAACAACATAATTTGGTTGAAAATTCTGCAAAGACAACATAAGAAATGTTAGAATCATCATTTTTAGATTTGATGCCAACAATGAAGATGGGCACAGCTTTACAGCTACTATTGTAGTGAACATGCTGTTATCATAATCTGATTATTTAAGGGACTTTGCGTGACTGTAACCTTTTCTAAATAAGTGAAAAAGTAAAGTCAGGATCCCTGCTGTGCTCCAAATTATCTCACAGGGTTGTAATATTCACGTATGGAATGACTGATGTAGAACATGTTAAATTGATGCCTATTTTAAGACAAAAGTGTGGATAAATGATGGTGGAAAATGAAATCAGTGACATTTTGCTAGCTTGGGGCACAAACAGCATTTTCATGCTATCTTGTTGGAGTGCAATGTGACTGAAGTTTCATTTCTTCAGGCCAGAACAGTCCGAACCCTATCCTCTTATGCATTGTGGCAACGAACTCCTGCCTCTCCCTGTTTTTCTTCTTCCACCCCCTCCTCCTCCACCTCCCCCTTCTCCTCTTCCTTGTGCTCTCAGTCTCCCATGGTGATTAAAAATTGAATGCCCACCCACTCAGAGAAGAAAGAAAGAGAGGAAATAAGGAGTTGGGGAGACAGCTGAGAAAGAAACCCTGTCCCAAGAAGGCAAGAGTGCAAAAGAGAGAAAGAGGGGCAGAGCTGAGCATTCACCTCTGCTCTGAGAGTGTGCAGAGTTTTGGAGAGGGACTGCCATTTTACCCAGAATGCCCTTTATGAATACCAACCAAATGGTTGTGTTTAAAATGGAGTGCTGCTCACAGACTGGACGCCAGATTTGAAAACAGCTTGATCTTATTTCCTTTGCTCCCAGAGTCCTACAAGGTCCAGGTCTGTAGATAACAATTGCGATTTTTGCCGGCGTGCTTTGCAGCCGCTGCTCTGTATCCTTGGGTAAACCAAATGCAACCGCCTTTGTGAGAACACGGACACCATGCAAGAATCGTAGACACATTTATCACAGCAAAAGCATCGATCCTCAGTGTGTGAAGAAGGTTAAAAGGCGCCAGTAACCCAAGTGTGTGTGTGCTTTATTTGTTTTCACCTCAATTAACACCTTAGCTGTTTTTCTAATCAGTGCTTTAGGCGGGTCATCATGATGATGATGAATCAAACACTTAGAACAAAAGGAAAAGTCGACTTCTACTCCCAGGAACTTACTTCTGTTATGTTTGGTGTTTGTGTTTCAGTGGTGACCATCTTGTCCAGGTCTCATGCAGACCGTAACGTGTACCCGTCTGCAGGAGTGCTGTTTGTGCATGTTCTGGAGAGAGAGTACTTCAAAGGAGAGTTTCCCCCCTACCCAAAGTCAGGTATGACACCATCACAGTCACATTTCACTTCATTATTTCTCTTCCTGTTGAAATTTGGATCTTATAAAAGGAAGTTTTTGGTGCAGCCATTTCTCAAATGCAGCAGAGCGCTGTCTATTCATCATGTGTCTCTTGTAAAAATGCTTAGCTGCTGCTGGCAACACGTCCACAAATCAGCTAATGGCTCTAAATGTTCATTGCTGGATTGGTTTTGGCATGAATGGGATCATTAAGCGGCTCTGCCCACAGGTGATGCCAGCAACGATCCGATTACTTTCAACACCAACCTGATGGGCTACCCCGACAGGCCCGGCTGGCTGCGCTACATCCAGAGGACACCGCACAGCGATGGGGTGCTTTACGGCTCTCCTACTGCGGAGCATGTTGGGAAGGCCACAGTCATAGAGGTGGGCGGTGGGAGTGCTTTGACTCAAGTGTTTAAACTTGTTTGATATGTGCAGTAAGGGAAAGTGATTGTGCTGTGTGGAAAGTGATGAAAAAAATCTAAAGCAGTGAGTGTTAATGATCCATAAATCTCAGCCAGTTCAATAGGAGGCGGTGTCGAATGTGCAGCTACACATTTAAATTGATTAAACTTGGCATGGCTGATTTTTATGCCTTAAGTAATAACATAGTGCAATGTTATGCTCAGAGTCTTCAGCCTTAAATTCCATTATGTTTTTTCATGCCTTCTTTGTCCCCCATAAGCTACTGTAGGAAATTCTTCTCCCAAAAGGCTTAACGTTCCCAGCGGTGCACATGTGCCTATATCGGCGCCTCAGTCGGGTACAGAGCCTGCGTGGTGTTTCTGCCTCGGCCTGGTCCAAGGGGGGGGGACTGCTGCCATATAAGCTTCACTGATCTGGGCTTAAACTTTCACCCCTGTGTGTTGCAGATTACTGCCTATAACAGACGCACTTTCGAGACAGCCCGGCACAACTTGGTCATAAACGTCATGGCTACAGAAGGTAAGAGGCGCCAGTGCGAGAGCTTAGGGCAAACACAGATCAGACTGTGCAGCTTCCCTGATTAAATCCTGGGGGCACATTCAGCACTTTAATGACCCGGGCTGGAGAGAAAGCGAGACGCCATTGATCACTTTTGTCCCGGACTTATCAATAATCTATAGAAAAGCAGTGAATAGTTTAGCTTGAACCGTGTTTTCATGAGTTCAGTCACAGCCAAACTGTAATTATACAGTCAGGAACTCGTGTTTCATGGTTTATTAAGTGTCCCTAAAGGGCTGTCATTATTAGTTAGTGTTTGTTCAGGCTTGTATGAACACACAGTTCTACATCGATACAGAGTGTGACAGTACTGAGTATTTATAATACATTTATGAGTATCAGCAGTTCAATTAGCTCTTAAATCTGTGCATGCTTGTTAACCAGCACGGTATAAACTGAGCACCAACATGACGTCACTCTACCTGTTCTCTGAAGTCATCAAGAAGGAGACCAAGTCGTACCAAAGAGGGGCAGACACACCAGCGCCTGTTGTCCAGACTGGTGGAGCTGCCCTCCTGTCTCCTTTGTCTAGTAACTCTCTCCTCTCCCTCCCTTTGCACAGAGTTCCCTCTTCCCTTCCAGGCCGAGTTTTACATCAAAAACATGAACGTGGAGGAGATGCTGGCCAGTGAGGTGCTGGGCGACTTTTTAGGAGCAGTGAAGAACGTGTGGCAGCCTGAGCGCCTCAACGCCATCAATATCACCTCTGCGCTGGACCGAGGTGGCCGTGTGCCCCTGCCCATCAACAACCTCAAGGAAGGGTGAGGAATTTGAATCTTTTCGGGGTTACTTAAGGGTTTTGAAAGCCTGTCATGTCCTGATGAAGGCCTCAGTGGCTGAAATGTGCAGGCATACTTCTACCGTGTTTTTTGTGGCCCTAAAAAGTAAAGAAATTTGAGGGAAATTTCAGGCAGCAATTTTCAATTCTTAAAACTCCAGTTCAATAACCAAGAGGTTTTCCAGTCCGAGATTCTTGGCTTCTCTTTCACCCTCTAAATCAAACATGTTGCTTGTATCTTCGGCCCACATATTGTGCAGAGATTTCATTTCATTGGGGCCTCAGGAATCTGAAGCTTGCTGTGAATTAGCAGAGTACACTTGGTCCTGAGCACTAACAGACGCCGTCAGCTGCTCTCTGTCAGAAGGGACCGGCCCACATAAACTGCCATAAGATGTGCATCAAAGATTCATGCTGACGTTTGGAAGACGAAAGCATCTCATGAACACTCAGTGGAGGGAAAATGCTGCGACTGTTATGAGCCTGAGCATCAACTCGTCACGAAATGAGGCTCCATCTCCCCCTCCTCTCTCATGCTCTGTACGTCCCTGTCTGTCCCTCTCCAGGGTTTATGTGATGGTTGGTGCTGATGTTCCCTTCTCCTCATGCCTGCGGGAGGTGGAGAGTCCTCATAACCAGCTGCGCTGCAGTCAGGAGATGGAGCCAGTCATCAGCTGTGACAAGAAGTTCAGAGCTCAGTTTCACATAGATTGGTGTAAGATCTCTCTGGTAAGGATGGACCTGAAGTAAAACTGAAAATAGAGGTTTCTTTGCACTTCCTGATGAAACATCTCACTGAGGGCTGTTTGATTTGATTTTTAACTTTAAAAGCAGGAAGTTAGGGAGAGACTTATCATAGGTATTGATTGACTTTTGTAGGAAATAGTGCTGAGTGGAGGAGAATTCAAACACAAACAGAGTGAGGACATTTACTGTAATTTCACCCACCTTTAAGATCCTGCTTATGCCAGGTGCTGGATATTACGATCTGAAGCTGTTCATTGTTTGCAGTAGTGTGACAGATTAACATTCATGCAGTCATTGATTCTGTCGGTATTTTGTTGAAGGAATGTGGATAATTTAGTTAGTATAATTTTGTAGTATTTCTGATCTTACAGAATGGAGCTAATTCCGATCTCATCTTTTAAGCAAACTCATTATTTATACTCTAAGTGTTTTCATTCAGTTCCATAACTTAAGATCGACCAGAAGTCACTTATACTTTAAATAAAAGCATAGCTTTACAGTGCAGTTAATAAAGTTACCTAAAAACAAGTATCAAAATAAAAGCATGACAATTAGTTTTTTTTAGAGGCATTGTCATCTCCAAAGAGGTGTTGGTCATGGGCCTGTGATGTGGATAAGTAATAAATGTAAACATTATCAGAAACAGCTGATCACATGTAAGTTAATACAGAAGTATTGTGTTGCTTCACCCTCGTCTTGCCTTTCCTCACTTTTACTTGTTGCGTTGTCTTGAAAATCCAGTATCTCATCAGCCCTTATTTTATCAGTGAATTTATTAGTTAGTCTGCAGGAAAATGCCATTATAGGACCTACAGTTGGTAAACCCTGAAAGGGGGGAAAGTACTCGACTCTTGCTGGTGCTAATTAAAAGGGTTTTTTAAATATGTATCACCAATGTACAAAAGTTACTTTTACTTTTTCCCTCAGGTCGACATCAACAAAGTTGTACCAGTGTACATCCCCCGTCCCGACCCAGGCACTGGGATTCTGCCTGAGTTTGCTCCGTATGACCCCCCCTCCGAGTCTCTGAAGAGCCGGGACTACTTTTCAGACTTCCTCATCACGCTGGCCGTTCCATCCGCTGTGGCACTGGTCCTCTTCTTCATCCTCGGCTACGCCATGTGCTGCAAACGTGAAGGGGTGTAAGTGTGCTCTTGTGGTCTTGTACTAATGCAAATATAGCTTCAGACAGCCCCACAAACATTGGAGGGAAGAGCAGAGTCTGTCCTGAAGTGTATGAGAACCAAAATGGAAGATAGGATGAATAGAGCAGGATGTTGAAATAAGAGACATGATCTGGACTTGGATTGCAGCTTTTCATTTCCATCCGGTTGCATTTATATTCAGTTTTTAATCTATATTTTGATTCTTTTTCTTTTTTTTTTTTAACATGTACATCATAGTGTCTGAGGCACAGCAGTGACATTCATCCTCGATAAAGTCATTCACCATTTTTTCATCATTTACAGGCTGGGAGAGACGTGCCCCCTCGTTCATTCAACGCCCCACATCCACCGCCATTCCCACTCTGTCTTTACCCATCCACTTGTGTGTAGATGTGTGTTTAACTATTAATATTAGTATTTAATTCATCCATTTTGTTTTGTTCCTAGGGAAAAAAGAAACATGCAAACACCAGAGTAAGTGTTTTACCTCTCCTGCTGTGTTTTGCTTTATTTTGGCTCTGTTTCTGCCTCCTCCCCTCTCTCTCTCTTTGTTTGCAGTTTTGTCATCTATGTTGTCACTGACAGCTTTCTCATTCCCATTCATATGCTCATGTGTGTGTTGACATCTTTCATCCAATGGGCTGCTCCAAAAATTCAAAGGCCAGACGTAGGTGATTAATGGTGTTGAAGTAGAAAAGGTCTTGAAACATACATGAATCTTTGAATAGTCAGAGAAGGCTGCAGTGTTAGGTGAAGGTGGATGTTCTGTTTCTGTCTTGCATGCATGGACTGATTGCAGAGCTTCCTCCTGCAGTGACTAAGTGATTGCTCATAAAAAAGAAAAAAAAAAAACAGTTTTACAGTCAAAGAGGCATTGCATACGGGCTGAAGCAAATTAACAACACTGACAATGATGGGAACACAAGCTCATAGGTGTAAACTCCGCTGCCTCTTCCCTCTCCAGCATTCAGCTGGTTCACCACAGCTCCATCCAGAAGTCCACCAAGGAGCTGCGGAGCATGTCTAAGAACCGAGAGATCTCCTGGCCGCTCTCCACTCTGCCGGTCTTCAACCCGGTCAGCGGCGAGGTGGTGCCACCGATCCATCCTGACAACTATGAGACCACCAGCATGCCCCTCATGCAGACACAGACGTGAGTGGAAAATAAATAGTAAAGTAGTGTGAAGAGAGCACTCACTTTTGATACAGTCTTTGCCATTTAAAAAGTGAGCTGCATAACTTAACCCTCTGAAAGCAGAGAGGTTACAATAACACCTTAAAATAATAGTGATATGTGACATTAAGTTCATTACCCTTTTGGAGTGCTGATTCAATCAAAAAGACTCCTCGATTTAAGACCAGTGACCGTCCTTCAAAGTTGGACTGTGTCATACATTTAACAGATCAGACGTTTCAACCGCAGCCTTCTTGATTTTATGACTATTCTTTCAGAACTGGCCATATTTCGCATGAATTATCATCGGACATTTTCAGATGGCAGGATTGTCCTCAGGTCACATTCAGGATGAGAAGCTCAAATAATGGTTAAGATGTCCTGCTGTGTTCTGGGTTTGCTGAGTCATACAAGAGTCTTCAACGTTTGCTTCCATATCACTGCGTCTCGCTTAAGGAGGTGTTCAAATCTGGAGGTGCTTTGAGCCACATGTCATGTGAAAAACAGTTCTTTGGTGCGGTTTAGCTCAGCAGTTACAGCCCTACAGAGAAGAGTAGCCACAGTCACAGCTTCTCTCACACAGCTGTCCTCTGCTTTCCTTTCAAACTAAGGGAAAAATTACAAAGTTTACAAGTAATTACAAGTAATGGTTTAGTAACTTGTTAGCTTAGTAAAGGATAGTGCAAATGAACTGGTGGTTGAGCAACCACCCACTAAGCTGACAAGTTGACACGAAGTATAGGACTACAGATGATCTTATCGATCTGAAAAGGATAAACTTGACACCAAGGCCCTTAAACTACATGCTGTATTGTCAGTTTTTACTCCTAATTTGGCCAACTATTATTAAATATATAACAAGCTGTATTGAGGACAACTTTAATCAAGCAGTAAATACTGTTTACTTATAAGAGAAATGTTTACTGAGCTTATAGATGAGATGAGAAGTACAGTAATTTTATCCTTTGGTGTTAACCATCGACTGTATATAGAATGGACGTCATCTGCCTCTTTGCTGGGTGAGCACCCTCTGGTGACTGGTTGCAGTATAGGTCATAAACCCCGCCTCCTCTAGCAAAATGAATGCAGCTGTGGACAAACTTCAGAAATTAATTACACAGACTATAATTTTTTTCCCCCCTGCTTGTGATGTTGACATGTAGTTACTGTAAGACTGGTTTGTGCTCAAGTCGTCTGTTTTTCTGTGCAGCTCCTTTTTTAAAAGTTATTAAAGGGTTCATGTTTTCTATGATTGACACTTGATACAGCCTATGGGCGTACAAAGGCTGGGGAGGACATCCAGGGGGTGATTCTCCTGCTGAACGCTACTGCACAAATGCCAGTATCAGGAAATGCAGAAAATTCTTGGAAATAGCAAGAGTAATTTTGCTTCAAATTTGTGTATTGCCGGTTTATGGTCTTCGGTTACTTTGTTACCAGTGGAATCACCCCCTGATGGCCTTTACAAAGAATGCAGGTTTAAGGCCTGTTCGCACTGACTTTCCTTTGAGACTTTTTTGCTCCGTCTGCTTTTGTACCGTCACACCGTATGTTGGTGAATAAACAGAGTGTCAAACAGCCGCCTGTGCTCACATGAAGAGCGCACATGCACCCACGCTCATTAGCAGCCACACAGAAGCATGGCTTAGAGGAGAAACACGAGCCCTGACAATACCATTATTGTTTAATCTCGCTTTAAGAGCCTCTAACTATGCAATGTTTACAGCGAAAGCTATAAGGAGCATGTCTGGCCTTTAGGGGTGAAAAAAAAAACACCACCACAGCTTAAGAGACTCAAGCCGTCCCATGATTTTTCTTAATGGGCTTGAAGCTCAGAAAAAATTTGCTAATACAACATGCTTTCACATGATACTAAAAGGTTCTGTGCTGTATGTGCAAGGCTGTTTGCCTCATTATGATTGTTTGTGATTTCAGGAATCTGCAAAACCAGATTACGATACCACAGCAGCGGCCATCAGGTGGGTGTTTTCTTCATTTGTAAGGTAGTCTAACAATCTAATTCCACCTGCATGTGACTGAATTAGCAAGAAAAGGCCTGGGTTCTAGAGAAAGGACAAATAAAACTACAATCTGTCTCTTCTGTACTAGTTTGGGAATATATCACTGAGCTGCTGTCATGTCTGTCCAGTCTGGCTCAAGCCTCTGCAAACCCAGCCTTGTGCATGTGTGTGAGCGCCCCCCAGTGTGCATGAAGCTCATCTGCATGACAGTATCAGCACTAACCTGCTGCTCTTTTTCATTCACTGCTAACAAAGGAGAGAATTATGTCATGTCAACATTTCGAAGGCTGGAGGTAGGTCTTACTGAAGAGTTTCTTTTCCTGAACACCTCCTTACTGCTGGAAAAACACGTACTTTTCATGTGACGACAAATGTCTGGGTTTATTCCAGGTAAATGGTATTCCTGAGGAGAGGAAGGTGGCCGAAGCACTGAATTTGTGACCAGAAACCAGTGTTGATTCCATATCTATACGTTTTTATTTCCTAACAATTGTGCCAATCTGCATGCCTCAAGTGTTTTCAGAATTTGCCGTCCATGTGCACTTACACCTCAAAAGAGTGAGAGTGTGAAACTAAGAGAAGAGCTTAGCCCATTAGTAATATATATTAGAGTATTTTTAAATATATGTGTAAAGAATTCTGACTTTTAGTGTTTCTACTTGCTTTGCACAACAGAGGAAAAGGGAATTTTACAAAGAAATGCTTTACATGTCATGTGTTAATTATATGTAATTTGTCACATGAGAATAAATTCTTACAAACGGGTTTTCTTTGAGTTTTCTTGTCTCCATAACAAAAAGTCACACGTTTTTTTCTTTCTTCCAAAGGACTTCAAACCAGCTCATTTTATGAAGGTATTATTAACAATGTACAACAGAATAAAGGCATTTATAAATAATTTGGATACATTTCACATCTTAAAGACATCACAAAAAGTTTTACATGTAACATATTTCAAATAGGCCCTGCACAGGCGTAAATATAAATATTTGTTGCTTTTACATGACCAGAAAGACTTGTTAAGGCCTGAAACAGTTAGCAAATTTAGAAGTGTAAAGCAGTCAAAGATGACGAAACAGAGCAGTAAGGGTGTTTTTCTTTCACACCAGTATATGATGAGATGCTGACTTTGTAGTGGTAATTACAGTCTGACTTGGCGCTTGCTCAGTTTGAAATAGAAATGCACATTGTCAATTTAATGAAAGGGAGTGTTTCAATTAAAGCAACACGAATGAAGAAACCCACGGACATTTGCAGTCTTTACAACCCTGTATGCAACACAAATTCATACACAAAACAGCTTGAATCATTTCAATTTAACTTTTTTTTTATAACTGCCAAATGAACTTGACAAAAATCTGCTTGTACCCTCAATAAAAATGTGCCAAAGTGCAGAAAAGCTCTGCACCAGTATCATGTTAAACAGTTTTTTTTTTCACTGCAAAGAAGAAAACAAACAGGTCTGACAGTAAAAAGTGCTAATCTCTCTTGAACGTCTGTGAGAGTATGGAGGCAAAAATACACATGCCCATTTTGTCAACTGACAAACAATGTTTTCCTTTGAGCAACAGTGATGTTTTCTCAGGCGGGTCAGTGCATTTCTCTGATTATTGATGTGGCTCTCTGATGCAAAGTGGCAAACCGACAGAAGACCGTCATCCCGAGCTAATTCACAGATACAACCGAGTACATCTCATGAAAAACCTCTGAGGAAAGCTGTGTGTTCGAAGGCATCGCTTATTCACTCACTCACTGTGCAGGAAGAAGCTTCACCAGCTCTTTCCGTTGTAAATGAAGCTGTTGGTCGTACAGAAAAATAACATGTGCAAGCCACCAGAGCTGTGAGGCATTTTTTTTTTTGTTAGTTTTTTTTTTACGGCAAAGGAAAATTTGAGGACTAAAAAAACACTGCCAAAGCTTTGCTGTATAAAATAAAGTTTCATACTCTATGATACAAATATACATATACTACGCAGTTAGCAGACAAAGAGAGTCAAACTAAAGGCTCAACCTCTGCAGTGTGTGTGTCTGAGGCAGGTCATCATCTATATGAGATGCTGGGATGGGTACAAAACTATGTTAAGACTTCCTTCACAAACAGCACTCATGAGCTCAGAGTACAAAATCAAACAAAAAGGAAAATTAACGGTATAAAATATAAGCTTAATTTAAATCATTAAATACTGTACATATCACACAGAAATTTCAGAGCTACAGCAGGTGACCACAGTACCTTTCAGCACAAGGCGAACATTTCTAAAATTACTCACAAAAAATTAGCAAAAATGTGTCATTTTTACAATTGCACTCCAGCTTGACAGTTTGTTTTTTTTCTTAGTTTGATCACCCAGCCCAGTTGTTGGTCCATATTTTGCACGTTTACATACCGTTTTCTGAAAGTCACCGCAAACACTGTACAAAGTAATGTTGGTAATAAAATGCAGCACAATTTGAACCTTTCTGAATATGTACTTCACGGATCCGCCTGAGTGAAAACGCCTTAAGCTGCTACTGTCGTGTGGACGGTGTGTGTGTATGTGTGTGTCTAGCGATCCCTCCCAGAGTGGAGCAACGTCAGAAAGTACTGTATGACACTAAATGAACTTCTTGTGAGAGTATTTGGCTAAAAGGAGGCAAAAAAAAAAATCACACAGTAAGCATGAGGTTTTGAAAAAGAGGACCTTTTCGTTAAAAATCCAACATCTCCAAATGTGTTCTTCGTCTTCGCTTAAATCCAAACGTCTCTTTTCTCTAAAAACAGGCTTTGTAAAGAGCAGAGCAGTCTCCCCTGAATCAGGGCACCTTTATTTTCTTCAGTGTGCGACTTTCACAGCAGTCAGGTAGAGACCTGGGCAAGCACAGAGACATTGTTCTTCCTTAGAACAACTGAGGATGCCTCCTATTACCACAGTGTGTGAAAATAAAACCCAGCATTGGCTCAGTGAGTCCTTGTCCTTCAACGGGAGGTATCCATCAGGGTGTGGACTGGCTGCTTCTGGCCAGCAGCAGTACAACTAGACTGCAGAGCCCCAGGGCCCCCAGCCTCTTCAAAAGGGCCACGCTGTCTTTGGGGATGACAACCTGGGCCAGGTCATTGGTGATGAGGGAGATCTCATGGGCCACACACACAAAGATGAAGGTGCTGACCATGATGTTGAGTGAAGGGTTTCCTGGGATAAGGACTAAAATCCCCTTGGTGTCTGCAGCCAGCCAGATGTGATACTGACATATGAACAGCTGGGGGAGACAAACACAACACAATCTGTAACTGCTCATACTGGTGTTTAACTCACACGCTGCTGCACCCTTCTTTTCAAAGGACTATAAAGAGCTATTAAAGAGGGAGGTTCTCGCTATAGATTTTTTGTTCAAAGTCAACAAACAGGTCCTCTTACCTCCAATGAGATCTTTCCAAACCATGCAAAGAATGAGCTATAAATAGAGCGGGCGTAACCTGGAATATTTCTGATGAGAATGAAGGCCAAAATCTGTGAAGACAATCGGAGGGAGTCAAAGTTTAGTGGCAGTAGCAAAAACAATGAAGTTAAAGTGGTGCGCAGCCACAAGGTCTGATGAGGACAGATGAACTGCCAAAGCTGGTCTGTTCAGGAGGGAATTGTGTTGTTCATGACTTTAAATATTTACTTCTTCAAAATGATCCCCGGATAAGACTGGCATGATAATGAGGCTGTATCCGGCGATCGGGGAGGCAACTCCCTTGTTGTTGCACTCATCAGCACTTCTAATGTCATTAGTATCATGACTTCCAAGAAATTGTCAAGAAATTTACTCTTTTGCTTATTTAGTCATTTATATGACAGCCAAAGAAACAGGACTCTGTTACAAAACTAAGAAAGGAAAACAAAAGCCAGGCAGAGACAGGTGAGGGGAATGCGGATCGTACCTGGACCACTGAGATGTACGGATGCATCTCATTGCATTCGGTTTTGGTTTTGCAGCTGCTGGCCCATATTGAGTACGTCTAAAACAATGAGGGGAAAAAAAAGAGAAGTTGGGTAACAGGATTTAATCTTCAGTTGCAACGAAACAAAGCAGGATGCTGCCTTTGTTTAAGAAGGGCAGCTCCTCGATAACAAACAAAGAAGACCGTATACAGCAGGTTAATGTCAACAAACTAGATTTACCAGTGAACATGTCTATCCTAAGTTTCTGCAACGTATTTGTTTCATTGCTAGGATAGACCTGCAGCAATAGTTTTCCAAGAGTGACATCAAAGAGAACAGAGTTTGTTTAAAATAAATGAACCTACAAATTAAAGGTTTATAGACGAGTATCAACATGACAATGAAGTCTGAAGAGTCTTACTATGAAAAAGACGACTGAAAGGAAGAGGAGCAGGTTGGAGACCTTGGCACGGAAAAGGGCCTCTCCTTTGCCCTCTGACAACACCTGCCGCTTTTGCAGCACTAGATAGATGAAGGCAAATAACATGCCGTGTATTACCGCCTGCAAAAGAGCACAAAGCCGCATCAAAACTGCTGCACAAAGCCAAGTGTCTCATTTCAAACACGGTGTTCATGTAAAGACAGAGAAAAGTCAGAACAAATAAAGAGTCAGAACAAATTTGACTTACAAATCGGTCCAGCTTCCACCTGAACCACCACTCATGGATGCTCCCGTTCAGCTCAAAGAGCTTGGAGATGGGCCACACAGAGAAGACGCCCTCGAAGATGCTCTGAAGTCACAAAGGCAGGCGTTAATACTGAATTAATAAGGATAAACAATGACCTCACTATGAACTATTCTGATTGAAATACTAGTGTGTGCCAGGCTGCAGTTCACCACGTAATCAAGTGAAATCTGTGATTTAAAAAAGATGGACGAGAGAGATACACTGCGACTGACAGACTAATAGGGTTGGGAATCACCAGTGGCGCCACAATACAATATTATCATGATACTTGGGCCATGATATGATATTATCACAATATTTGGGCCACAATATGATATCATGATACTTGGGCCACAATATGATATTATCATGATACTTGGGCCACGATATGATATTATCACGATATTTGGGCCACAATTTGATATTATCATGATACTTGGGCCAGGATATGATATTATTATGATACTTGGGCATTTTGCAATACAGTAAGTATTGCGATATAATATATCATGATTTCTACAATTTTTTCCAACTGTTTAGCTAATTTAGCATTTGACTTTCCTTTATCTTTGTCTTATTTACTCTGTATTTTATTTTCATGTAGTGCATCTTGCAAACCTTATATGTGTTTGTTGTACTAACTTTCTCCTGCTCTATGACGTCACCTCTGCCAACCTTACTGGACAAACAGTTGATTTTGTATTATCCATTATCATAGATTTGACTTCATGTTAGCAATTAATCTGAAAAATCGATATTTGGCAAATGAGACGAAACGATATATCACAAGACAAAATATTGCGATACTATGCTGTATCGATTATTTTCTCCCACCCCTACAGAATAATTCACCTACCTGTGAAAAAGCAAAGAGGCAGATGAACAGCAGGAGGCCCAGCAACTTCGCCAACACACCGAGATGCCACATGCCGCTATCTGTAAAAACACCAAGGCTAACATCAGAAGAAAGGTCTCTCCAACATTTAGAACTAGTATCAAACGCTTCTTATGGCACTAAATATGTGTGCTGGTGGGTCTCCATTAAATGTGTCAACACCTACTGTTAGCTTTCTTTTGAAGGATCTGCGGCCACATGGCTAGTGTGGCGTAGATGACAACAAACCAGAAGGTGACCAGTGGGACGAAGTAGTAGAACTGGTAGGGTCTGTCCATGACAACACACAGCACCAAGACCAGGAAGTTTAACCGGAAAAGTACCTGCAATGAAAAGAGTATGAAAAATGGTAGAAAGAGAAGACGAGACGGATTAGTTCTGTTGGCGTAAGTGACACTCAAAGATGAAATGCTGAAGTTTGAATAAGTGAACAGTCACGATTGACAGTAATGAGCCAGTGTAAGATCCTGTGGGACTCGCTGTATCCTCACCTGACAGACTCTATACAGTCCAAAGTCTCCTTTGAGCCAGAAAAATGAAAAGTGTCCATAACCGGTCTGGAAGAGGTACGCTGCCACCAGCACACGCACATGCATGTAAACTGGAACAAACTGAAAGACAGGAATCATTGATGTCTTCAGATATCAATTTTCTCCTCATCAGAGCAGGTTACTCCCAAATGAATCAATGTTTCAGACTCACAGCACTTGCTCCAGATATGTGATAGATGAGGATGACTAACTGCATCCACCCTTTCCACTCATCCGTCTGCTCTCGATTGAGTAATTTGGTCTGTTTGAAAGAGAGGGAACATCTTTTAGCCTAAAATAGTCACACACAAAGTGCAGTTCAACTTGGACCAGATAAATACAGAGAACCAGCTTTATTAAGTTATAAATACCGCTACTTTTTTTTTCCTCCAATAGGCTGGAAACGATATGTCTGAAAAATAAATTCACTCTTTCAACACAAAGTTAGGCAGTACTCGGGCTGGGCGATAAACCGAAAATTTACCGATACCGAAATTTACGACAATAACTGATGTCATTTTGCCCATATCGGTGTATTCGGTGTCAAAAAAATTAAATAAAAGTTGTTTTTGGATGTGTGTAGGTAGGCTATGGTCTCATGTCCCCTTATAATGCTGTCCTATGTCAGAGACATGACTCCACCCCATCTAGTTCGAAACAAAGAGGGAAAGACAGGTGAGGAGATGGAGGACGGTTCAAAAGTTGTAGCGGCTGGAGGCGCGGCTGAAGTAGACGAAGTTAATGTGGGCAGGGGTGAGCAGCTTGTGGAGTAGTTATTGTCCATTTATCGTTATTGAAGTGAACTGTTCAATATATCGTGATATTAATTTGAGGCCATATCACCCAGCCCTAGGCAGTACTGAGCCGAGTCGTACCTCTTTACTGCTCTCATTGTAGAAGACCCCAAGGACGAAGATATAGATGAGAGGGATGAAGAAGGTGGAGTGCGTGTAAAACTTCTGCTCTTTCATGAACACATCTGCTCTGTCACAAAGGTAAAAATAGCCCATGATGATGCCCATCCTGCAGAGAGCCTGGACAGATGCTTTAGGTCCTAGGGGAACAGCTGCAGTCGCCGGCTTCTTCCCCTCTAGGCTCTCCACGTCAGGGGGCACAGGACGGCGGTGGCGGTTGTTGCCGAGGACGTGCAGGACAAGGAAGATCAGGGCAGAGCACAGGAAGAAACAAGCTGACAGCTTCTGGAGGAGGTTTGGGGGCGGTAGGGTCTGGCAGCAGGAGCCGTCTATGGGCCTCAGCAACTTGTTGCACACAGAATTCATTAGGACCATGGCTCCCTGACAAGATGATAATGGAAGATGGTAAAGGCGATGTGAGTACTGATTAAAAGTGGACTTTTGGTCCCATTGTTACATATTATGGGCACTGAATGACTAAAAGCAGGCATGTGATCTGTAATTTCTCACTGATTCACCAACTCACAGTAGGTCCTTCAAAAGTCCTTGTTTTTACCACTGTATGGCTCAAAACTGTGCTACAAGATTTCAGAAACTGCCCCTTTTCTTGACAAGAAGTAAGACCCAGAACTCACTTCTTAAAGGGATATTACGGCGTAAAATTAAGTTAGGGTCAAACACAACATAACACCGAGTTAGACACCCCCTCAAACGATGAATGTTGACGACCGCTTGCTTCTCCACTTATACCAACTTTGATAACAACCGCATAATAACAATACACAGCGGTCAAACCTCAACCAAAACGCCACTCAACAGCAAATAAATAATGTTGAGAACAGCACCTAACTTCATCAACAGTACATGTAGGGTCCCAGCCATAGCACTAGCCACCAAACCTTTGCCTGATTTCTTTAACTAAGAGACTAAACACAACTCACCCACTCTCTTCCAGCAGTCGCTTGTTTGTGGGGAGCCCTGATGAGTTGATCACCAAGTGCTGTGGAGTTTCACAGTTCAAGGAAGAACATTTATGATCATTTCCTCATGGAAATGTCATCAGACCGAAACACTGAGGCAGAAGAACTACCGCCTCTGCAGTGCAAAATGTTTATTATGATGATTATTGCTTCATGAAAATGATCCGCTACATTCAATGATCGACTCGTCAGGGCTCCCCCACAAACAAGCGACTGCTGGAAGAGAGAAGGTGAGTTGCGTTTAGTCTCTTTGCTTAAGAAATCAAGCAAAGCTAAAAAGATGTTTGATGGCTAGTACTATGGCTGGGACCCTATATGTAATGTTGATGAAGCTAGGTGCTGTTCTGAGCATTATTTGTGGCTACAGAGTAGCCTTTTGGTTGAGGTTTGTGCGTGGAGGACGTACACCACTGTGTATGGCTATTGTGCAGTCGTTACTAAAGTTGGTATAGCAAGAGAAGCAAGTGGTCGGCAACATTCATCTCTCGAGAGATTTTATTTTTAATTTTATGCTGGAATATCTCTTTAAAGCCACCAGACCTCATTGACAGTGACAGAATTTTTCTTTGCAGAACACTGGTGTTGTTGGGCTAATTCTGTTGCTCGTACTCAGCTTGATTTTGTAATTTTGATGTGTTAATTTCGTCAACAACGTTCAACAGTCACAGAACATCACAAACAGACTAACTTATCAGGAAGAAGGTCACCAGGCCATAAGCTCCTCCTTTATTCCATTTCACAGAGAGTAAAAAACAACAACTAGTTGTCTTGAACAAGCAGAAATCCTGCCTACCACACTCCTAGTGCCCTCAGGTAGATGCAAGCCGTCATCTGATTGCCCGATGGTTTCCAGAGCAGCTTGACGTGACGCAGCAAACAGCTTGACCCTCGACCTGCCATTGAGCACGTCGACCGCAGCTTCATTGTAAAGCTCCAGCTGCTGGTTGGTGATCATTTTCCTGTTTTCACTCAACGCCTCCTCATTTACGGGATCTGCAGGGCGGAGGTGAGATGGTGAGATACAGCGGAAATAGAGCGTGAGTGATGTGTTGGTGTTAACCTATTTTTGCTGCTGTCAAATGCTTTTATGAAATAAAAAAAAACAACAACTTGACACCAAAATAAATATTAACAGCACCTCGCTGAAAATACCCCATAAAGTCATGCAGCAAATTATGGCTTACACAAAGTAAACAAATGAGAAATGTTGAATGCTGTGGATGATGATGAGCCACAAAACATGCAGATAAGTGATTTGAAGTTATGTCTGATGCTGTGAATGAACTTGGAATGTGTGAACACTTAGTGGAAAAATGCTTTGAAGTACCAAAAGTTGTTCAGATGTTAATCCCTTCTGACATGAAAGCAGCGATCACATGAGAGGTTTATCGCTCTGGAAGAGGGATCACGCAGTGATACAACACAGCAAAAGCATGAAGCTGATCTCACCTTGCAGGACCCAGTAGACCTCTCCATGTTCGGCCAGCCTCTCCAGGTGCACAGCGATGGCTGTCAGGTTGACTTTGTACTGCTGCAGGGCCTCGCTGCTGCCACTGTGAAACTTGATCGACCACTGTGGTGAATACATTCATGGAGATTGTTAGGCACATCATTTTGCTTTTACAGATAGAAGCAATTATTACTCAGCACTCAGAGTGAGAGCTTACTGTTGCAGCTCCGACGATAACAATATCTGGCTTAACTGAAGTTTCCTGCAACACAGGGGAGAAGCTGGATTTCACAAGAGCACATCCTTGCCTTAACTGCAAGGCAATTTCAAGTTTATACAACACTCGTGATAAACAAAGCTTCGCTCTAACAGAGCTCAGCGTCCTCACTCACGTGTGTCCACGCTATCAAACGCTCTTTCATGGAGTTATTTGCCTCTGGATACCACAGGAAGTCCTGCACAGACAGAAGAGATTTTTTTTTATTTTTTATCTTCAATCAGTTTTATCAGGCTGAGAGCAGGAAATAAATATGTCCCCCCAGTTAGCTTACCACATGTAGAGAGGAAGTCTCGTCCTCAAAGGAAATGTCCTCGTGCTTCAGATATAATGGACATGGGGACAGACAGAGAGAAAGCCTGTTAGCTAAGAGAGGTCCTCATTTTCCCATCATCATTTCCATTAAATTCGCGACTATATTTTGTTGTTGATTGCACAAACTATGAACAGCACTGGTTTCAATATATTAAAAAAAAACATCTACTTTGGAGTCAGTCAATGGGGGAAAAAAGGCTGTTTTTCCTTAAAAGCTATCACTGAAAGGTCAGGCTTTTAAACACAGTAATCAGTAAATGGTGGGATATTTCAATGTAACGGCTGTTTGAAAGTCATCCCCATGAAGGTTAGAATTTTGAAAAACAATCAAAGCCTTGTATTAAGACGTAAAAGGGGATTTTTTAAAATCTTTTTCACGTGCAGAAAATGTCAGAACCAAAGTGTAGAGATGTGTTCTCTTTTAACCATGTTTTCTGTTGAGTCTTAACTCTATCAGTCAAGGAAAAAACAAAATCTTACATATAATAAGAAAGGATTATTTCAAAAGAAGCAAGATTATTTTGTTATATTTCAACCAGATGATAAATGATTGCGGAGTAAACAGAGGAATGTCTGACAACGTCATCCTCCAGCTGTGGATCCTTTTGATGTGCTGAAAAGTTTCCAATGATATTACATGCTGCTCTTCTTCATAAATACCTTGTTTCCATCTTCTCTTCTCTCTGGGTCGATAATTTTGATGAAGGAGTAAAACAGCTGCCTTACTCTGGAGTCACCTATAAAGGCCACCCGCTTTTCAGTGAGGCAGGTCTTGGCTTCACTGTAAGACAAAAATGATGGAGAGGAATCTGCAACCAGTAAATCCTCTGGATGGTGGATAGCAATCATTCCTATGTCAGGTGTTTGTTCTATCATTAAAGTAGCAGCAGATCTTTTTAAACACAGTCTGTTGAAAGAATGACGTCTTCTCAACTGATTATTAACCTTTAAATTGCCTATCTGTCCTTCCAGACACAAACACACCCCACTGATACACATCTAAATCTTTGTTCCAAACATGCGGTACATACAGCAACCTTGCACAGCCATGACTTACGTGCTTTTGTATTTGTGCATCATGCAGCCATAAGGCTGCCATATGTTCTCCCCCAAGTACCGTCCTTTAGACAGCAGCCATTCACATGAATCTCCCCCTGAGGACACAGAACACAGAGATCCCACCAGTAAGACTGGACAAAAAAAAGCCCTGCCTCTCACTCATAGTTCCTCCGTGACTACAACTGAAACCTGTGGTCTCAATAGTACCCTGGCTTTTCATTGAGAGCATTCAAGGGACTTGAATACAATACAGGGCTTTGCTAGTCGCCACAGTGTAAAATGAAGCCATCAGCAATTTAGCTCAACCATAAATCTCTCCAGCTATTCATTTGTGTGCAAGATGAATGGAGCCATCTGCAACTGAATAAATGTATAGTAACAGGGGAACACGAGGGGTCTGCAGGCTGGCGAGAGATGTGGGCATTTAGTGTCATCGCTCGCCAAAGCAGCTGCTCTCAGTGAGTGCACAGAGGTCTCTGGTTCCCACCTCCTTTCATGGACCATGTCCACTCTGTGCAGCCCAGCTGGGAGGTGGATGTACGCCATGCAAATATTTCTTTGTTGTCTAACTCTGTCAAATTATGGAAAAGGAAAAAAATACCACAAATGGTTGTAAAGAAATCTTAATTATAACAGTCAAGATTACACGACTCCATCCCTCTCATCAGTAATAAATCAAATGTGAAGTGTCTGTCTTTGTGTGTGTGTGGACAGATGAATTGGTATACAAGAGCACTTAATCTAAATGTCTCAAAGATGATCTACCAAACACTGACACGTTACATCAAGCCAGAGTGACTCTCATGAATTAAAGGTGTGCCATGGGAGTTTACTGTATATGTGAGGCACTGATTCAAAACAGAAAATAATGACGACCAGGGAAGGACCTTCATTGTGACCAATTACAGTTAAGCTGCTTTTTGTGCACTTCACAAAAACAAGTTACAAAGTGCTAAACACACAAATAAATCAGTTATAAAAAGGGAATCAACCAGTAAAGCAAAGAAATGTCAAAAGATACAAGATCTAACAACTGAATAATACAAGAGACAGGTACTACAAAACCGACGGTCAAGAAAAAGTTAATGGAAGACAGTTTTATATAGAAGTACTTGAGGTACATTTCACATAAAGTATGTTTTTTCTATCAGTTGTGTAAATTTTTTGACAGGGAATTTGCTTCTACTTCAGTTAAACTTCATTTGAGAAAGTGTACTTTTAACCGAGTAGGATATGTTTATATTATTTCCACCTTTATTGATGAGTTGTCGATTCTCAAGCAATGATAACACCGAAACAAACCGTAACATTTGTATTCTCTTTGTATAGATATCTTCTCGGTCTACTGCGAATCAATGAAAGCTTGCAAACGATGAAAGATGAGATGAGGCAGTTTGAACACTTGTTCGGTTATACAGTAAAACTGGAGTTTGTTAGTTATTTGAGGTGATACAGATATCTGACAAACCAGCATGATAGTTTGGTCGAATAAAGCGCTGTCATCTTAATAGTTTCGACCTAACCCTGTTAACTGTGAGCTTCATCAGCCCCAGCAGAGACTGAGCGTGTCCTGACAGCAGCATGTAAACACTGCTAAACGTTGTTAGCTTCATGTAGCTTATAGCTGGCAGTCAAAGCAGATTTTCAGTCCGTGCAGTTAGCTCACCTAACAGGACTGAAAGCACATTATTTAGACAAGAAATCATCTGCAATGTTAGAATATTTACGTGCTGTTTCTCTCATCTCTTGTCAACAAACTGCATCACGGCACTGCACCAACCCGCAAACATAGTCCCCTTTCTGCTAGTTACTGTTAGCATATGCTAAAGTGTTTCTCGGGCTGCACAGAATAAACGGGGCATCACTTACCTCCATAGTACCGCGAAGCTGTGTGAAACACGAGGAGCAGAATAACGATCACCAGCGATATCAATTTGGCATTCTTAATGGTAAAATGTTGATTTATTTCGCGTTTGCCCAGGCTATAGGCCAGGACCGCCATCTTTGCTCCTCCATGACAACAAGCACCTGTGCAGCTCTGTTGCGGCGCCGCTTCTCGGTCTGCATCGCGTGCCTGTACAGCCTCATTTAACACCGCCTCCATCTCCATCACCAAAGCAGGTGCAGATTTAAACACTTTTTTGGTGGTTCAAGAGCAGCACATTACACTACACTGCACGACCAGAGGAAAAAAAATCCTAGGACTCAACCGTGGATAAGTTCAGTAACTTCAGAAAAGTTGATATTCAAACAAAAAAACAAAACACCTGACACATGAAGGTGTCCTCGCTGTTGTACTCCCTCGCAATGGGTGTCGTGTGGCTCCCCATCAGCTTTATTTACCAGGTGTTCTGCTCATCTGGGGAATGCGGTTCAACTAGTATTTGCACAGGATGGTTGCTTGCTGAGGTTTACATGGACCGTGAACTAGAAAAACCCAATTTTCAGGTCTGTGATAAATTCATGGGCGTAGTTAACCTTTAAGCAGCAGTGAACTTGCTTGTAATTTATAGCTACCAAAATATTTCACTCTCTTGATTATCCTTAGTATCCCAATCCAGAAATTTATAACCCGTGGATTGAGACTTTGGAGGGAGCTTCAACAATGCCAAGCCAATAAACAGCCCAAAAGTTGAATTCATGTAGTCTTTAGAACATGTTGTTCCACCAATAAAAGGATTGCAAAGACTATTTGAACAGCTGTGTACTTTGTTCCATTACTCAAATGCAAATACAATGAGATACTACTATTATCTACTTTGACGTCAAACATCTCTGCTTGTATCCCCAATCACTTTGCTTATTTGCAGCTTCTGATTCAAAGTTATGATAAAGTCATAGTCTAAAGTCTCTTCATAACATAACTTCAAATTTGTAAAACCTTTATTGAATTTGTGAAAATGCAAAACAGGGTAAACTTATTACTTCTGTTTCTGACAACACGGGACCAAGTCCTGATATGGATCCACAATGCCAACACTTTTCAGATCTATACTAGACTGTCCAAGAAAGTCTATCACATTAGACTAGGTTCTGATCCAGAACCACTGTACCCTAGCTTTTTATATCTGGCAAAAGTCTAGAGAAGCCTCAGACTTCTTTAAACACAGGTAGAGGTTTGTTAAAAGATAATTATAATAGAAGATCACAGTTGTTATTGTTGATGGAAGGTGAAAAAGGAGTGAAGTGTCCCTTTATCTGCATTGTCACATCTAGAATGAAGTTTTCATAAATCTAAAACAGTGTCCTAGAGGGACTAGCTGTGACTGTGTTTTTTTGCTTTAGGGCCTGCTTTTTGTATTTCTACAAAAATAAATCCCCTTTCTTTGAAGAAGTCTATATTCTTAGATAACCTATTCCAGATCTGACAAGTCTAGTTTTAGTGGTTTTGGATCAGGACATTTGCAGAAGTTAACTACAGTGTCCTCTTTGCTCAAAGAGGTAAACCTGAATGAAACAGACAGGGCCTGTTTTGTTAGCTGTTCATTAAAAACACACCCATTATAATTGTTAGTTCTGGTAAACTCAGTTCAGTGAGTTCAAACTCTTCTTTTTGAACTTGTGTGATTTGTAGATTGAAGGTGTTGACAGAGGTGCCACTCTGAGGTACTTGCTCATCAAAGGGAGGTGAAATTCAATCTGCAGTTTTGATAGATTGCCTCAGTTTTTGGCTTACATGGTTTAACTGTCGCAGATTATCAAGATGGACTTAAAAACAAACAAACATTTAAACAAACATTTAAGTTGAGATTGTAAAAAAAAAAAAAGTTCAATCTTAAAGGCTCTAGTGAGGAAATGTTGGTTTGCATCACTTCTGGCACATCCTGTTGACAAAGCAGCCTCTATTTATTTTGTCTTCTACGTGCTCAAGTATTTCTGACAAAATCTTAACCCTGCTGACTGCTGATAGTCAAATTTATCATTTATTAATAATATTTTATGTGGAAAATGTAAAACTAGGCCTTTTTTCAGCTGCTTGGCTGACACCTACCCCTTCACACCAGTTTTTGGGCATTAAATATTACACTTTAACAATCATCAATCATGTTGCTGCTGGTCTTTGTTAGCTTTTGTATATCGTAAATAAGCATCAATGTGAAATTTACTGTATTTCAAAGAAGTAAAAACATTATGCACAGGAGCTTTCAATTTCAAACCACAACTCTGGTAACTTTAGCTCCAGAAATATGTTATTAAAAGGAAAATGTTTGACAGTGTAATGCAGTGAGAGGTTACCATGTAGCATGAAATATGAAGTGATGATATTTGACTTTTTCCCTGTAAGGAAATTTTGTTGTTGATTCTGGCGCCACCTGTAGGAAAAGTGAACTTGTACATACAGAATGTGGGAAGTATTTTCAGAAAATAAATAAATAAATAAATTGATTCAAAAACCCTTCTTTTTTTAAATTAATTTAACTTGTCAGTCAGTTGTATCCCTTGGATTGCAATGGGTAATGTAAAAGAAGGAAAAGTCAGCTTCTGGATAGTGCTGTTCCATGCCTGGTTTCACTCTTTCTCAGGGCAGCAGATCACCCATTAGATATTACAATGTAGGAATAGCCTGTGTTACTGCTGATGTTTCTTTCTACTAATATCAGTCTCTCTCTCTCTTGCACCATTAAAAACTCTTAAACGTGCCTGAATTCCTAACACCACTAGAAGCATCTGATACACCTTCAACATCAGTGGAAATGTCAGTGAAGTGGTGCCATTTGTGTACAGTGTATGTAATGTAAACAGTCCAGATTGTTGCTTTTCCATGAGAATACTGTAAGCTGGTTGGTCTCAGATACTGTCTTGCACTCAGGTTTCTATTTTTGAAGAGCTTTCTGACTATTTGACCACCCAGGGTTGAATATATTCTATTAAAAACAGATCCATACCGCCCTCTTGTGGTTGCAGAAAAACTGCAAGTGACCCTTGAAGGCTTCAAAACGTCTACATTTGTAAGACTTAAGTTGGAATACATTATTTTCAGAAATTGAGCATATCCCAATTCCCTAAACACACTAGACTCACACTGATTGTTGGCCTCTGACAAATCTGTGTAACAAGAATGCCGGGTTGAGTCTAAAACCTGACATTGGTGTGGATGTATCACTGCGATTCAAGCCTTGATCCAAACACAGAAATTTATTTGGATGCAAAAGCTGTATTAGGCAAAGAAAAGGCAACATCAGAGGATGCATATTTACAAGACACAATGCAAGTTAGTAATCACACATTGGCATGGACAGTGTCAACAGGAATTTTACTGTACATTAAAATCTGATGTACTGTGGAAAGCAAGAAAAAAGGGGAATGGTAAATGAGGATCTGGCTGTGCTTCCACAAAAGGAAGATGTTCAAGTCTGAGATGATGTCAGCCAAATGAGAACCAAAATACAGTGACACAGCTTCAATGGTGTCGTCAATACATGAAAGCACGTAAGTCACTGAGTAGTGTGTTTTAGGACATTGGACATGCTTTATTTCAGAACTTTTCACAATTTATTTAAACATCTCACATATACAAAATAGGTACAATAGACTTTGTGGTGTCATTTTTTGAGAGAAAGAGAGAGGCCGCCGTAGAAACCATTCAGAATTGGATGAAATAATTGCTGTCAGTATGAACACTCGCTGTGGGGGGGATTTGAAGAGTAAAAAAGCCTGAACAAAAAAAAAAAAAAAACAAAACAAAGGGGGAAAAAAAACCTTCTAGACAAAACAAAAAACAAACCAAATCAAATAAAATAAAACAAATAACAAACCAGACATCAGGTTTAGGAACATTCCACCTGCTTAAAGTGGGGAAGCATCAGGGGACCAAAGCAAGACTCCTCAAAGGTCAATACAAAGTAATACAGTAAAAAGTGGTTTGCTCCACAGCTGCATATTAGCACCATAGATCTCTGCTTCAAGTTACTGAGCACCTTTCGATACGGGACAAAGCTTGAAGCATCTCTGTTGCGGACCAAGGTTGTGTCAATAGTATTTTCTTTAGGTACAAGCATGAGGTAGTTTAAACCTTTTTTTCATGGAAATTGTGGTTTTAAACCTCCTCTGTGGAAGATATACAAAGACCACAAACGTGATGCATACTCTCAGCGTTTTTATTACACTTCTTTTATTTTTTACAAAAGGATGACATGATGTCCCACAACAAGGTGTTTTCCCGCGTCCCTTTGGGTTGCTGTATTAATTTGCATTGCACAAACGCTCCGTTCAGTCCTTTCAGTCCTCTCAGATAGTTGCCCATCTTAAGCAAGTGGATGTGCAGCGAGAAATCAGCATTCAGTATAAAAAAACAACACAGAAAGAAGGGCAGAGATTTTGTTTTTTTTCGTTCTTTCTCTCTTTTTCGGTGTTAATTTATCATGAGTCTATTTATTTGAAACAGACTGGGCCAATGTCCAAACCAAACTCCTGATCAGCTCCACCAATGTCCCAAGGTGCAATGTCGAGGATGGGCAGGCGAGATGGTTTATTCGTGCTGTACTTGATCACTGTCTGGCTCCATCCACCAGTGTGTGTCTGCAGGTGTTGGGGACGAAAAAGGAGACCATGTTTTAGAATTGATGCACAGCTGCAAACAAGCTTGACAACAAAGCTAGCTAAAGGAGTGAAGAGGTACTCACAGAGCAGCCATCCTCAAGCACGGTGTAGGTAAAGCGGCTGTTGCCCTCAGCCCTCAGCTCCACATCGTTGGAGCCCTGGAGCACCACAGACTTCTTCATGGTGCCACTCTCGTCATCCATGTAAGCAACGCTGTTCTTGCAGTGGTAGGTGATGTTCTGGCTAGCCTGGTTGGACAGCAGGCGCATGAAGGCCAGCTGGGTGGCCATGCTCTGGGGGCTGAGGGTCTCGTCGTTGTAGGTAAACTGTAAAGAAGAAAGACAGATATTTATCTTCTAGACCCATGCGTATGGCAACCATTTATTTCTTTGAGTGTCAGAGCTCTCTAGACTCCCACCTCAGTTCCACCGTTGATGGTCTCTCCGAACCAGACGTGCTTTCTGTTGTCTGCGCTTCTGTACCAGTTCTTCTTGGCGATGCTTCCAGGGTGGGCGGAGATGCAGGTCTCACGGGTCTCAAAGTTGCAGAAGACCTTGATGGCGTCGTTGATGCAGCCCTGGTTGGGGTCGATCCAGTAGTATCCTGAAAGGCAGAAAAACAGTCAAACTTGTGACCAGGGGGTTTCAAATCTCTCATATATCAGCTGAAAACCAAGTAAACTACAATACACAGATATGTCATCGAACAAGGTGTTCTTACCGCTGCTCCACTCAGGGTGGCCGAGCTTGATGTCGCGGCAGGTGCGTGATGGGTTCTTCCTGGATCCCTCAGGTGTGAGCAGGTTCTCGATCTGAGTGTTGAGAGACTTGATGGTGGCATCAACCTCGTAGTCCTTGGCTCTCAGAGCAGGCTGATCGGCTCTGTACTCATCGTATCCACCAGAAACATCATATCCGCCACCAGCAGGGCCAGGAGGTCCAGGCAGACCAGGAGCTCCAGCGGGACCCTGATGTAGACAGGAGAGGGGATTATATCAGCTGTAATGTCTCTGTTACAAAATGAAGACTCAAGACTTTCAGAACACAAAGTTTAGCATTGCTTACAGCAGGTCCAGAGTATCCAGGAGGTCCACGAGCACCAGGAGATCCAATGGGTCCGTGTGAGCCAGCTCTTCCATCCTTGCCAGCGGGTCCGTGGGGTCCAGCAGGTCCCTAAGAGAGATTATCACATGATCCGGTCAAACATTTGTCATTTTTGGGAAACCTTGCATCACTGGCCTCTGTTTCAATCTTTGTTTGAAATGTTGATTTTGTTCCAAAAAAACTTTTACACACATTCATGCATGTGAAACTTCACTTCTATTAACAGTGATTAGCAGAGACCTGCAGAAAATAAGAGACCCTCAAAGGTTATAGGTACTTAGAGCCCATGAAAAGAGGTAAATACAGCAGGAAAACCCCCAGGAAAGTTCTGTCACCTTTGTATCTGATCAGGCACATGAGATCAACAAGAATGAGTTAAAATTCAATAAAAGATGGAAAAGATGATAGAAAGTTCATATAAGAAGTTGAAACTCAGTTAAAAGCACTTATACATGATTAAAACTGAGATTAAACTCAGACCAAGTAAAATCATTCTTAATAAGTGAGTTTTTCCATTTCTGAAGAGGATAAGGTCTTTGCTAGTCTGGTTGCTGGTCCACAGTGTACGACTGAGCCTGCAAGGCATGAGGAGATCAGGGATGTACATGGGGGCAAGTCCAGATTGTGCTTCCAAAGTAATTAAGGTTTATCAATCACTTCTAAAATTGACTGGGAGCCAGTGAATAAAGCTAACAGAGGGGTGATATGCACACTTTTATGTTTTGGCTGACGCATTCTTGACTCTCTGGAATTTACGCAAACATTGTTATGAAAAGTAAGAATATGAGGAATCAAAGAAGTCTAGCCATGAAGAAACAAAAGGGTGTTTTCTAGGAAGTGTAACACAGTCTGAGCTGATAAAAATACGACTTTTCTATCTGCACTGATGTGCTCATCCAAAATGACTCAAAAGATTTAAAAGCTGACAAAAATGTTTACTGAGAGAGACTCTAGAAATTGGGTGATGAGGGTGTGTGCAGTGTCTGGACTGATAATGATAACCTCTGTCTTGTTCATGCTCAGCTGTAATGAGCTGTAGGCCATCCAGTTTTTAAGGTTGGTAGTACAGTTAGTAGGTGAAGAAATGTGATCTGTGCTATTACAGCTAAAGGAAAGGTAAAGCAGCGCATCATCAGCATAACAATGAAAATGATACAAAATATGAGTAGCCCCAGAACTGACCCTTGAGGTACCCCTCAGGACAAACTGACAGGATAAATGTGAGTTTTTAGTAGCAACACTAAAGACCGCCTGGTTAAATAGGAATAAACCCACCACCCCTCCAAAAAATCACTGTTGTAGATTTCCTAGTATCATCTGGCCACTCATGACTTTAAGTAGAGCTGTCTATGTACTGAGGTGAGAACTATAACCTGACTTAAGAGTCTCCAAAAGTCCAGTAGTGCTTGAATGTGTCAGAAGCTAATTAGCCACCACTTTTTCAGTATCTTTAGGAAGAATGGCCGTACAGAAATGTGTACACGCACACCTTACCTCAAACAGCTCTGCTCATTGCTGACTTATGAGGAGGTTTTTTGATTGAAGACATGCCAGCTTTTTCAACACAAATGTATAAACTCTACTCACTCTGGGTCCAGCAGGTCCATTGGCTCCAGCAGGTCCGGTGTCACCAGAAGGTCCCTGAGGGGAGACAAGTACATCATAGTGATTATTATTGAGCCCTGGCATGCTTGTACAGTATTTGCATCACGGTGCTAATCCTGCTACTCTGTGATGCATTTAGATTTCACTGTGTGCCTTGTCAAAACAAGCGCATTGTGCGTTTGTGTATTTTTGAGTTCTGTCACTCACAGAAGGTCCAGGCATTCCCTGGAGACCAGGGTGTCCACGCAGACCCTTCATGCCTCTATCTCCCTTCTCTCCAGCAACTCCCTTCTCACCACGGGGTCCAGCAGGTCCCTGTAACACGCACAGACACACACAACATCTTATAATCTGAGGAGAATACAATTTTCTACCAGACGAGGATGATTGACACATTCCCTTTTAAGTGGTTATTTTCTATGGGCTGTTTGTACTTACAGCGGCACCTCTAGCTCCAGCGGCACCAACAGGTCCAGCGGGTCCTCCGGGGCCCTACAGAAAAAGAAAGACAAGAACAGAGTGATCCATGAGTGATGAAAGCAGACATCTGTGGATGAAGCTCCCGGACAGGGTGATTAAGTTATGATGAGGAGGAGGTTGCTGTTAACACGTACAGACTCTCCACGGTTTCCAGGTCTGCCAGCAGCACCAGTGGGTCCTGCAGGTCCGGGGGCACCAGAAAGTCCCATGGAACCAGCGGGTCCGGGCTCACCACGGTCTCCCTGGATGTGGTGAAAACAGGGAGAAGATCACAGTCAGAGCAAAGTTCATGTGCATGTATTCTGAATACAAACATGGTTTAAGGTGTAAGAAAGAGGTTTACCTTGAATCCAGGAGCTCCAGGGCGACCAGGGGGTCCATCGTTACCAGGGTTACCCTAAATGTGTCAGATAACATCACAGCTTTAACATGTAAGTTGATCGTTACATGAAGATCTTATTTCAGTTGGCTTTAGATGCTAAGAAGACTTTGAAACAGCTCAACATCAAGAGCTCAGTGCATTAATCTGCTTGTTTAGTCCTTACCTCACGTCCAGCCTCTCCCTGAGGTCCGGTCATACCAGGCAGACCAATGTTTCCGGGGGGACCACGGGCACCAGGAGCACCAGCTGGTCCAACTCTACCGGGCTCACCCTGTGTGATGAAGCAGAGAAATCTCAGAGTCAAGTTCAGTCCACAGCTTCACTGGACAACTGTTTCTATTTCTGAAAGTTGTGTTTGCTCTGTGTTACTATAGTCTGTACTTACAAGAGCACCAGCACCACCAGGGGAACCACGGTCTCCTCTAGCACCGGGCAGACCGACGAATCCTTGAAGACCAAGAGGACCACTAGTTCCAGGAGGACCAGGAGGACCCTAAACAGACAGAAATAACACATATTGATGCATAGAGATTAATATAGGAACCATGCCTATATAAGCTCAGATAAATCAGTTCATACAACAGGACCAACCAAACCATTTAAAGGTCTAAAAAAAAACAGATGTATGACTTACAGCGGGGCCAGACTCTCCAGAGGGTCCCTTCTCTCCAGATGGACCTGGGGGTCCAACCATACCCTGCTCTCCAGGAGGACCGGCAGGACCAGAATCTCCACGGGGACCACGAGGACCATCCTTACCAGCAGGGCCAGCGGGGCCAGGAGGACCAACAATACCCTGAGGGAGTATGAGGAGAAGTGGGTTAAGCTCAAAAATGTGTGAGTATTTGTGCAAGTGTGTGTATGTAATTGGTACTCACAGCGGGACCAGCAGCGCCAACTCTGCCAGCAGCACCAGGGAAACCAGTGAGACCCTGAAATTGGAGACACACAGTCACGGGTTACACACGGTGAAATATTAGCAGTTGGTGAAAAACTATGAGTTTAAGTTCATGTTTAAGGCATGATTGTTTCGTTTTGTGGTCGTGGGAGCAGAGAGGGTTGATTTTAATCAAGATAAACACAATATCATAATCTGAACATTTCCAAATGATGACCCTGTGGCTGTAATGTGATGCTTGGATCTTGTTTATCCCCGCAACAGGACAGAAAACCTCTTTATAGCATTAAATGTATTGTTATGTTTGTGTAGCAGGTCTTAAATCTGAGCAGATGTGATGTTTTTATGGTTCCTATATGTTTATAGACATATAAAGTGAATTAAATATATTTTGTTTTCCAGTACTCACAGCAGGGCCAGTATCTCCACGAGCTCCAGCAGGTCCAGAAGGTCCACTTGGACCCTGAATGCATAAGAAGAAATCAGACACATGCCGTATATCTGTATGTAATATGAGTATAAATACTTCAGATTTGGATACAAATATGCGTCATTTTTGTGTATGTGGTACTGACAGCAGGTCCAGACTGTCCAGAAGGTCCAGCGGGTCCAGCAGGGCCAACTTCTCCCTTTCCTCCAGCAGGTCCACGCTCTCCCTTGGCTCCAGGTGCACCGTCAGCACCCTGAATGGGAGGAAGTGAAACAAGGTGGGGTCAATTTCTGAGCTGCTGCTTTGACATATAGTGTACTGTCATTGAGTCCTGATAAGTGAGTGTCTTACAGGGGGTCCAGCAAATCCAGGAGCGCCAGCAGGTCCAACCTCTCCACGCTCTCCCTGTGGACGATTAAAAGTTGGTCAGAAAAGGTCAAACATAAAAGCTGCCCTTCATCTCACAGCTTCAATCTGATTTTTAAAAATGCAGGGGATTTAGTTTCAGTATAAAGGAAGCCAGCCGCAGGTACTTACAGAGGGTCCACGGGCTCCAGCAGGTCCAGAGGGTCCAAAGCTACCGCTCTCACCCTGCAGGGGAGAATAGTGAGTGTTTCATTTGCATGGCATTGTAACATCCATTTATTAATTCACAAGTCTGTGTACAGTGGACAGGAACAGTACAGGAACAACATAAAAACAATTATTAATATTATTTTCATTTTTAATTATAATTATTAATTTTACTAAAGAAAACTTTTTTATTAAGTAGTTCACTGTTAAAGCATTCTTTGTTTGCTGTATTTATGGTCTTTAACCAATGCTATCATTTATTTTAATATGTCGCAGTAAAGCCATTGTTGTAGTATTATCAAACAACCATCGGATGGCGATGTTGAGGTTCTGGGTTCAGGTATGTTCAAACACTTGACCTATCAACCCAAACACTTGACCTATCAACCCAAACTCTTTCTCAGGTCAGTAAACATCTGAAAAAAATACAATGAGTTAGCTTTTTCATCGTATCGTGTCTGGGGTTGGTTTTACCAGAAAACGACTTCCTATTGCAGTTCACTCATATAAGAGTATGTCGGCCATTTTGAATTTTATTATGTTTAAGTTTTAACAAAGTGTCATAACTACAATTAATCTATGTTACAGTTTCCACCCTAAAATCCACGTCCTTACGATTTTCATGATTGTTTTTAAGTTAAAAAATTATCCACGCATCAGCTACATACCTTATCACCATTAGCTCCTGTGGGTCCAGGGGGTCCAGCAGGACCAGCCAGACCCTAAAAAGAGAAAAGAAGGGACTCAGACCTGGTTTACACAGCCAGCTGTTGCAGTTCTTTTATTACCAGAGAGTTTTACTTACACGGGCACCATCTCTTCCAGCATTGCCGTCAGGTCCTCTGTGTCCAGGCTCTCCCTATGAGGAGAGAAGGGGGGGGGGTTATAGGTAAGGGTGCAAAGTGAATGACAGAGAAGAGATGCTCAGAACAAAACAAGGATACTTTCAGCTTGTTTGACACGCTGGTTGTGTTTCTTTATATCTCACCTTCTCTCCCTTGCCTCCAGCAGCTCCAGCAGTTCCACGCTCACCAGGCATACCACCAGGTCCCTGATGTCCAGGGGCACCAGCAGCTCCAGCGGGACCAGGCTCTCCCTATGAGCACACAGGACATGTTATGGGTTAGTTTTTGCCTGAACACATATACCTGTATATCTCAAATACAAAATTCTACTGTACACTTTCTTCTAATAACACCCAAAAGAGCCCCAAAACTCCTCATCTGTCACGATTCCAGCACTGATCTAATATATCAGTGAACTGTAAACTTCATTTAGTGCTGAATTTCCCATTGCAATCATCTTACCTTGCCACCATCAGCTCCAGGAGGTCCAGCAGGTCCACGGGGTCCCATGTTTCCCTGAGGTCCGGTAGATCCAGCAGCACCAGGGTTTCCACGCTCTCCCTGAAGGAACACGCAGAGCCCGTGAGTGTCTCTTATCATGTATGTTTTAAATACAAAAGACTGCCGACTACTTCGAGTGATAACACATGGCTGCTGACCGACTCACCTTTGCACCAGCAGGTCCAGCAACTCCCTGGTCTCCTGGGATACCCTACAGACATACATGTTTGGTTAGAGGTGCACTGCTTATATGTACTGTGTCCATGTTCTGTTATGATGTTCTGATGAGAGTTTTTTCGCTTCTTACTCTCTCTCCGGGCTTGCCAGCCTCTCCAGCAGCTCCAGCGGGGCCGGGCAGACCCTGAAAATGTCAGAGCACAACATCAGAACCAGCAGTGATAAAAAATAGAATCTTTAAATAAACACGTGAAAAACATTTCAAGTCATTTCAAAATAGAATTAGTGATCAGTAGGTCAGAGTATCCAATCCTAACAATCAACAATTGCAGCCCTTAACCCTAGAACACTATCGGCGGTTTATTCTCACCCGACCAAATATGTTTACGTGATTTTCATTATGTTGCGTTTGTCTGAGTATCATGGGTCACTGGGTAGCTTCAGCATTGCCTTTGACATCTTTGAAGGCAGATTTGTTTCCCTGATCCAAAACCTGCTTTTTCCTACAGGGACGTGTTCTGGTGATTTTCACCTGGCAATAGTGATAGAGGGTAAGTAGGTTTGGGTGGATTTGATAGCTGCATGTAGGCAAATAAGGTCAGTAAGAGTGGTCCTGGAATTTGCATAGTATCTTTATTTAGCGCAGTGGTTATAAATAACTATCACAAAGTAGTGATTTTAAGGGGAATTCATATGTGATAAGAAATATTTTAGTCATTTTTACTCACTCAAAATCTGCCATATTTTTTATATGGTCCCTCATGGCACTTTTTTCCCTCCCTTTGGACATTTCACAGTTAAAAATAAAAGAAAACTACTTTAATTTGTCATGTTTTGTCCTATTTTGATGACAAGTAGTTTTTGTTGGGTGTATTATTTCGGGTAAAAATCACCCGGCGATAGTGATGGTGTTATTGATTTTAGTGATAGTGTCCTAGGGTTAAGGTTATTATATGAACTAAAATATGATGTTGGTTCATTTTAAGAGTCAAATAATGGATCCAAACCTGGAAGCCAGGGGCTCCAGAAGGTCCCTGCTCTCCCTTCTCTCCGGGGCCACCCTGCAAGGAGAGAAAGAGAGCAGAAGTGTTAAAAAACAGCTCAAATCCAGCTTCAGCAAAGAAATCATGTGGATATTAGGACAGTAGGGTACTCACAGCAGGTCCAGAAGCTCCAGAAGCTCCATTGTTTCCATCAGGCCCAGGAGGTCCCTAAATGCAAACGCAGCAACATGTTAGCATGTTTTAAAAATGACAACAAACCAACAAACAAACCTCAGGTAAAGGTTAGGTATTATCCACACTTACTCTCAGACCAGTGGGGCCAGCAGATCCCTTCTCTCCTGGCTTGCCAGCCTCACCCTGAAGGAAGTTCAAGGTCAGTTTAGTCCAGGTTATGACATAAAAATAGGTTTTAGCTTCAGATGCTAATTTTTCACTGCATTAGCTCTTTATTTATACGTACAGAAGATCCCTTGGGTCCGGGGAAGCCAATGTTTCCAGGCTGGCCTCTAGGTCCAGTTGGGCCGGGAGGTCCGGTGCGGCCATCAATTCCAGCGGGACCCTAAGGGAGGACATAGGAAATAATAGGAAGTCATGCTGGTGGCACTTCTTATGTCAGTAAATGAAAAATTGGGAGGAACACCGATAGTTGATTCTCATTCAGTGTAAAATTTAAGTTGTACTCACAGCAGGTCCCTCCTTTCCTGGGGGTCCAGAGCTTCCGGGGCTTCCTGGGAGACCCTGTGGGAAAGACACTGATCATTAAGTTGTATTTGGGATCTGTCATCTGAGCTGTAGCTGACCTCTCAGTAGTTTTTCCTTAGATAAGACTCTTGGGTTCAATAATCAACAACTCCAATGATTCTGTTGGTCTTATTGAGATATCCCAATCTTGTAGCAAAATGCTCACCCTGAGACCAGCTGGTCCAGGCTCACCAGCACGACCAGCATCTCCAGGGGGTCCACGTGGTCCACCAGCACCAGTGGCACCACGAGCACCAGGCATACCCTATGAAGAAACACACAAAGTGAAACTTCCACCATATGAAGCTGCATGTTTTTGGTGTGTCCATGTGTCTGCGGTTTACTTACAATGGGTCCAGTTCTTCCCTCAGATCCAGGCATACCACGGCTACCGGCAGCACCCTAAGGAGACACATAGAACAAGCAGGTGACCAAGTGTCAAAACCTCAGGATGCAGATTTGTCAGGGTACAATGCGGCTCCTGGTACTCACTCTAGCTCCACGAAGACCAGCAGGTCCAGTGGCACCAAGCTCACCAGTGGGTCCTCTCTTGCCCTCCTCACCCTGAGGTCCTGGGGGTCCAGGAGGTCCAGAATTACCCTGAAGGGGGTAACAGAAAAGTTTTGACGCATCAGCCTCAAACAGTGTACATTAAGGTTAAGTGAAAATTTGGACTAAACACAATGGTGGGATTGTGAACTTACAGGCTCTCCTTTAGGACCACCATCTCCCTTGATACCCTGAACACCAGGATCTCCCTAAAACCAAAAACAAGACGATTCAGAGATTGCAGAACCATTGATGGGTGTGAATGATTAAGAATATTTTTTTGTGTGTTTTGTCCTTACAGAGAGACCTCTCTGTCCAGCAGCACCCTGAGGACCCTGGGGTCCGGGTCCTCCTCTTGGTCCAGGGAAGCCAGGAGCTCCAGCAACACCAGGAGCACCCTAAAAGACAGATGTAATGGACAGGTGAGCATCGTGAACGCCTTAAAGTCTGAACACAAACACTGTCTTTGACTAATCTGTCTGATTATTATTGTTTCGCTTTTGATGTAAATGATAATAATCCAAATAATCTGAGGTCTGAGTCAAAGCTGATCGATCTGCAGTCTGAGTCAAAGCTAATAGATCTATATTCTAAGTCAAGGCTAATAGATCTATATTCTAAGTCAAGGCTAATAGATCTATATTCTAAGTCAAGGCTAATAGATCTTAATTCTGAATCACAGTTAATAGATCTGCAGTCTGATTCAAAACTCATAGCTCCGAAGTCTGAGTCAAAGTTAATCGATCTGAAGTCTGATTCAAAACTAATAGATTAGCAGTCTGAGTCAAAACGAAAACCACTATTGTAATGAGTGCAGCTTGAAGTCGGCCTTATTTAAGTATCCTCTCAGGGTATTAATGTCACACTGACTGACCTTTGACCTGAGCTAACCGTGATGGCATAACTTGAGTACTTACAGCAGCTCCCTTGGCTCCGTTCAGACCGTTAGCACCAGGGTTACCCTATGAAGAGAAGACAAGAAATTAAAGAAATACTTCCAAAAAAAAAATCAAGCTGGTCTGCAGCTGTTACTAGGTCCATGCTCTGAAATATTCAACATAAGCAGCCTGATGACAGTAAGTGAGTGTATGAGTGCTGGGTCTTCACATTTACTGTGTAAATGAATACACAGAAAACCAAACGACCCTATGGACACCGATACAATATGGTAAAAAAAACAACAACAACAAAACACATTTGACAACACATATTCACCAATACAGTGTTGTAATACAACTCGCTAAATTTAAGTATAACCATAGTTCATTGTTGACTTTCATTTTGAAATAACACCAACATCTCTATATCTCTAACAGCAGAGTTTAAAGCTCCTGTGAAGAACTGTTGGTTTGGCCCCATATAGACAAAGATCAATTTCTTATCTCTCTGTTGATCATGTCTTTTACAAACCAAGGGTTGCATTGTTTACTTCTTAGTCCATCAAGAATGACAACTATTCATTTCAAACTGTATCACTACTGCTTAAAACTCCCCACTGTGACTTAAAGAATAATTTGACTGAAATAATCAAGATCAAATTTAGGACTGACATCAAAGAAAAGCTCCTTAATTTTCTGGTACAGGCAAGTGTTTCATATACTTACAGGGGGGCCAACTGGGCCACCAGCACCATTGGGACCGGGCTCTCCTCTAGCTCCCTGAGGTCCGGAAGGGCCAGTAGCTCCAGCAGGTCCAATCTCTCCCTATCAAAGACAAAAAAGATATTTTTGATTAAACAATGACATCAACATTAAAATCAGTTTCTGTTTATTTATAACTTTCACATTGATGATGTCCTTAAGAGTGCAGAATGGGTCATGAGGATGTTTTGGGTTTGAATTTGAGTGTTTGTTTTATGAGATCCTTTAGATATAAAAATAATTGGAATAGTCTCTGAGGTTTGGGATACACCAGAAAAAAAAAAAAAAAAAAAAAAAAGAAAACTACTGGACTGAACTCTATTTGCTCCTTCAGAGACCCTGCACATGAACCTCTCCAGGAGGACATGATAACATCAGTCAGGAGATGGCATCACACTTACCTTGGGGCCAGGGCCACCGGGGAAACCTGGGGGACCAGCAGCACCGAGGGGACCCTGGGTAGGAGGGAAAATATGACATTAGGACTCATGAGGGTCAAAGTTCATATCGAGGTCAAAGTCTGAAATATTGTTTCCCATATAGTGGTGCGTCTACTGCAGCAGTACAGCTTTATTTCTAGCATTCAACACATCATTATCTGCGCAGTAAGAAGGAATAACAATGTTTTTTGTGATGAGATCTTCTTTTTTCATTTCAATTCTTTCCAACGTAATTTTCTTTTTTAAAGGGCCAGTACTCACAGCAGCGCCGGCGGGACCAACATTGCCATCAGCACCACGAGCACCAGCGGGACCAGCAGGGCCGGCACGACCTCTCTCACCAGCCAGACCACGAGATCCCTGCAGGGAGAGCACACAAAAAAAACAGAGGTGATGAAGAGCATGGTATTATAAATCATGACCTAGAATATAATGAAACAACAACCACAATGCTGTGCATGACAGCAAAGTGTAGGGTGGATTTTCAGCAGGAGTTTCAATAGGTAGTATGAGTGACGTTTGATCGCGTTGCCAAGGCTTTGTGCATCAATCAACTCCATAAAAAACTTACAGCGAGTCCAGGACTTCCAGAAGCTCCATGTGCACCAGGCTCACCCTATAATAGAGACAGGAGAAGGTTAGCTGTTAGGATTTAAGGTCAAGTAGAATAAACTAGTTGTATTTTACTCATCTGTTATCATGTGGCTAATGTCAAGATTCAAATTCAAATTAAAAGATTCGGCTAGGTGCTCCTTTTACCTTAGCTCCAGCAGCACCAGGCTCTCCCTTGCGTCCATCCAGACCAGTGTAACCCTGCAATGTGGAAACAAAGACAAGGTTGAGTATCTTTACATTAATCTTTCATTGCTACTAGAATAGGATACTTTCAGCACAATCAGAAAAAGACAAGGGGGAAAAGAGGAGACTAATTCTCAAGGTCCTTGTGAGATAAAGAAGATTATCAATGGAACGATGCAAACACCTCAAATCTTTGGGTGTGACATCCACTTTTTAAGCTGTTTTTACTAGAAGAGCAACATTTTCCCGTGGTTTATATTAGACCTTACAAATGATGTTCCACCTGTGGAGTTGTACCTCAAAACAGCCCCTTTTTATGTCTAGTTTTGGGCCGCAGGTGAGAGGCCTTCATCTCCAATATCACTGCTAGCATTGCTTGCATTACTCCAAAACATCTACATGCATATTTTTGGAGAATTTTTGGCTACTTTTCCCCAGCCAAAAGTAGGTTTAAGCTGAATGCTGGGTTTGGTTTTTGTAAAAGTGAAGATCCACACTCACTCTGTGTCCCTTCATTCCTGGAAGTCCAGGGGTTCCGGGGAATCCACGAGCACCCTGCAAGTCAAAACAAAGGAAGACATTACTCAGACACACCCTTTATTTACACTTCAGAAGTCTGTGTATGCTTCTGTTTTGTTCTCTGGGTTTTGCAGAGTATCTCTCTTACCTGTGGGCCAGGGGCGCCTCTGTCACCAGGCTTGCCGGGTCTGCCGTTGTTACCCTGTAAGTCAGCACAACACATGTTAGCATAGTCCTCTGACGTTTTGAAGAAGTTTTCTGAAGTTTTTCAAAAAGTCAGAGTGAAAAGTGGTTCTGAAAACACTTATTTACTTACATCATCACCAGATTTGCCAGGGGGTCCAGGGGGGCCACGAGCACCAACGGGGCCCTTGGGAGAGAAAACAGACAGTGTAAATCTCAGAGGGGACTCGTGCTTTGGGTGAGATACCTCAAGCTGTACTTTAAGTGGATCATTTGAATATTTTGTGGGATGATCTTACAGTCTGTCCGGGCTCTCCAGGCTCACCAGCGTGTCCGGTGTGTCCTTGAGCTCCCTGTGGATCAATGCGAGGCACAAAGGTAAGTCTACATTTGAACAGCCTGGAAACACAAGTTTATGTATTCTGAGGTAATCAACATGGTTAATGGATCTTTTCAGTAACTTACAGGGGGTCCAGGAGGTCCGGGAGGGCCTCTGGCGCCCATCATACCCTGAAAAGAAAAACAAGATAATTAGTCATGAAGACAAATGAATCAGTGCTAGTTGACTCATCATTTTTGTGTGGGTCAGGATGCTTCCTTACCATGGGTCCAGGGCCGGGATCGGGGGCTTTTGCACCCTCATACTGAGCAGCAAAGTTCTGTTAGGGAGAAAAAAGACAAGTTAGGGACACAAGAAACTGGGGTTATGTACAAGAACTTCTAAATGACCAGAGCACCAAACAATAGAGGAAAACAGTCAGCTGAGGTCAGAGTTGTCTGCACATCTCTTATGGAACAAACTGATTTTTACAGAAATACGGTTTAAAATTGATAAATTATGAAATACAATCCAGCATTCAGTGTTTTTAAGGATGTTTAGAGATTAGCACTAACAGTAACCATTGCTGTGTATCAGGTGGCTCTGGGGACAAATGCTAGGTCAAAGGTCACTGGGTCATGACATGATTAGCAAAATATTGCTATTTTTATGTGAACTTAGGTCATCTTTGTGTATATTTATTTTTGCAGAGTTTTTACACATTATAAAACACCAGGGAGACTTTTAAGTGCATCAAAACAGTGAACTTACTCCTCCAAGTCCAGGGGGACCAGGGGGACCAGCGGGGCCAGGGAGTCCAGGTTTTCCGTCTCTTCCATTGGGGCCCTGAGGACCCTGTTAAAGAAAAAAAAAGCACAAAAGATGAAGTGAGTAAACTCTGTTACTGAGTGGAAAGTACTAACAGGAAGCTTTATGGAGGAAGGTATTCATAGATAAACTTAAATTCTATTCGATGGATAAATCTCTGTTGCACCAGTTGCACCAAATCCTAATCAGGATTTGATTAATAAGAAGAATAAGTTGAAGAATAAGTTATAAACACAATTTAAGTTTTAAAATGTTGTTTATCCATGATTTATTTCACAAGGATGGATAAACATGAAATACAGTGAGTCTTAAGTTTCAAAAAGGACCTATTATTTTACGTCCATTAACAAATTAAAAGGCCTATAGGCTATGTAAACAAAGAGGCGGGGCCTAAAGGGGTTAGGAGGTCAAGCGACACCAACAATCGCAGACCTAAAAAATGGGTCAAAAATTTTTGAGCCTCAAGGTGCATCAAAAACATATCCAGACACTTCTGTTCAATAGGAGGCATTAGAGTTTCACTTTAGCTTACCCTGTCACCTCGAGGTCCTTTGTCTCCTCTGAGGCCCTACAGCAGAAAAACCAGGCAGTCAGACCAAAATACAGAGCAGACGTCTGCTGTAACAACACGTCAGCTCCAACATATTCCTCTCATAAAGCATGCCACTGCCTCTAATCTATGCAACACTAAACTAAAACTAGATATGGCTCATATCCAAACAATCTGGTGTATGTTTAAATCAGTCAAATGTGAATGTAAACAAACTTGACCCTTACAGTAAGAGCACAAGCAAGTCAAAACACATTTCAGTGATTATAATACACTTTATACAGATGCTCTGTGGCTTCTTCTTCTTCTTATCTAAACTACTCTTAATATGCCACTGTAGGTGCAAAATGACACACAAGAACAACATCATGTGCTCACCTTGACCCTTCCCTGAATAGAAAAGAAGATAAATAAATGTAAGATTTATTTATTCAGTCTTTTCAGGCTTTTTTCAAACATTCATTATTCTTTGCTAAGCACTTTGATAAGTGGTCTAAGCTTCCAAAAGGATAAGTAAAACATGCTCATGCAGGTGTAAGATTTAATAAAAATACAACAGAGTGATGTGCATCTGATACAAGGCACTATCTTCTGCGCAGAGATGCTTACATGAGTAAGTTATTAAAGCGTTACCAAAACAAAACTCAACAATCTGATGCTCAACAAGTCTATGGGACATTAAAGGTTCTGCAAAAGCACTAGACCCACATTTGCTGTAAACACCAGATAGGTTTTTAACTTTAGGCAATCTCACTAATGAGCAGATTTATGAAAGCAAACTCAATCAGGGTTCGTTTACCTCAAGTCCACACAAATTTTTAATCAGAGCTTAAGATCTCACCTTCTTCAAACAGGTTTGAGATCAGCTTTCATAACCTTGCCTCCTAAATCTCATCTGCATCAAGCAGCAGAGGAAGACTCTGAACTGACCCAGAGCCAGCTGTTAGGGGCAAACCTCCCTCTGCCCCTCAGAAAGGATCCTTTGTACCAGGCCCCATGGGTGCCTCAGAGCTGTGGTTTTACCTTTCATTGACACAAACTTTAGCCAATGGGACCCTCACCTATTCATAGACAGGAAGGGAGAAATTCCTGCATGAAATACTCTGCCATTAAAGAGATTGCCTGAAAAGGTAAAGACCGACCGGAGAGAGGCGTCTGCTTGTGGAGTATTTGGATGAAAAAGACAAAGTGACAAAGGTAAAGCTATCTTAAAATGATTTCATGCATGTGTACTAACCGCTGTGGTGTTGTGGTGTTGGAGAGATGAAGAGGAGGAAGAGGGGAGAAGAGGAGGGTCGGGAGAGAAGAGGGGATACTTCATTAGAACATGATAAACAGTAACAGAAAAATACAGTCAGCTGTGAAAGAAACAATGTCAGTCTATGTCTCTGTGCTCATTTGGATTCAGGTCTTAACAGCTCACTGTAGTTCATGTAAAAATAACTGTATTTCCCTGAGGGTGGAAAAGTTGATTCACTTTAACGGTCTAGGAGAGGAGTATCTTCACCACGCACAAACAAGACTTCATTTGGGATATTTAAACACACTAATCCACGTTTAAGTAATCTACCTTAAAAAAGAGGAAACTTGATTTTTTTCTGACTGTTCTTATGTCCAAAACTTTAGGCCTCACACCATTAACGGCGCTTGAAGTCAAAACAGTCATATATGCTCCTGTCATGCCTGAACCATCAGCCTCCTGTGTTTTTTATGTGCTGACAATCTGCTCACAATTATGCGAATCATGAATCAAGTCCAAAAGTGTAGCTATGGGTTATTTTTACGCGTTTAACATCTCCAAACTGTCTAACCCAGAGAAGAATGTGAATCTAAGTGTTCAATAGCATTCCATATGAAGAGGATCAGGCTGCTAACAGGCCTGTGCAGGTACGTCATGCCCTTGGGACAGGAATATTTGGCCTGCTTCTGCAAACAAGCTTAGACCTACAATGTATTTGAAAACATGTGCATGACATCTGTTATTATTTAAAGTGTATTCTCTGCTGTATTATTGGAACAATGATCTGATTTAAAGTTTACATTTCATGATTTAAGTTAAATTAAACCAAATTCTGCTTATTTAAATTGAGAAATTATTGTAAAAATCTCATAATCTAATGACTGTCTCTTATATAAATGTCTGATTTCAGTGTTTTTTTGTGTTGCAGATGTGGGCCTCAGAGCTGGACACAGCTGGGTTTGGCACAGCTGGGACCTCTCCATGAACTCTAAAAACCCTGGTGTCCAAAATGGACCACAAGGTGGCGCACTTGAGCATTCAAAGTGATGTGAGACTAATTTCTTTCTTGAATTAATGCACTTATAATGGTGAAAAAAGTTGCTCACAAGCTTCAACTTGTCTGGTAATTTAAAAAGCTTATTTTAAAATCGTTTTGTGATCGAGATTTTGACGAATCAAGCAAAAACCGTCACGAAAAATCCAGCTAAATTTTTAAAGGGATATCTACTTTAAAGAAATGTGAAAATACTGAAATAACTGAGCACTAGTTTTTATTTGTGGTTTAGATTAGATGAACAGATGTTTCTCTTCAAAGTGGGGAAAGTCTAACTGATGCCAAGCTGAGCCTGAACCCGACCACCAGGGGGAGACATTACTGTTTCCTATGAGAAAGCCTCATGCCCTGGACGTCTGGATGGAACAATCTGTACAACGCCCCACTTAGTTTTTCATCCTTTGTCTAAAAGAAATCCACATTAAACCTATTTTAAGAGCCCCACATGCATTTAAAGTGTAAGACAGACTCTAAACTGACTACTTTAGAGGTCTTTTTCAAAGTGAGAAAACTTTTTTCTGCTGCGCAACTTCTCCCTCTCTCATAATAATTGTATCCTTGGAAAAAGTGAAGAATCCTCTGCACGAGCTCAATCCGTTGAGATAAATTCAGCCTTGCTTTGAGCTGTCTTCTGGTTGACCTTGATGTACGTCCAAAACAAAAGCCAAGTGCAAGATCCTCAAAGCAGTGAGACCCGAGAAAGAAAAAAAATATCCATCACAGAAAAAGAGCAGATATTCAAACTTACATTGGCATGATGCTAGTAATGAAGTTACTGCAAGCAGCAACAGAATCCGGGTATCCACAAAGCTGAGCATGTCTACACAGACATGCAGACTCCTTGTGCTGCTGAGCCCCTGTTTTTTAAACCACCTTCAAGCAGGCATACAGTTGTGGTGACAAGAGTAACTCCAAACTGAGCACAAACCTGCTGCCGTGATGCTAGAATAATAAAGTTCTATCAGGCCTATTTATACGGCAGGAGGGTCCCTGGTCTGCGTGTCAAAAGTCAGCCCCCTAGCCAATCAGAGCAGAGAAACCCAATCTGACTCCCATCCCTCTCCAGCTCATACTCAGTCATGTGGTGCTGCATCTCCCAGCCTCCTCTCCACCAGAAAGCGTTTGGCAAAGCTTTGGCGATGATGACGAGTGCAACGTTTTAATTAGATCCATTCTTTTTGAGGACGTGGACAGCGTCGAGGTTTAAAAGGGAGAAGAAGGCCTACGTTTTTTCCCCTTCTTTTACGGGTCGCAGTGAATCCGAAATGTTAGTGCAGGGACACGGGCGCCTGGCATTTACCTTTACGCGCAGTTTGTGCGTAAAATGCGCATTTTGGAGAACGTCGGTGGGCATCGACTGGCACCTACAGGGCCAAAGTTTGCGCCGCTGCTGTGGATTTTTACGGGGAACCATAATTTGTAGAAAAAGTGTAGGACGATTTCTGTTGCTGCTGGATTTGAGCTTTAGTGCGCCGTTTTACGCGTGGATTTCCGCGAACTATTTACTAGTGTTAGGGATCTTTTCTCTTTTTAAGGCATCTTATTGACAACTTCTCTTTATATTTTAGAGTACAGTACGACTAATACCGCTCATGCAACTTACCTGGTTCTGTGTCATGGCATTAATTCCACACAAATGCCAACCACATGCACCAAGCACCCCAAAACAAAACCCACCCTCTGAAAAAATAAACTTAATATGTGTACTAGTTCTCCCTAAATCTGGAACCTAACCACGTCTCTTCTATGCTACATACCCAATTTCTTTTTACTATTAAAGGTTTAAGGGACACAACTTTACTACCTTCACTCATCATAACCAGTGGAATGCAGTGCTTCACATACAACACACATTGCTGAAGCTTCAGACTGACAAAAGACAGGTGTGAAGCAGAGATCCAGTTTCAGCTTCTCTCTCTCTATCCCCCCCCCCCCCCCCCCTCTCTCTGAGCACTCTTACCTGCCCACATGACCAGACATGTCATCTCCCCTACTACCACTCCAACAATTGTCAGCCCTCATACTGACTAATATCAAGCAGACACACGGCTAAAAAGAGTAAGAGGACAGATATGTGTGATAGTGTTCGGACACTTTTTAACAGAATAGAGTGTTCAGAGCTCAAAGCTCAAGGCCAATCTCTAATGGACAGCTGAGAACTGTAAAAAGACCATCTCACTATCCTTTTAGAGGGAGGAGGTTGGCTCATTTTCATGGAACAGTAAAAAATTAAAAATGATTCGGTCAAACGTTGGTACATTTGGTCACCGTTTTCTAAATTTTGAAGATTTGTGGCACTCAGGGACATTACTTTTACACTTTTATTGCAGCTCAGTTCACTTTTAAGACATGCTTTTCATGCTTGTGTTATTTGGATATGTTCAATAAGCACTGGAATTGATACAGGAGCAAAAAATAAAAAAAGGAAAATAAGCGGAAAGAATCTGTACTTTTATTCTGAATAAGGAGTGGTGATCGATATTTCATTTCACTTTTATACGTCATGCAAGTCATGGTGATCAAAAACTTAATTCTGATGATTTCATCCTCTTTTATGGACTCCAAAACTCTGATTTGCAGCTTGATTTATATATGATTTATATATGAGTATATATGAAAATATATGTATGTGTGTGTTCTATATAAGGCGATGTGTAAGGTCACGTCACTTCTCTGATCTATCCTAAATAACATAACAGCTTTTCCCAACCCTCTGCACCATCAACAGCCCCCACCACCCTCACCAGGACTCCCACCAGAAAACTTCACCTCAGCTCTTCCCTGAGTCAAACCCAAAAGACAGAGAGGCAGAGAAAAAAAAAGAGAAGAGAAGAGGAGGAGGGGCCAGTGAGTTGAAATGTGTTTTAAAGATGGCAGAGCTCCCGCTTTCTGCACAGTTACATCCTCATGTTTGTGGACGAGCTGCAACACCAGACAGGCGGCGGGGGAAATCAAAGATGGCTGCTAAGCTCCACATCATCAGACTTTTCCTCCTGATTTGAACATATGAAACAGATAATTATGTGTAATCCTGTAAATGTATCTTTTCTAAAGCATCAAACACATCTTTTTGTACTTTTATCAAAAAATATAAAGTGTTAAAAAAATCTCTATGAAGTGAAGTAAAAGCATCTTTTTAAGCAGAGTTTTAAAATCTACAGAGTTTCTCCTCCTCTGAAGCTCTTTTCCTCAAGAATGTGGGGTGTCCTGTGGGTGGTGGAGTTCATCACTGAGGCCAGACAGCTAGTTTAGATGTGTGGGTGCTCCAGGCACAGATCTGCTGCCTGATAAAGGGTCAGCAGGGGATACTTTGGAGCTGCAGCTTCATGCAAAATAACTGCTGATTGAGTCAGGTCCGTGATATGGAGCTTCGCAGACAGACTGAACTTAGATCCTATGAAATAAAATGGAAATACAGTCCTTTAAAGCTCAACATTTGGCCATATTCAAACGTGGTGAGCTGAGAAATGATGATTTTATAGAAATAAACCCTCTGAGATGATATGTAGTCAACCTTTTCATGTGCAGATTATTTCTCTTCAGCCATTTTGACTCAAACATCTCGCCCTTCATCTTCTGTCTCCCACAGATCTGCCATCTGGGGCTGCAGACGGATTCCTCCAGATGTGCTGCGCTCTGATTGGCTGCCTGAGTGGTTTCCTCACTGGTCTCAGTCACAGAGTCTCATATTTCTTTTCTGATGCAGAAGAAAGTGCTAAGGATTATGGGAGGAGCAGATCCTCTCATGTCAGGGGGGGCTGTCCACCTGTCAGCCAGCTGGTAAGAAGAAAGGAGCATAAACCACAGAGATTAGGAAGAAAAATCTGCATGAAAATGTTCGACTATTGCAATATTTCAATGTCAATCTGATGTCATGATTCAAAGAAAAGGGCAAATGGCAAACTGATAGAGTACAAGGCATGAAAAGCATCTCTAAATGTTTGTTATGGGGCTGATATCAAAACTGAGGGTCTCCTTAGGCATTTACAAAAATTTCACTAAAATAAATAATCAAAAGGATCCAAGATGAGGTCAGAGTTCATCTTTGGAAAAGGTAGTAATTACAATGTCCACCCTCTACATCCTCCTCCTCCTCCACAGAGCACATCCTGTTGATCCATCCCTGCAGACCAATCACAGTTTGCATTATGTCACGTCACAGTGGCAGTGGGTTTGCAGATTTTGCTAGTGTCTCAGGGTAATGATGGCATGATATGATCAGTCAGGTCATGTCTCAAAGTTCAGGTTAGGTCAGATCGGATGGTGTACTGTGCGTAAATACAACACTTTACGTCACTTTTTGTCATGTAACTTTATGTCATGCAACTTTACATCTTGTCACATCATGGCACAACACGTCTCAGTCACGTCATGATACCCTGATACTTTTTCACTACCTGCTGCCACCTTGCTGGCTATGCTGGAGACCCCTCACGTGCAGATGTCTGACTTTTGCATGCGATCGTCAAAAGCAAGATCCTAATAATGAATAAATGTTATAAGAAATTTTAAATCCATTGTGATATTTTTGCAGTTAGTCAACACATGAGCACAGCCTTTGCTTATGTGTATTTACTCTGATACTTTTGGCATCAGGAGCTCCGATGTGCCACACCTTTACACACCTTACATTCATTGTTTTTTTCTGCTTTTTTGACTTGATTTTGTAATAAATCACTTTATTACTCAGATTAATATTGTTCCTCTTGTCTTTTTGTCAAACATCAAACTGTGACAGATGGAAATTTAACTGCAGGGTGGTTCTGATCTAGAACAATGATATCCAATCCTATTCTGAACGCTTCACCCAGCTGTGAAATAAAATGACTGGTGTGGGTCTACAGCTCACACTCTCATCTGACAGTAGAGAAGCTTCAGAGATCGAGCAGAGAGAAGGCGAAAGTCAGTGATTAAAGGACACACACACACACACACACACACACACACACACACACACACACACACACACACACACACACACACACTAACTCCTCTCACTGACTGTGGCAAAGAGAAAGAAGACAGAGAAGAGGACAGATTAAAAAACTGTCCAAGGTGTGGAGGAAACAGAGTGATGGATGGAAAGGTTCAGACTCTGCTCTCTGTGACACACACACATACAGAGGTTGTGATTAAGAGGGCACTGAAGGTGCACATACAGACACACACATATGCACACACACACATCTATACACACCAGCAGGCTTGCAGGGGCGGCTGAGGTTTTCAAATTACAGCCCTTATTTCAGGGAGTTTCTGTCTTTCTCTTGCAGCGCACTGAAACGAAATCTGGAGACGATGAAACTCAACTTGCCTTTGTTAAAATGAGCTTTTACGAAATTGCGATCATAATTTCTGCTCTGCTAAGATCATGGTTGTTCAGATAGATCGTGCCGTCCCTGCAGATTTCAAGCATCAGCAATAAACAGCTCTGTTTTCTCAGAGATTTAAACCATCAAATATTTGCTGTGGGTCAGTTGCCAAGTTTTTCATCTGTTCAATTATGAAATCGCACAAAAGCAAAACTGGTTAGCTAGACATGAAGAGAAGAGGCAGACAGGAAGCAGCAAGGCTTGTTTTGTCTTGGTAACAAACTCCAGGACAGCTGCATGAGTGGCTGTAGCTCAGGCTGCAGTGGCGCTCTTCAGTGAAGTCCTGATCCAGTTCCTGCTTGGAAAGCTGATTTTCTGCAGCTTTATCCCTGTGGCCTTTGTCAGAGTCATTTACAACATATACTCTCTGCATGTGCAACATGATTTAATGCATTGTCAGAGTTCAGGGAGGATGAATGTTTTATAACAGCTTCATTAAGGTTCCAGAGGAATCAAGCGAATCTTAAAGCTGCAGTAAGGAACTCTCAGTTTGTGTTGATTTTGGCGCCCCCTGTGGTCAAATTCATATTTCTTATCTCTTGCTCTGTTTTCTTATACAAAAACTTCATCCTTTTTTCCTTCAACATTGAACTGTGAGTAACTGAAGGCTAAATAAAGTAACTTTAATGTTAAAAAAGTAAAAGGGGCTGGTTCTCCAGGAAGTTTGAGTCTCTGCCACGTGTAAAAAACACTCGATCCGACCAGAAATCTCTCAAAATTAACTTGGCATGACTCCGTGACTCCACCCCTGCGTACTTGTGTCCTCTCTCTGGGGATTCAGAATATGGTCACCCTAGCCTTGACAGCCAAAAAGGAGCATCAGTACCAGTTTAAGATTGTTTCTAAACCAGCCAAAACTCCTCATAGTGCCTTTAAAAGACTAGACCTATTAGGGCTGTCGCAACAGACCAGTATTGACGACTACTGTCTCTCTTTAAAGGAATACTGAATGTGAAATGAATAAACATACAGTATTACCATGTAGGGGTTAATGATAAATTATAATGATAATTTATTTTATAATAATACATTTTATTTATAACGCACTTGTACAGGTGCTCAAAGACGCCTTACAAAGAAAAATAAAATAAAATGAAAAAACACAATTGAAAATACAGAAAATTTTGAGAAATAAAACCAATGATGTAAAAGGTTAAAAAAGACACAATGTGAGAAAACAATAAAAGAACAGTTCACAGGTTAAAAGCCAATTTAAAAAGGTTTGTTTTTAAGAGTGATTTAAAAGTGGGTTTGGGGTGTGAATTTCAGAGGGTACGGGCGGCAATGGAGAAGGCTCTGTCACCCCAAGTTCGGTGCTTGGTCCAAGGAGGTAGGGCAAGAAGATTTCCCTCTGGGGATTGGAGGGCACGGGGTAGCAGGTCAGTGATAGTGATAGTGGTGGTACTGGGAGACCAAGAAGAAGCAGTGAAAGAAGAAGACTCCGAATCCAGATGGTTAGCTAGTATCTTTTTTTTTTTTTTTACAAAATGTGGCAACTGCTGAAGCACCAATCCTAGATTCAAGTATGTCTTTGACAGTTTGGGAGTGTTTCTGGACCCTCCATCTGCAGGGAAATTAAAAACAACAGCAACACAAGAAAACACAGACCTATTTAACCAGCTTTGCCTCCATCATATTGCAGATTTCCTCCCTCTGATTGTATTAAGCTGAAAGCCAGTTAAATCTGCATTGCTAATGAATTTAGCTGTTAATCATGTAAATGTTGTTTTTAACCCACATGGTTTAACTTTTAACAAAAAATCAGGAACTTTTGGGTGCATCAGTCTTTAAAAAAAACAACAACTTTATTTTATGCTCTTAGTAAACATTTCCTTCAGATTCATCTCATCATGTGAGATGTTTTAGGAAGGTTAAGGGATAGTCCCAGGATTTGAAGATTCTCGGTATGACAGTAAGTACAGAATGAGCTTATTTAGGTTTGGTGACATGAACTGAATCACTGCTTTTTCAGACTGTTGGTCAAAACAGTTAGAAGTCCTCTGCAGCTGCCGACGCTTGCTAATGTCTTGCAGTGCGATCAAACAGCCAGACTGAGTCAAAGAATTCAGCTCTCCTGTTGGCTCGACAGGCCCGAGCGCATATCAGCATGCTGAGACCACCAGCTTTCTTCAGACTCTGCAGCACCCAGGAAGGAAGGAGCTGAGGGAGAGCTAGTAAAACAGGCAGGCTGCGTTTTCTTTAAGGAGCACTCATTTACTTTAAGTGCTTCAAATTATACAACACTCGGGCCAAGTTTGTGATGTGTCTATGTGTATGTTACGCCTTCCTCCTCATTCTGTAACCCTCCTTTCTTCTCATATCATTTCAGTGTCTCCAGGCCTCCCCCACCATCCCTTGCTCTTCCCTCCGTCTGTCTCCACTCCCTCAGGTCACCACATCTGCAGGCTGTTTCCACTGGAATACATTTCTTGAACGTTTAGACTTCAGCTTGCAGGGAGGCGGGGTTATTGAGGAGTTTGTCTAATGTCAGTTTGGGTATGAGTGTGGGGAGGGTGAGGGGTAAGGGAGAGTATAAAAATGTGTCAGGAAACACAAGAAAGCATGGTGGAGAGGGTGAGTCAGTAATTCTGACTCTTGGAAATAACAAAACGCAGCTACTGCTTCTTTCAAATAAGGCGTCTAGCACCTTTTCTGTGTCCTACTTTGAATTTGTCAAAATTAAAGCAAAGACCCTTTAACAGAAAAGGCTTAGCTGGTGATAAAGAACGTGAGAAGTGCAAGAAAGCACGGAGCAAAATGGAGAAAATCAAAGTAAGGAACCTCCCTTGGCTGGGCATAACACATGGTTAGATTTTCCTGTGTCCACATGACTCACAGTCTGGTCAGCAAACGCATAATAAACGTGACAGAAATATCCACACACAATGTCACCAGAGTCCACGGCAGGCAGATAATTGCTGGATAGAGCCGGGCCGTGGTTTGAGAGAAGGAGAAAAAAGTCCAACTTGTATAAAAGCAGAGCAAGAGAACGACCATTTCTGTATTTCTCTCCCTTTAACCGTCTTTTCTTCTTTTGAAGGCTGTATAAATATGCAGAGAGTTGATCTGATCTTGGGTCAAGGTTTCATGGCCATATTCTTCAGAGGCATCAATGGAAGTCAATGGATTGAAATTGAAATGACTGAATATACATTTGCTGTAGGGTTCACAATTCAATTCTTCAATTCCTATCTCTCGTTGACAACTCACTTTAAATCACACCAAGATTATTCAGTTATTATTACACCAGTTTTTTACATCAGTTTAAAGAAAGTTCCTTCAGGAGTGATCATCTCCATCCTCATTGGTTGGGTAAACCTAACTGACTTGAATCAAGGTTTGAGATAAACAAAGAGTTTTGGGTCCATTGCAAGAGTCAGCATCAGGTCCAAACTTGGTGAAATGACAACATGAAGTCTGAGAAGATTATCCATGGAGTCCAGCATGACAATGTTCGGGCTGAGTCACCCTAGCTAACTCTCCGGACATTTACATACACGACTTTCTGCTAAAGTTGATCTAATCGCAGCTTCCGTTATTGACCTCAAGTTCATTATTACAAATACTATCACTGCTATGCTATTCCCATGGACAGGGTGACTTGAACTTACCATGAATCAAACTAAGATCAGTCTATTATCATTATCATGCTGGTCCTGTAAATAGTACACATAATTGTTCCATTGTCTTTTCCTCTGTTTGTACTGCTGTCGTTTTAGTTTGTCTCTCTCTTTCTCCATCTCTCCCTTCTCTAAACCCAACACAGTCTCAGCAGATGACTGTCTAATATCAGTCTGGTTCTGCTCGAGGTTTCTGCCTGTTAAAGGAAGTTCCTCCTTTCCACTGTGACATTATAAATACTGCAAAGTGTTTCACTCATGGTGGACTGAGATGGGACAAGAGAAGGTCTGATCTTAGCCCATCTTTGCACCGGGTCTTTGTAAATACAGCACTGTGTTGTACATCAGTACACACCACGGCTCTCTTAAAGGGATATTCTGGCGTAAAATGAAGGTAGGGTCAAACACACCATAACACTGTGTTAGACCCCCCCTCAAGAGATGAATGTTGCCGACTGCTTGCTTCTCTAGTTATACCAACTTTAGTAACGACCGCATGATAGCAATACACAGCGGTCTACGTCCTCTACGTGCACACCTCAACCAAAAAGCCACTCTATAGCCACAATTAACGCTCAGAATAGCACCTAACTTCATCAACAGTACATATAGGGTTCGAGCCATAGTACTAACCATCAAACATCTTTTTAACTTTGCCTGATTTCTTTAGCAAAGAGACTTAACACAACTCACCTAC